AGTGGATGGGTCATGGGACTGTTAGGAGCGATTCCTTGTCGCATTTTACATACTTAATGCCATGTTGCTGTGGGACTGCTCTTTCTGCTGTCTAATTATCCCTGCCTACTTTGTTATTGCGACTCTGTTTTTTACATTGTTAACTTCTTAGACATTTCGAAAGCTATTTAACTGGTTAATCAAACTTTCCTTAATCAAAAATAAATTATTTCGCCTCTACAATACCATAAAATATTAAAAAATAATCATACTTAAACTTTCATTTGTTGTTTTTATGACTAACTTAATTTTTTTCCAGCGAATTTTTAGAAGTAGATAAATATGCTGTTTGACGCTTAAAAAACGTGACGTCACACAATACACAATCTCGTACAAAATTCATAGAAAATTGTCGATTTGAAAGTTCGAAAAAAATTCGTTTTGTCTTGTTGGCAAGTACTCAAATTTTAGCCCCTAATGTGTGGTATGGTACACTTCTAGATTACATAGTCTTGCTTAAAATCCATCCACCAAACTTTCAACCATTAAAATTATAAATTTCATCAAAGTTCAAACTTTTGGGATCTAGTTAAATAAATACTTACACCGTAGCCCAAGCGTAATGAGAAATATTCGAAAAACAAGTGTAATGAGAAATTTTCGAAACGGGTGTATACCCGTTTTTGTTGGAAACGCTTTGCGAAATCATGACCTGCTTTACAGAAATACAAACGCCATTTCATTCTTTTTATATTACTTATTGATATTAATATAGATATTAATATAAATATTAATACTTATTTACTTTCGTCAGCAACTTTAAAGAACAAGTCTTACAATGTTTCGGAACACACTGTTGAGGTATGTTCAAAGTTATTTAATGTAGTTACTTTATAAACTATTTATTCGTTCGATTACAGTTTTGTAAAGGACAAAATGTTGATCAAAATGATACTTAAGTGCACAAAATAATTGGTTGGTTACTTTGCAGCTGCAAGTAAGTACTCATGCAGTAGTTAATGTCCCGAGTCATCATAAACTGAGACTACCTACCCACCTGTAGTCTACCGTCAATAAAACCAGTTTGTGTGAACGCTCTAATATATCGTCCCGAGAAACTAATTTGTTAAACTACAGAGGTGATTGAGCGCCAAAAGTATTACTTGAACGTGTGAACTTAAATTATAAGTTACTAGCTTTTACCCGCGGCTTCGCTCGCGTCACAAAAGGAAAAAAAGTAGCCTATGTGACATATAACACACAGCGCCATCTATACTAATACTTTTGTTTTCCCTCTTGAATATCAATTTTCCGGGATAAAAAGAACCCTATTATTTAATCCGGACTTCTAACTTTACTTCTGCAAAAATTCAAAACAATCGGTTAAGTAGTTACGACGTGGAAGCGGAACTAACAAACAAACAAACTCACTTTCCGATTTATAATACTAATAAGGTATAAACATGAAAGCTAGCGGTGAGCCGTATATTGATGTTAATACCAAAAATAGTCTAGGATTATTGAGATACAGAAAAATAGTTCGAACGAAAAATTATCGCTGCGAGCCTACAAGAGATTTGCGTATGGATATATCTTGTCATAGGCGCTACAGACAGGTCACCTGCAAATAGCGATAACAGGCGAATTAAAAAGTTTCACGGAAATACGTTTTATGCATTTTGCGCTTGTGACAGTATTGACAGGAAATCGGTTCATGGTTGGGTGTCTACGTGAAAATTCGGATACAGGGCAGCTGTCTATTGAGCTTACCAGTTTCGAAGACGAAACGAGACGCGACATGTTTTTAAAGAGATATTACTTTGATGGAAATTATGTACCTACTTTAAGTTCAATTTCTTTCTTGATATCCCAACATTTAAAAATTGATAGTTTTATTAACTGACATCTTAAAAGTCGAAAATTAACTGAATAAGTTAATTCAGTTAATTTTCGACTTTAATTCAAAAGAATAAAGTCGAAAATGTGTTAAAGAAATTGATGGGAGCTTGATGTGTCTGAACTCGTGCAATGAGGGCACTTGTTTGTAGGTAGTTTTCAAGTGTAACAGGTTCTTGTTGCGTTTGATAGGCTACGGACTGGTACGTCGATCCAGAAATCTTGGATTTCGAATCTTAGTGGGTTCTTGAATTTTGATATTGATGGCATATTTTACACTTCGATAGCAACAGTCAAATATATGGGTACCTAGTCCCTAATATTAGGTACCTAGACTTCTTTTTCAAATTCTGGTAGCATAACTCTAATTCCGTAACATTAAATATCATTTTGCTCAAAAGCAAAACAAACTTCAACTTACCTAACAAAAAATGGCACCGGTATCTGTGCATCGGTATTCGGTAGTGCTACATTTGGCGCGAAACTAGTCCGTTGGATTAGCACGTCAGCGAGCCCACAATGAAATTACCAATTTCGATAAGGTTCCGATTCGCCCCGTCCTTAGCATCCGAGGGGGAAAACAGCTGACTTTATCTTGCTTCCTTTTCCCCCATAGTGACATGCGTGCCATGTGATGTGTGCTATCTCGCTCCATACATCTGTTTGGTTCGTTCATTCATATTAATTTTGAATGTTATTTCGCTCCTTATTTGCTCTCCCTCGTTTCAGCTTATTAACCGCTTCGTAATAACTATTGCAACCTAACCATGGCGGAATAAATAAAAACTTGTCCCCTGCCTTACCATGAACAACCGTTGGTAGAATCCCTACAACTCCCATCGTACATACATATGTATACTATAGCTTACACTGCCGTTGCATTTGAAGAGGGTCCTATAATTTATTAGAGGGTCCAGGCGACGCCTTCTCCCAACACCCCTAGGTAGACATTAACTTCACAGATCCGGGTATTTTTTTAGTATTAAGTATTTTAGACCTTATGTTTGCACCCATTGAGTTTTGAATTGGACTTCTGGTAGGCATCAGATTAAAACTAAGGCATCCGCCGTTTCCAAGCTCTATCATGTCTTAATCGTGATATATTTTTTGGAAGTAAACTTTTCTTAGATAGGTTTGATTAGCAGTAACAGCTCAACTATCGTGACCAATAGCGTAAAGGTTAATAGCAAAGTGTTAGTGACTACTATTGCCAAATTCACTGTAAAATAAACTCTATCTTCTGGCTCTTAGAGTTTAAAATAGTTGGAACTGCATGTTAATAAAATAAATTGTGGTTAGTGGTTTATTTTAAGATTTTTAGCTTTTATCATACTTTTGTTTTCGTCATAGCAATAACATTATTTTGGTCCATTAGTCAGCTGAGTAGAACATGATTTCAATTTATTTTATTTTTCCTGTTTCGCATTTGTTCAGGCCTTTACTCTACACCAAATTATACATTTACTAAAATTATTGCAATATTTTTGTTCCAATTTTACAACCTTGTAATTTTTCTTTGAAATGGAAAAAATACAAAAATTTTACTGTTTTTCCATACTTATCATAGATGGCGTGGATTGGACATAACATTCGATCATATATTACACTAGATGGCACTGTCGTAGGAAATTAAGTTTACCTATAGATTAAGTAAACTAAAAAATAAACTTCTTTTTAATTTTTCAAATATACTTTATAAGATCCAATATCAGCAAAAGTGCAAAATAGTGTTCATTTAGGAAGGTACTTCGAACTGAAGAGCAGCTTTATTAATCAGTTCATCTCGCTCTCTCAAACTAGGGATGAGCGAGAAGGGGACAACAATATTATTGGGCCGCCATTTCTAAAACTATTTTTAAAATACACGTGTATACTACACGTTCATTTTTGATTCCATCCATTCCTCACGCACAATAAAGGACTTAATGGTCCCTTAAAATGTGATTTTCATAAATTTAATGATTAAAAAAATATCTTGGTTTTTATCATCTAACTCTCTCTTCTTTGTAAAGTTCCGGTTGCTATAATGAAGAACCAATTTACAACTAATATTTTTTCCGTAGGTAGAGGACTCTACCGTGGATATCGGTTGCAAAGAACTGTTGCTGGAGTAGTCTAGTAGTTCCTTACATTACATGTGGGGATGTAGGGATATGTATGTGTGGAAGCCGTGATTATAAGCTGTGGAGAAAGGGGCTCTGCACCCTAATGACGAGTGGGTGAGATTATGAACGTGGGGAAACCCTTGGGGTTGTTAACTGAAGCCCGACCATTATTGCAGACAGCAGACGGTTTACATGTCTGTCTTCGTTTCCGACATAATAGACAACACATAAGAACCTACATAAATAATTAATCGATGTGAATGAAGTAAAAAGTTAGTTCAAAAACACAGAAATAAACTTTAAACTTTGTAGATCTACTTATAGTGTTTTTATTATACGTAGATACCTAATGTTGAATACCAAACTATAGGTCATCAAAGTAAACGGTTGGGGGTCATCATAATTTAGTTACAACTGCTTAAGTTAGTAATTAACCACTACAACTTAGTAAAAAAACTACCGGTGAGAGGATAAAAAGGTGCGGTGCAACGACGACTTAATGTTTTACTAACTCTGTCTCGCTTCTGACAGTAAGGTTAGAAAGAGAAACAAGTGGTAACAATAATAATCGCGCATACGCTAATTTCGTCCCTCGCGCCCTTTCGAGTCGTTCTTGGCAACCGGTTTTGTTTGTGGAACGGCCGTAAAACTAGTGGACCAATGAGAAGGCTCGGTTGGCAGCGGGCGTACCATTGGTGACGGGTGATAGAGAGCGTTGCAGCTCGGGGCTGAGCGGGGCAGCCATGGGCAGCGCGGGGCATGGGTGCGGCGCGCCGGTAGCGCGCGCATTACACAGCCGCAGTCGTGTTTCGCCATTCGAAAAGAAGGTTATTGTTACAATGACACGGGCACCGGACTATCGATAAAGTGTGTTTGTATGTCGTTTTCGTCGATAATAAGTGTTGTGTTTACTTTCACCCGTGCGAATGTCTCGATCCTCACCTTTTCGTTTGTTTTTTCTTTTAATCATTGCCGCATGGGACGGCGCTTACGTTTCAGTTAACCTTTTATTTTGAAACGATGGAACGTTGTTCTTATGGTTTTTACACCAAAAGGTATTTTATGTTATTTATTTAATTTATGATTGCGATCTGTTGTGAGTGAGTGCGTCGCGTGTGGCTAAACATAGTGAGCTGATTTGCCCTAGGCATGGTTCGTCATCGTAGCGGAATGGAGTCGCATAAATTGAACCAATATCAGCGAACAAAGTTTACTCCGGCTCGGTCTACACAAGTGAAGGAGAAAGGGTGCCGTTCAGTGTTAATATGTTTCAATTAGCTATAGAATATTAACACAATCACTCAGCTATCTCACATTGTTTTGAAAATACATAACAATCTCAAGGCTTTGTTGTAAAACTGTCGGAGAAGCTTCGTGGTTATTATTATTGCAACGCTTCGGGGAAAAGCCGACATTGTGAGGCTCTCGCACTCGAGGGTCGACAGCCGAGGGGAGGGAGGGCGCCGTCTGTCTGCACACATGCAGAACCGGTTCGCGCTCTGACTCCCCTAGTGGGCTTTTATGGTCTCTTTCTTTTATCATGCCACACGCGTTCGCATAACGCTCTCTCGCTCGCACGTTTTCATTATTTTTTGCTTCCCCTTGTGAAATAATACCAGACGGACCGTTTTTATTTAGGTGTCTGTCCCTAAATAGGTGTATAGCTTAATGCCTCTGACAGTGATGGTAAGTAACACGAAAACACGTGGCATGGCTCACTTGTCAATAACAACACTAATATTGCACTTTGTGGAGTTGTGACACATAGTATTTTGAATTTGTTTTATTTGTTTGATACATAATGTAGACAAACTAACCTTTGCAAGAAAGTTTTGTGTGACTTGACTACGCTATACCAAACATTCAATACAACGTTATGTTGAGAGTTTTCTAGAGGAAACATTACTCACATTAAAACCATCCATCAAATTCAACAGACTCGACGCCTCAGATCAAACCAACTTGTCTTAACAAAGATTTAATCCTTTCAAACAAATACTACATACATAATAGGAAAGGAACTTTTGATAGGATAAAGTTTTACGAATATACAACTGACTTTATATCACGAAAAGTGATCAATCAGGAAATCCAACTACCTACTTACAACTCTTCAGAAAGTTGGAACATCCTAGTAAGATTAAATTAATGCATAAGTAAATTACCTATTTCTAACTTGGTGTCAAAAAGCGCCTTGAAAGCACCTATGCAGGTTTAATAAAGAACAATAAGTTTTGTTATATGGGAATGGGAACCAAATAAAAAATAATTGAATTCCTCGGTTGTCAATAGAATAGACCCTTCATTTTAGTTTTTACCCTGAGAGTTGCGTACAACTGTACTTACATGGGTCCTTCACAAAGCATTGTAGTTCCACTACGCACAAAATGGCGAACCCCTTTCAAAAGTTTCGCTCGTTGCTACCAAAAGAACGAAAGTGCAACAAGTATGAGCTCTATGATAACGTATAACGCTATCAATAGTTTAGTTTTAGTAAAGCTCATAGACCAGTCGAACAAGTGGTTTATCATCTCTAATTTAAGTTTACGGTTGACCTACCTTTCTTTCTTATACCTGTTATCTTAGTTTATGGAGCTAATCCACTATTGTGTGGATTACATTAATAATGATAATAGTTATTTTATCAAAAATGCTTTTACAGTGATAGGTGAATGCTGTAACTATTTCGCGTGTTTTGAAACACCAATCTAATTGAAGTTTTTCAAATCAAGGATTAGTTCATTGTTACAATGTTATTGTTTTCTCCTCCTTTTGACTCATCTAGACAGCATAAAGGTATATACTAGGATAAAGTCGGTGCGGAGGCTTAGTCAGTTATAGCTAAATGTAAATTATCCTTGTAGAATATATAATTGTTTGTTAAAATCAAATACGTCATGGTAGAGCTCGTAGGCAAATTCTTTATGAGTTTCTCACGGGCCACCTGTATCCAGTAAGACTATTGCCAACGAGCTACGTGAAATGAAATTACGTACAATCGATGAAATCTAAAGTTCATGGCATTCAGTTTGATGGTTACATAGCCGTGTGATATCAGACGGAGAGTTCATAGAATTTGAATTCAATCGCTCACATTAGTGACCAAGGAACGTAGATGTTTAGCCTGTAGCACCAAACATACTCGTAAATAGTATGTACACGGCGTGTACTTCCAATACGAGTTATTTCCAAACCCCAAAAAGAACTGGCGACAATTGAAATTTAATTAATCTGTAATTACTGCCCGGGGGCCTCACAAATTGGTATTTCTAGTCTATCACCCAATCATTTCATTAACTTAATAATTGTCACTAAATTGATATCTCATAGTGATAGTGTGAAACAAGTTTCTCGACGATCGACCATGATGTGATTATTAATTGAACAATAAGGGGCTATTCAAGTAGTAACTAGCTAGTAATGTTTGGCAAACGTGGACTTCCTAGTTGAATAACTTAGAAACGAAAGCCTTAAAAAAGAGTAACTTTAAAGAATGAGCTAAACTGGACTTTTTTGTAGGTAATACTGCAAATTATGACAAAGTTAATGAGTATTTGTTGTATTTGGTAGTTGGTTTTTCTCCATGTTGACTGGGGGGAATGCACTGACCGCAATTTATTGGATTCAACTGCTGGCCAATGCAAATTCTAAATTAAAAGTGACAGAGTATCGCCCACAATTCGTAATAACCCAATTTCTTCACTTGACTCTTGCATCTTGATAAGGACATCATCAAATCAAGATGTTGTTTGACTTAATAATTTAATTTCAATTCAAAGATGTCAATAATTTTGTCCCTGCTCAATATAGGCGGGACAGGACATCTTGATAGAAAATTATCAAGTTGCGTTCTTTTGAGTTTGACTTGTAAGTATTTCCAAGATTCATCTGCGAACCAAAGTTGTGCTTAATGCTGTTCAAAGACAAAGTTATTTCTAGTGCTAACGATCAATTGAAGATATATTTGATAGATAATTAGTAGATAGGGCGACGACCTGTGTTCGACTGTCGAGTTTCTGATTTTTAAAATTAAAGGAATCGGTGTGAATTCAATTAAGTATGTAAAACAATTAACCCGAAGGTAAAAATCTAGCCGTCTACGAATTTATGAGTTTATGTGAACTTGTACAAGAAAAAAAATACTTCAAAAAGTTTGCTGTTTCATAAATAACAATAGACTTCTGTGAAAGGGACTAAAGTTGTAAAAAGTAACTTTACCAATGAAAACAAAACATAAAAGGCAAAGATTTCCTTATCTTTTTATCCTACTGTCCGAGTACGCCAAACGAAATACATACTTGGGTACTCTAATGAAGCCAGCGAAATGATGAAGTTGTAATAACTTTTACGCCAGTGTTACTGTAGAAGTTCAGAAATCTTTTTCTGAGAAAGTATAATAATAATCGTGGACTCTTTTGAGAGTATAAATATTCTTCAAACAGCTGGCCCAACATATTGTATTTCCTGTTCTCTTTATAAAAAAAACTTATCACGATATTTATCTTGGGCACTGGACTCCATCTAAAAATTGCGTTCCTAGTTATTAACGATTAGTTAATGCGATTGGTAAAGATGTACATACATCCATACCATTTGTTTTACACAATGCGTACAATATATCTGATGGACGTTCAATTTGATGAAATGAAATTGACAAATCAGACTGCACAGTTAATAGTTTTATTGATTCTTTATGAATGGTGGTAGTATAGCTAGTCTTTGTAATAATATCGAACATATTTTGGTTGAATCAGTTGCAAGCTATGCGTGGGTTGAGAATATTAATACTATTGAATGCCAAACATTGTCTTTGCATGACTTTGCATTGGTTTTTTGTCATTATCGTTATCACCACCACACACGCCTTTGGCAATCCTACTTGCCAATCTAGCGTCAAGAAAAAGACCGGTAATAACCGGTTATATACGTGGGGTACTTAGCTTAAGTTACTGAAAGGTACTCGTATATTGTTCAGGTTTTTTGTAAAAAAAATGCGTTTCACCAGTATTAATTTTATCTAAACTTGTAGCGAAGTTTGACAAGACTTTTTGTTATGAAAATGGCTAATAAAGCGAATTCCGTAGGACGAACGTGTCCAAATAGAATTCTGGTCTCATTAATTTTTACATTGGCAGTTATCATTAGTGTAATTACCAAATTACAAATAATTCTTAAAACACACATAGGTATCTCGCAAAAGAAATTTCTGTATCAGGGGCTCAAAAATTATATGTAGGTAGGTACCTAACTCGTGATTAATTGGACTTGATCTGTGTTGCTAAGCGGAGCTCGTGGTAGAGTAATTTTGGTCAAGGTAGCGAGCTTTACGGAACGGTTGTTCTGACTTAAATCATTAACGTTAGCCGCAGTCGGTCCATGGACAGATGGTGGCACGGCGTAAACCCGTCGGGTCCCTGTTATTAAGCCGTTGCAAAAACAATTGTTTTTAACAATTTTGGGTTGTTCTTGTGAATTACAGCTTGTAATTGTTCAATACAAAATGTTTATGATATACCAGTTAGTTGAAAAAAGTCTTTGGTCTGGTCGGGCACGGGAAGAAATGAAAGGACGTTCGTTTAACACATATTTTAAAGTTGTGGCACTTGTCCACCAATACTGAAAAGTAGATTAATAGTTTGGCCTCGCACTTAACACGCCTTCGCGTTGATCAGTTGATGATTCAAGTAATTATGTAGAAAGAGATACATTCATAGATCCGTACACAAACCGTTAATTTACACTCTTTCTATCGTCAGACAACCGTGTTTCCCACTTCTCACCACAATTCATGTATGTACGCCTAATGTCAAACAAAATTGGTCCCAGACTCTGGACCTGAGCAACGCCATAAAACTGCTATCTACCGTGGGCTCAGCTACAGCATTCTCATTTTTATTTATAATCTAGCTGTGAAATCACTCATCGAACTCAAAGATAGTGGAAAACCTCATCTAAAATGAAGTCTTTGTTTCCCGACTGATGATGATTGATCTACGCCATTCCTATTATCACCAAACTATTTTTTATGATGATATCTTATTGATATTCCTAAAGACCATTTGAGCACCAATGATTATAATATTATTTGACCATCTTTAGATCGTCAAATACATAACCTCTACGTTCACCTGTTGTCAGTAGGCGTAGGCGTGCCTTATAATAGCTTTCCATTACAACAGTGAATCTGAAACCTTACCGGCTACCAAACAAGTTATAATCTACATAATTATTCTAAGAGGTGTGATCATGATCATTGTGTATTGTAATTTGTGATCATTTCATCTTTACTTGAAATAAATTCGTTAATTGGAACTACGGAACCCTGTAAGCGAAATGTGAAACTGTTTAGAGGTATTAAAATCCATTCAACACGATAGACGCTCTAACTAAAGTATAAAACTTCAAAAGTCTACCAGACTCGTTGACCATACGAACGTTAGACGAAAATTATATTTTTAACCAACATTCCAAAAAGGAGGAGGTTATTAACTTTTTAGTTACCGAGGGATAAAAATTAACAAGCCTTAAATCATCTTAAAAAATAGCGTTATAGCGTTGGATTATTATTTGTAAAGCTGTGTCAAATAATCGTCAAATTAAACGCTTGGCCAGTACGTTATAAAATAGCCAGGCAATAATTGTTTTAACTTGATCAATAGTTATATCGTACTTACCATTACTATTGTAGCTATGTGTTTAAGAAATGAAAAATAATAAGTCGCTGAAATAGAACCGAACATTATGAAATTTTGAAAATATTGCTTTAAACTTGTGATCATTGCTTCAGCTTTTGTTTTAGTCGCGTCCACGGAACCAAAAGCAGTGGGTACATGTACCTACAACCAGTTCCCACTAGATAATACGCTCTTTTTACTAGACATACATATTGCGAAATAAAGCATGAAATGATATTTTAAAACTAGAAGACTAGATATTTATCTGGCTTTTGTGTTAAAATGGACCCCTGTCTTTGAAATGAAATTAAACAATAACTGACTTAAATAAAAATGATGCATAAATGCGTCGTCTTCTTAATGAATACATTTTGTTGATTCTAATTTAATTCTAAAATCTAAACGAGTTAGAACAACTTGACCTATTCGATTTTTTTTTTTCACAATTATATTTTCATGTTTTATAGTACTGGCAACTTTATTACACCGCCATTGTCATTGTCACGTCAAGTATATGTCACTGTCATCATCATGCACTCATTCATTTGTCATTTTAGTGTGATAATTTGTTTTGACTTTGTGTTGTCCAAGTTTTAATCGGGTTAATCAAATATATTTTTCTAATGTAATTCACAGTATAATTTTGTGCTAATGTTGTACTATATATGTATAATTAACTTCTGAATTAAGTTAATTCTTGTCGAAGGAATAACACGTGCTAATAGTTGAATAATCATGTTTATCGTAATAAAACATCATTGTACCTTCCTATTCTGTTATAATATTAAAGATAACTAGTACTTCAGATACATTTATTGTTAAGTGTTATCAGACCAATCGTTCAAAATTAAATGTCTCAACTGTTCAGGTATTACTGTAAACTTTGGTACTTGTGTTTATTTAAATTTGTCATCAGAACTATAATAGTTATAACTTACAAATGATTTACATAAATTTTGTACAAACAATAGTACGAGTTCATTATTCTTGTCTATTTGTGTTACGGTATTGTGTTCTCATGATATTATCTGGAATTTGTGTGTGACCATTTTTAAACTGGTTATTTATGTATGTTAACTATGTTGCTAACATCACAGAATATTGTGATTGAGTGACTTTAGTGCATGTTTCAAATAGTGTATTCTTTTTTTTAGGTCTGAAATCCTAGACAACTTAAAGAAAAAGGATCAGGAGAAAGAGCCACAAATCTCTAACTACCAACAACAGCTTGTTAAACCAGTTGACAAGCCCCTGCACTCTGCTGAAGTATCAAATGCCAATGTACCGGTAACACAGCATGTCCCTGCACAGCAATTATTGTCCCCAACTCACACCTTGGGCCAATCTGTGCAAGCAAAGGAAGACCCTAAAGAAAAATCAATAAAGGTTGCAAATTCTACAACTATAACTTTGATTGAAAACGGCAATCTTAACGGAGATAAGGACAAAGACAACACTTACAAAAATTACTTCACATTAGAGCCTAAAAATGAAAAGAAAGATGATTGTAATAAGAATAGTATTACAATAACTAAGACTGCCTTGAAGCAGTCACCTGGTGGTAGTCAAGGAGACAAGAAGGGTCAAATCAAGCCTGCTAAGAGGCCCCTTCAGTACTTGGAGACACTTGCTGAGAAGGCTGGTATAACTTTTGAGGATAAATACGAGGCTGCTAATACCTTATTGGCTCTAGACAAGCAGAACTCCACCAATAGGAGACTCCCTGACTTAAAGCCACCGAAAGCTGAACCTGATAATCATAATCAACAGGAAGAGTACCGTTATAGGAATCAAAAAGAGGAAGATGACAAGCTACAGGTAACTTTAATTTTATATCAATACCATTTTTACTTAGTACCCACATAGTTTCTTCTAAATATATTTGATGTGACTTACTGTATAATCTTTTGATAACATTCATGGTTTGTCCAGATCCAGCAGCAAATAATCCAGCAGCAGCAACAACAGCAGCTGCAACAGTTGCAACAACAGCAGTTGCAGCAGTTACAGCAACAGCAGGCTTTGCAGCAGGCATTGCAGCGACAACAGCAGCAAGCTATCCAACAGCATATCAAAAATCATCAGGATCAACAAGAATTGGTGAGTTACTACCATTTAAAACTCATAATTAAATTATCTGATTGTTGTGATATAATAATGTTACTATCAGAATTCAAGTTTGTATAAAACTCATTTTAAATGAAATGCAAAAGCTCATTTGTAAAAGTAACCGGTGTGTCCAATATAAAAACAAATCCTATGACACACAGTAGATGTTTTAACAAAATGAGAGTATTGATTATTAAAAATGTAGCCAGTTTATAAAACACACTTTGAAGATGTGCTGCTTTATTTTTATAATACTAGGAAATGTAATTACAATTAACAATCATTTTCTTAGAACTGGCACTGCATTTCATTGGGATAATGCATACTGCTTGCATTAGTCATTGATTGTGCTAAAATAAATGTATGTAATTCGGAAATCTTTGTCCTCTTAGCTGCAAAAGCAATTTCAACAACAACAACAACAGCAGCACCAACAACAGCAACAGCAGCAACAACAACAACAACAGCAGCAACAGCAGCAGCAACAACAGCAGCAACAGTCGCAGCAAAAGTCTGAGTTGTTGCAAGTGACTCAGCAAGGAGACCAGCCGCAACAAAAGTATTTGCAGGTATTTACATGTAGCATAGTAGACACGTCTCAACTCTCAACCCCTGCATTACCTCATCATCCACTAATCAAGCTAAAAATCATTAATGCTATTTGTAACACGCGACGCCGACGATATTATACGACGGCGTACATCTACGTGCTTCTACTTCGGGACACTTGACTGCCTAGCATTATTTATGTAAAGGCAACCCCTTTGAACAGGTTCGACTGTCGCCGTGATTGTTTGCAATGCATCCACGCTCCAAACTCGTACATAATGTCTGATGTTTCCTATTCACGTTCATACATAGATAAATTTATCGATGCCTATCTCTCACAGGTATAAGGTCGGATTGTTACACCGTTATCATATATTTATCTGGCAATGTCAATCATCATCTAACGTACAGCGCGGTATTTGGTAGACTTCTCGTTACGATATTTACGCTATCGAATTAGCGCAATCCTAGGCACAAGAATGAAAACTAGTTCTTTTCAAACCAGTTTCATCATCATCATTCCACAGGCTGAATCTAACCCATCGCTAAGTTTAGGCAACCCTTGCTTACGCCACTTTCATCGGTCCTGTGCTAATCTCATCCGCAATTATTATTATAAGAACTAAATATATTACGCTTACTCATGTCACAAATTCGCAATAGGGAGGCCAAGGAGTTAGGTCGTCTGCTAAGCAATTTCTTGTTTCTGGACTCAGATAAAGGCGCTAGTTACAAGCATCGCAATACATTAAAAATGTCGAGGAGATGAAAAGAAAGTTGTAGAGCCACCGTACTCGCATCAATGTACTGTACTGTTCATTGTTCTATTATTTTATATCACGTTGTAGTTTACACTATTCAAAGCCATGAGTAAACGCGAACCGGACTGCATCCCTATGAGTGTGTTTGTTTTTGGTATTAGCCGGTGCACACCCAGTTCAACTTACCGGGCATTGGCGAGATCAACCTCAGCTTTTTGGCGTCACCGCAAAGTAACGTCAATCTACTCTTTGACAAGAACCAGAAGACAATGAGCGGAGATATCAAACAACAAGTAAGTCACTATTGACAAAACTAGTTTTGCGCCACACCAATCAGCAAACGAAGTTATACTCTTGCTTTCAAAAGTAAAGTATTACTAGAGACAGAACAATTTGCAGATTTGAGGGTGATCACATTGTAAGAGGCGCAAAACTTAGTTACAATGTAGGAATTTCGATATCTAGAAAACAGCACAGGACTTAGGCATTTGGCGATAATACAATTACTATGCTTATCACCCAATAACTCATTAAGTTCGCGCCCACTCTTCTAATTTACGCAGTAGGTAGCTTTAAGCTGTGGATGATATTTTGATGATTACTCGGCTGCATTTGTTTTTCTTTCCATGTGATTATTTTTTTTAAATTTATTTTATTGTTTCTAGTACATTGTAGTACCTATTTATAGAATATCCCCGCACTTTAAACGTAGGTAATAGTATATTTTAAAACCTAATCTAACTGAATTAAGGGAAATTAACGTAGGGTGGCCGTTTTCCCATAATCAAGGAAATTGCTAGAACATGGAAAAAAGCAAAGCCTTTGTAATTATTTGTCGTTCTAAGGCAATTGAAACATTTTATTTATTCAAGAATGCAATCAAGTCCGCTTTGTTCCAGTTATTTTTCCTTTACAAAGCGGTCGATGTTAGATCTAAGAATAGTTAGGGCCGTAGTATAGTTTAAAAATGTATAGCAACTACATTATAATATCAGTCCATGCACGAGGGGTTCTCTTACTGGCCTCCTCGAGAATGATACCAATTACATTGGTGCATCGATAAAATTGTGGTCAGTCGTCAACGGGGAGTCCAGTTGGTGCATAGCCTCGCGAGTTAATTCCCGTGTCGTCTCAACTTTGTGACCTGTTAACCCTGTAATTGAAAGGGCGTAACGAGTCGTAATATACCTTGAATTGAATTTAATTTAATGTTCGTGTGCATCACTGGATAGTGAATCGATAATATTATTATCCACCTACTTGGAGATTGACAGTGCGACGCGCGGCTTCTTATTGCACAGTGCTTAGCAAGAGTTTATTGTGCCTGCCGCCGGGTATTTCTTTCTCCATCAAGCACAATGCTCACCCGCTCGGTGAGCTGGACTGTAAGGAGATATGATGTGCGTTATAATTTTTTCTATGTTAACACGAAGTGTCTTAGTAGCATAGGTTTAGTTTTATTTTCGCAATTTTATTATTTTATTTTCGCACGCGTAATAACGGCACGATATTTTTTTATTCTTCTGTATTTTTTTAAATACTTTATTTACTTTATTCAGTTATAGTGCACGTTACTATATTTTAATTAGTAAACGCTGCTTTTCTAGGCTAGTTTTTTGCAGTGTCGCATATAGCCCCTCTTTTTGTTAGAGCTTAAGATTAGAGCTGGGTCTGGTAAAAATTACTTTTTAGACACCACTGCTATTTAAGACCTACAGGACCAGCATTTTTAAAAGTAATATTTTATACCTACTAAAACGTACATTTGAAATTGCTTGTATTGTTTACCTAATATAATAGAATTTACCTAGTCACGTAAACATATTTTCACGGTTTCCTTGATCATGGCAACTTTGATACCTAGTGTGTTTTGTGTAATAAGCTGTTTAATAATGATAGAGCCGTGATGACAGTTTTATATTTTCAGAAAACACTTTACTGAAATGCATGTTACAGACGTTCCAATTCCAACCAGTTACCTGTTTATTTGTTCCGTTTCACCCCTTAAGCTCCCCAACTTTTGTTTCAACACATCGACTCATATATAACTAGCTATGTAATTTCGACGGACACGGTAAAGCTGCGTAGAGAGAGGTATATTGGACGCTGTTTCATTCTAGGGCCCAACCGCTCTCAGTGCATTGCGATGCGCGCTCGAATTCGGACGTGGCTCACTGCGCCGCACAAATTAGTAGTTCGCGAGTAGCGCGGCAACTGCCGCTGCACATATTTATTACGATGATGTCTTTAGATAGTATCGTGACCAACGAAATTGTCACATATCTCCAATGCTCTATAGAGTTGATAGATGAGGTTAGTGATGATGACCAGTAATGTCTATTGTAGTGAAGATTCATACAAACGATTGAAATTACTGTATGAAATCCGGATGGTTCGCGGAAGTTATGAACACGCAAAATAATCTTTAATTACTGAAATGCATACTAATAATGCTTCTTTTTCTTTAAATTGAGAAAAGAGTTTTGCGTATTCGTACTTTGAATAAAATTTTGCTAAATTAATGCCATCTATTTCAGTTTAATTATTCTTATACTGGTAATATTTTATTTTCAGTGTGTCCCTGTATGTAAAAGTTTATATGGTTTCAATTTTATTGAAAATAGTTGTTTGTCGTGATTTAATGAGGTCCCTAAGGATATCGAAGAATGTATAATTGATGTATTTTGTTGCGAAAAACGTTTATTCTGAGATCACATTTGAAATTTTAATTTACATGTGTTTAGGCCTTTGCCAATTTAAATTTTAAAACGTAGGTTAGTACGTCCCGTTATTCAGAATACTGTTTGGGAAAAACATCGAGGATTTCTTCATCGTTTTTAATAAAACCGCATTCAGGACAGGGACAGGCGAATTTTAATATTGAATGTATAAGAAGTTAACACCGAGTAAACACGTATTTTTCTTAAAAAAGTGTCGATTTAAATACATACGAATGATATGTTAATCTCTATTGTTTACTGCTGACAGCTTCGATGATTCATATTATGTTTCAATTTACAATTTCTCTGAGAGACATAAGGGGCTGAACATTTTCTTTCTCATATCTGCATAGTACTATTTTAACTTGCCATTGAAAAAATCGAAACTTTTACTAAGTAATGTAACACATTTGTTTTGAGATCTATATTTTTAAGCTTTACCCAGTTAGTGAATTTTTAGAATTTTGCTTAATACATATATTCTATGTTTCTGTCTTTGTAGTTACTTTTCAGTCGTCGAATAATGAATCACATGCTTTTAGAAATTCTGCCAGTAAGCCTAGATATTTACAATACACAGACAATTTCCCGGCATAAAATATAAAAGTTAAACGCGTAATTTTTTAATTATGTGTAACAAAAGGTGTTAAGTATTAAAGATGGGCTACATTTTTCATAATGAATTGAGTTGTTAAATTTTTAAGCTGAGGCTTTTAACTTTGCCAAAATACTATACAATTACCGGGGAAAATGGGGGTGTAAGTGCCGCGAGGTATCACCGCTGACGTGTGGTGTGGGGTAGACAGTTGTGTAATACACGAACCGTATGTAATTATATGGACTTATGTGGACTAGTTGTCAGCCCCTTTTGTGAAAATGACATTGTAATATCCATCCGCCTGATCGGTTTCGTCAAAACAGAGTAATTGAAGCTTTAATTACTGTCTATGCGTTCATTAACGAGTTCTATGTTTAGGATTTGGTTTAATTATGTGTGTGGATAGTCCAGAAGATTAAACAGTCAAGTGCGAATCGGACTTCAATCGAATCCTCTTTTTATTATTCACATTTATTTTTTTTAACAAAGTTAATTTAAATTTTACAACAGGCATAGGCAATAGACATTAACTATCTCTGAAAATTCTAACTGTCTAGCCATCACGGTTTTGTTAGACAGACGAACAGCAAAATCTAAGAAATAGAGTTCCGTTATCACACTTTACTGTGGAGCCAGATGAACCCCGAAAACAGCGTTAAATCCGAAGAAGCTTCACTTCGTAAATAATGGGAGTTGATGGAAATCGTGTTTATGCACACAGATCGTAGACGGACAGACACAGGTCGTCCAACAGCAGTTGAGCATGTCACAACACGAGCCGTCGCAGCAGCATCACCAGACGGTGACCGTCGTGTCATCCATGCCCAGTAGCATGGCCACCCATCAGGTAAAAATCTCGTTTATTTCGTCTAATCTTTTCCTCCTATACAGCTTAAAATAACAGGCATTCGGGAATAATTTTGGCATTTTAAACTTAGTTAACTGCATCCAGGTTAGAACTGTATTGGCTTTCTTCGGAAGAGCGATAGTTGGCTGATGTGGTTAACTTCTCTATCTTTTATGTTACAAAAGAAATAGGACAGAATACTAACAGCGCATTTAATCACATGTACCTATAAATATCAGTGCCTCTGCCTACAATCGCATCTTGCAGATCTCAAGTACTGAACGATTGGCCCGACTTCCTTGTGCACAAACTTTTATAGAATAAGTGCTTCTTAGGTCCCAGTGTCTGACGTCTTGAAGAGTCGGTGGTTTAGCTTGTCAAGTGTTGATTGGAAGACCGACTAACTAACTACTGTTTTCCTGTACTTGATGCCGCGTGTAAAGCTGACGATACATTGAATAATGTAGTCTCCAATGCCGGACTAGCGATTTGGTTCGTGTTAGCACTCTTTGTTTGCAGTAGCCTTTGCGTACACACACTACCTACCTATACCTAGTACCTGTATGTGCAAAGCGTAGGCAATCGATCCCGACGCTTTAAATGCGTCCTAGCACAACGCGTATAAAAATGAAATTTTAAATCTTGTTTGATCGCTTCTCTGACTGATAAACAAAACGAACGATTATTTTATGATTTGCTATAATTCAATTAACTAGTATTTCATTTAAACCCCATATTGTACACAAAATTTATAATCTGTTTATGGTATTCCTAGTGAAAACATTCATGTGGAATTAATATTAACATAATTTCGTCCTATTTTGTAATGAAGTAGTAAGCACTAAATTGTGATGTAATCAGCTGGGATGTAAAGCCTGTTTTTATTTTGGTTTAACTTTTTTTAATTAAACAAATAATAAAACATCGGGTTGCTCGATTGATATATTTCAGCCACAAAGGATCTACGATATGAAAGCCAAATATTCAGGTGCTTACCTCATTTGGGTTGTCTGGTGCAATGTATTCGACTGGTGTCCGTCAGCCGATTACACCGTCCTCGCTTTGTGCAATATAAACATTCAATACATTTTCATTAAAAATATTTTCGTGATTGTAACTGAAACCTATCTATTTGTAGGTACTGAATGAGGTTCGGGCTTAAAACTGTACGTTTATTGACTCTTTTATGCCACAAAATTGTTTTTAAAACGTTGTTGGAAATGGGAGTTTATTTTTATTGGAGTATAAGTTTGGAAGTTATTAATATTTCTCGGATGGTTGTTTATATGTTTTTCTTATGTGAAAGTGCAGTGAATCAGTGACCTATGTCCTAGGTGCAGCAGCAACAGACCGGGGGTGGTATACAACAACAAGCTGGTAGCATTTCCACCATGCCGCCCCTGCAGAGTCTGCCGCCTAATACCCAACACCCGCAGATCAGGTAATTACTGTCCTTTACTTTATTATTTTCTTCACATTCTTTTGCTATAGGTAATATTGGAAAGGAAATATAGAAAATTTACTGCCATCACTATATAGCTTACCTATTTTGGAATCGAGTAATTAATTTTATGAATATTTTATTTGCTTCGCAAGTTCGGTATTACATAAATAAACTTACGCCTTTGTCCCGGAGCGGTAAGCAGAAACTACGGTCTTCAGTCTTCTGGAGCTTGTCTTTCCATTAACGATACTTATTAATTAATTCGGTGTAGCGATTGCAAGCGGACAACTGTATGCAAAGTCCTGGTTCATTTAATACTGTTACAAAAGATACTTCAGTCCTCGCCAAGCTTTTCATTTAAAATTCTCGGTTGGTTGGTACTTAAGTACTACTACGTGTTTCTTCTGCGTTTATGGTTATGTATCGCTGTAGGTTTAGACTCACAATTAGGTACATGATTATATACCTACCTTATGAGCAACAACTTTATTGCTTTAATTCTCACAAGAAAACAACAGTTATTTCCAGTTTAAAAAACAATATTTAAATCTCCTCGATTATTCTATCGTCCTCTAAAAATCCTGATTGACCCTATTGTCACTTCCCGTGAGACCTATTATTATGTATTTAGGTACATAACAAGTGTATTTATGTATACATTAATACTTATTTCCATGTTTCCTGATAGGAAAACAGGCAAATTAATATTAATTTCAAATCAAATTCATTTTAATACATAAAATATAATGTTTAATATGTGGTATTGACGTATAAAAAACAGACATTAATACTTTAGGCTTAGCGATTTAAATAGAACTGAGGAGCGTTTTTTTTTCTTTTTAAATTTATTTATAAAAACTTTTTTGGATGACCTCGGTGACCTCCCGGTTTTAATGATGGAAATGTTTCTGAATAATTGGCCGTTTTGTTTTTTTTTTTTGTTGTATTCTAGAATAGCAACTGTTCTTTTGAATATGTAGATTATTGTGATGAGAATATCTATTAGGGTTTAGGATATTATAGGACGGACTCATGGACCAACGGAAAACTTAGAACACTTTACAGTCAACCGGGAAAGTTAGATTCAAATTGTATAACCCAGAGGTGGGTGAAAAAGACGAAAATTATACGAAGATCTCTGTTAGTCATCAAATTAGCTATCAATAATTTATTTTAAAAATTTTATGCAGGCACAATATTAATCGAATAGAGAAATTGGAAATCTCAATCATATGCCTAATCCTATTTGGTCGACGCATACATTACTTTACTACCACAAAAATATACGAAAAGTGCAGCTTTTCGACGACTTTTATTAACTTTTTTCTTTACGTATTCGTGTTACGTTTCGAATGATCCGTTTGACAGACCGTCCAGCGGTCGGATGAACAGACGGACAACCGATCAGACAGATGACACCGTTGTAGAGTTTTTCTCCCTGGGTGGGGAACCAAAAAAAAAACAATTCAGTGGGGATTTTATAAACTTGCGATCTCGAGCGTGCTATGTACATAGCACATACCTACCTATGCACTAGTGTTTTGCATAGAGCTCGTATCCTTTCTATCGTCCATGGAATGTGTGTATAAAATCATATGTACGCCCAGCCGTGCAGTACACAATATCTGTTAGCTTATACTCAGTTGTTTTGTTATTAAAAAGGTTGCGAAGGTAGCGTATGGTAGCGATAATTAATTAATACCATCGGCATGCATTCGATTAATTAATAGAAAAAACTTACTTTTAGATTTATTCGTACTATCTTTTTTTTTTATAATACCGTCTGTGTGTACTATTTGTTAATTTACTCCTCAGTGGATTATATACGAGTCGGTTTACACTTACTTAGTAATAATTATGGAAACCTGCTACCATGATTGCTATACACCGCAGGTACAATTAAATACTCCATGCTACGTAATTAGAAGTTTAAATATTATGTTTCAACTAGGTTCAGCCAGCGGCTTCGCTCGCGTGGCCTACGAAATAGTCTATGTGTTATTCCAGACCATAATTGATCCTTGTTCTAAATTTCATCCCGATCCATTTAGCTGTGTTGATGCGTTTGAATAATAAACATACACACACAAAGTTTCGCTTTTATGATATTAGTAAGAACATATGGGATCGGTTCTTGGTTTTTGTGCTCAGCATTTTTTCGATTTGATGACCAGAGTTACATAACGTCACGCCTTTTGGTCCAAACTTCTAATCTACATGCTGTTACTGAAAAATTCTGTACGACAAAAATCTTATATCCATAAACATGTTGCCACATAACTCATCGATGTTACTTGACCAGGTGATAGGCCTTTATGAAGTGATTCATAAGACGGCCTATCTTCTTAACTTATGTTGTTGAGTTTCGGGACACCCTGTCTGTATATGCAATTATAAATGACTTCAGTGTAAACTTAGTTTTTGTTTTATTTTGTGCCTAACTCGTTGTCAGTTGCGTCATGCAATTTCATTTTGTTCGAGGGACGTCGGGAAGTTGTACTTGTTCACAAACTTTTTTATTTTTTAACGTTTTATTATAATGTGGGCAGTTTTGTTGACATTGTTGTATGTATTGGCAATATTGCGTTCGGCAACGTCGGTGACATGTCCTGTACGTCCATTCATATTGGTTTTTACACAATATTGCTATTTTACTCGTAGGTAACGTTTTTTATTGCCGCCAAACAGCCTGTGGGTTACATCTTACAGTCCAGTGAGCCTAGATATTGCAGTTTTTATGGTTCACTTTTTTTAGCTTTTTTTTTTTTTTTTTTTTTTTTTTTTGAGGGGGGAAAATCATCCAATGACTTCTCCCGCCTGGGTGAGGCGGGAGGGAGTGTCAGACTCTTACTGACTAAAAACCACCCCGTTCCTACACCTGCACTTCGAACCGGAGCCCCGGCAACCCGTTAAGTCTTCCGCGGCTCCGTATCGGCATCAGCCTTGTTAGGCCCCATCTGTGGTGGTCTGATGGCTCCTTGAGGCGCGCGCGGAACGCGACGCGCCGTACGCACGGGCCTGGTTCTGGTCGGGCGGCGAGTCACCCATGCTCGCCGTCCGCAGACCCGTGCTTACGGTGGCCGGAGATCGTCTCGCGATCCCCGACGCCCGGAGTGTCTCTCGCGACGGCCGGGTCGTGAGGAGGTTCGTTCCCTCACGCGCTCCGCCTCCTCCTTAGCTAGCATGACTGCTTCGCAGAAGGAGGAGACGGCATCCCAGTCCCCCTCGCTCCGTACCATGGTCTGAACCAGAGCCGGACGCGAGAGGTCGCCGTCGCCGATCACATTCCTGAGGACACGGCGGTGCTCAGTCCACGCAGGACACACCGCCACCGTATGCTCCACCGTGTCCTCCGGGCGATCCTCGCAGTGATGACACCCGGGCGTTTCCTCCCGCCCAATCCGAAACAGGAACCTACCGAAACTTCCGTGTCCGGTAAGCACCTGCGTCAGGCGGAAGGTGAGGACGCCGTAGCGTCTCTCAAGCCACTCCTCAAAGAGGGGACTTACCGCTGCAATGACAGCGAGCCCAGCCTTCGGTTGCGACAGTCGTTGCTGCCATTCCGCCATGAGATCACGCCGGAGCTCATCCCGCCACGCATTAATCTGGCGCGGCAGCGGAGTTTCGCCCCGGCGACGTGCCTCCGCGCGCAAACAAAACACGCGCGCGAGCACCTTCGCCTCCAGATCCCACGGCGGTAATCCGGCAAGGAGGTTCGCCGCCTCCCCGGAGATCGTGCGATATCCGCGTATCAATCGGATCGCCATGACCCTCTGTGATGTGAGCAGCGCCCGAGCGGGCCGCCGCATCAGGTTCGGCGCCCACACAGGGGCGCCGTAGAGGGCCATGGACCGCACGACCCCGGCGTATAACCTCCGGCAGGAGGCGTTTGGCCCCCCGAGGTTGGGTAGGAGGCGCTTAAGCGCCGCCCCCGTCCTTTCCAACTTAGGAGCCAAACGTCGGAAATGCTCCACGAAGTTCCACCGACTGTCGAGGACGAGTCCTAGATACTTCATCGTCGTCTCGACGCCGATGGTAACTCCTCCCGCCGTTAATTGGGACTCACCCGGAGGTGGCGCGTTCCCGCGGCCATGAAAACACATGGCTTCGGATTTGTGGAGCGCCACCTCGAGTCCCAGTTGCCGGATTCTTTCAACGACTGTCGTAACCGCTCTCGCCGTTAAATTAGCCGCCGCCTGATGCGACCTCCCGTGTGCTAACACTAGTGTGTCGTCAGCGTAACAGACCACGCTGACGTTGTTCGGGAGGTCGGTGCGCAGCACCCAGTCATAGCCGATGTTCCACAGGAGCGGCCCCAAAACCGAACCCTGTGGAACACCGCGCGACGTCTCTCGCCGGTTCCACTCACCTCGGTGACCGGGGTAAATGACGGACCGTTCCGTCAGGTATGCCTCGATTACACGACGGAGATAGGTGGGCACCCGATGATATCGAAGTGCCTCCAAAATGCAGCTCCAGGGCAGGGAGTTGAAGGCATTGGCGATGTCCAAGGACACCGCCACTACGACCTTACCTCTGGACACTGCAGTCCCCGTCGTGAGGTCTCTTACACGCATGATGGCGTCCACCGTGGAACGCCCTCTGCGAAAGCCGAACTGGCCGTCCGACAGGTCCGGCCCAACATCCGACAGGTGCGCGACGAGGCGGTTCGAAATGATCCTTTCGAAAACTTTTCCCACCTCGTCGAGCAACACGATGGGCCGGTACGCGGACGGAGAGTCCGCAGGGCGCCCCGGCTTCTTCACTAGGACCAATTTACCCGCCTTCCACAATAGCGGGAACTGGCCCCTCTCCAAGCATGCGCTGTAGAGACCAATTAATCGAGGCTCGAGAGCCTCCGAGGCCAGGACCCACGCCTTGCCGTGCAGTCCGTCGGGTCCCGGGGCGGTGTTTTTGGCGCCCATCCGGCGCACCGCCGCTCTCAACTCGGCCTCGGTCACCTCCGAAACTGTGTCGTCGTCGTCTTCGCTGTGGCCCACATAGGGCACCGCAGGGGGCGGAGTCATGGACGGAGGGGTGAAACCCCTCTGTAGTCGGGGGAACAAGGTGCCGACCACCTCCTCCACTACCTCTGGCCGGAGACTCTGAGTCAGCGGGGGAGCCCATGTGCGGAGCTTATCCCGCACCATCCGATAGGGGCGTCCCCACGGGTCTCTGTTCAGAGTCTCCAAGAACTCCTGGAGGGCATTCTCTTTGGCCCGCCGTATCTCCGCTTTCAGGGCGGCCTTCGCCGCCTTGTACCCCTCGTACAACTCCGCCTCTCTGACCTCTGCGTCCTGAGGACGGATGCGAAGCCTGCGGTGCCTGGTGTACCGGCGTCGCGCAGCAGTGCATGCACTGCGTAGAGCAGCCAGCTCTTGCGACCACCAGTACGTCTGGCGCTTGCGCTGACCTGGCCGGACCCGGGGCATCGCCACGTCACAGATTCTGGACATGGCGTCCTGGAGCCACCTCGCCTCCTCATCGATGTCGGCAGGCCTGTCCGGTGGTATCACCCAGGCCTGCACGATTGCGGCTTCAAGGAATAGCTCCCGGTCCAGCTGTCTCAGCGCCCAACGCGGGCCACATGGGGCCTGTCTGACCAACGGGTCCGCGGACTCGGTGGAGACGTTAAACCGGATATACCGGTGGTCGGAATACGTTTCCACCTCCTCCATGACGCGCCAGTCAACAACACGCGGTGACAGAGCAGGGCTAGCGAACGAAATGTCCACCACCGACCGCCCTGCATCCGCACGCACGTGGGGACAGAACCCCGGTTCAGGACGACTAGGCCTGCCTCAAGGCCCAGTCTTCCACCATCCTACCCCGAACGTCAGTAAACCGGGAACCCCAAGCCAAGTTCTTGGCATTGAAGTCCCCGAGGACGACCACGGGGAGGGAACGGAACCCGACAACGACGGCGACCAACTCCCTCAGGGAGTTGTGAAACTCGGCGAGAGTTCGGTTCGGAGAGAAATACACGCCCACCACAGCGATCTCTCCGAACCGTGCTGCGACACAACCCCGGCCTCTCTGAACGGCCTCGAGAGTCGGGGTTCCGGCGGCGGCTGACGAGATGATGGTCACCGAGCCGTCCAAGTCTGCCACCCATGATCCCTGGGCGGGACAAAATACGGCTCGGAGACCACAGCGACATTTTTGACCACTGCGCCATGCTCTGAAGCAGGAGATCCTGAGCGGCGGCGCAGTGGTTGATGTTCGCCTGAAGGAGGCGGAATGGAGCTATTATTGGCAATCCATCCCAGCCTCTTCCCTGACGGCATTACAGCCAGTGGTGGCCGCGGCGACGGTAGCAGTGGCGACTGCAGCGGCGGCGGCGGGACTGACGGGGCAGCGGAGGGCCTACTCTTGCCCCGGATTTGGCAGGAGGGGAGCAGGCCTTGCTCCCGACCCGGTGATTGGCCGGCTTACCAACCGCCGCACATGCGTGACAGTGCAGCGGGGCAGAGCACGAGCCGGCTCTGTGACCGGGCTGACCGCAACGGAAGCAGCAGTCACTGCGGTCAACCTCCGAGGTGCACCTAGCGCTCACGTGGTCACCTACGTGGCAGCGGTAGCACCTTATAGGTCGGACCTCGAGCAGTTTGACCTGCGCCGAGACCCAGCCTACCAGGAGCCTTCGACCCTCCTTTATTTTCTTGGCCGCTGAGACGGGGCAGCTCACTACAACCGTTCGCAACCCCGAATTATCTGCACGGATGGTGCCGGCCTTAACTTGCTCGGCAGGACACTCACCCGTCCTGGCCACCGCGGCCACGACCTCCTCCTCCGTCACGGAGTCGTCCAGGCCCATTATACGTAACTCCAGGCACTTGGTTGGCCTTGACACGCGAGCCTCGTCTGCACCAAGGCACACTCTGAGCCTTTCGGCTAGAGCGTCAGCGGTTGGACCGCTGGTCGCGCCGGGGACCTCTAGTAAACGGGCTCCAGTCGCCGTCACTTTCAAAGAGAACCCGTTAGGGGCCCCGTACTCCGCGGGAGTTACCGCCCGCTTCAGTTTGGCGAGGATGTCGCCATATGTCACGCCTCTTTTGACCGCGTCCGGCTGTAGAGTTATCACTACAGCCGCGGTTTTAGGGGCGACAAGCATTGCCGCAGCGCGCTTTTCCTTGCGCCGCTGCCGCTGCCTCTGCCGCTGCTCCTTTTTTCGGCGCTTTCGCCCTTGCTTGGCGACCCTCCTCGCCTCTCCGACCACCTGCCATCCACCGTCGCTGGCAGGGACACCCGAAGTTCGGGTAGGCTCCACAGCTGGGGCAGTAGACGGCCCAGCCACGGCGCTCCCTCGCCTACGAACTGTTGACGCCCTCACCACCGGTTCAGCTGGAGCCTGCGCCGGCGAAGCCGCCGGTGGTTGGGCCCGGACACCGCGGCTGGACCGACCAGGAGTAGTCGGCATAGCTGCCGCAGCCGCAAATGTGCGCGGTGCTGCTTGACTCCCTGCGAGTGGGGGGCGGAGGATCCTGCTCTCCAGCACGTCAAAACGCTGCTGGAACGCAGCCATCTCCCGCCGCACCAGGCCGATTATGTCGGCCTCCACTGGCTGCGAGGCTCGGGGTCGACCCTCACGAGCAGCGGCGAGCTCGGCCTTGGCTGATCGAAGCTCGGCCTCCATAGCCGCATTGGAGGCTGTCAGCCGGATCATTTCTCGGCGCATCTCCCCCAGCTCTTTTTGCAAGGCGGCCATCTGCTGCCCTGCCGCTGAAGGCAGCCCACACTGTCGAGCTGCTTTCATAATGGCTGCCTTCGCTTGCCTTAACACTCCGTTTCGGCCCTTCTCGGACTTCTGCCCAGCCACCGTCCGGAGTGTTTCTTTGACCACCTTGGAAAGTTCACCATTTATGGCACCAAGGTCGCCTACCGAGCCCTCGCCGCCAGATTCTGATGAGTCAGCTTCAGCTGACTCGGCCCGAGTAGCGGCCATCGGCCTCTCGCAGCCCTTTCTTCGACCCCTACCCCGCGCAGCCGTAGGGATCTTAGGGGCTGGAGCCTCCTGCTCGTTGGAGGACGGATCCCGGCCCTCCTTCAACCTGGGACGTTTAAACGTCCCCTTTTTTTGGCGCTGTGAACTCAAGCTACGCAATGAGTAAGCGCCAGATGCGGAAGAGTAGTCAGACTCTGCTTCCGACATCCTCCGACTTAATGCCCGTGTGAGGGATTTGCTGGACGACTCCAACGCTTCCCCACGGGTTCCAGAGCCACCCTGGCTCTCCCCGCCAACAGCAAGCGAACTAAGCTCGCTTGCCCTCTCCTCCTCCGGTGTTTTATTTTTATTTTTATTATTAGACTCCATACAATTCCCACGAGTATGGGGGAAATAAACGGTCCGCCCAGGCAGTGCCCCCTGTACCTGGGTAAGTGTATATTTGTTTCCCAACTAGAGGGTCCACCGGTGCTCTAGCTGGGGGTGCGCTCACGACTGACACTACTCCTCAGCCATGCATACCCTCGCCGCGCACCAGAACTTGGTATTGGAGGAATTTTTTATAGAGGTTATCTTCCTCGCGGTCCGGGCAACCAAGCCAAGACCCTCGTCCCGTTCTGAGTCATGAGACATCCATGATCTCTTCTCGGGTTACGATTTCGACGGTTGCAGTCGAGGACTCATGTGCCCCGATGCTGCTCGTTGGCAGGGTGAGTGCGCAACGAGCACCGCCCTTGCCTCTCCGCCACGTTCTCTGCTAAGTTCAGAGAGACGGGCGGAAAAACATCCCCTCGGAAGCACAGGCTATATATCAGCACACAGCCCGCCGCCTCCAGAACCCATCCTGGGTTCGTCCGCCCCGTCCAGAAGTTAGCTACAGGCAATAGCCACTCCAACCCTATCACTCCCGTTAGGGAAACTATCACCTGTACCCAGGGTGCACCACGGGGAGGTCTTCTGGCACCGCACCCCTCACTTTTTTTAGCTGAATGCACAATTAAATGAAATAGCCAGATGATAAATATGCTCTTTGATTTAACAGAATAAGAGGAAACATGTTTTTTATTGAACTAGAAAATTCCATGTCTTTGTACTTAGCAGTTGAGTATTGTAATGGTGCAGTGTCTCGTTACGTAATTTTGTTAAGGAGTAGTAGCCAGTAGGCCAAGTGACTTGCCGACGTTCGAAGCAATCATATCGATCCATAACCTGTTTTACAATTCACAAGAGGGTCAAGCATATTAAATAATATATTGTCCACTTTTCTTTAGCTTTTAAAGAAACTAAAGGACTATTGTGAACGCGAATTCCGCCTGCTGAGAGTTTCGAGATTTATAGATATATGAGATATCGAAGCCTTAAGTTGAAAGTTAGAGTTTGAGTTGCTTGTTCAGCTGGAGAGATTCGTGGCGCGACCGATTGCCATAAAGAGCAAAAATATGTGATGATATTATTTATCATACATTATCGGTTAACTTCAAAAAGTTTTTTTTTTGGTTTAATTAATTAATTTTGACTTTGATAATTATACACATATCAACACTACTTTTATCAGGTCTTCAGCTTAGTCCTTTATGAAATGAAAGAAGATAATTATGTCCATCATAGGCTATATAGTAACTATTTCAACAGCGCCGAATGGGGCCAGCACAGCCGCGTCCAGGTGATCCAGCAGCCATTGCAAAATAGCACCTATTTGCAACAGTTGTACAACGCTCAGGGCTCGTTGCTCATGCCTGGCAATGCAATATTGCATCCTGGCATTAATTCCCAGCAAATACAGGTACGTCAGTAATCCTATCTCAGCATATGCCAACGCACTAAGCTATCAACTGTCCAATTTCATCGGCCTGCTAACGAACGGTCAGTTTCAATTGTCTATCAGCAGGATTGCTTACTATAGTATATCTACTATACTGATGTTTTGACGTAAGCTCCATACGATATGTGTCAATTTATACCTCTGGTAAACGAAAGCTACAGGCAGACAGGATACTCTCGGTTATTGAAACTGGCTGTACGTATGTGACGATGCGTACAGATAGTGATGTTTTTAAGCATTCGTTTTTAATGTTCTAAATGTGAGAATTGAATTTAGTTTAAATGCACAGCTTATGGTAGCTCGATGTGATGCCGTCTCTACCTGAATTTTAATAATATGTTGTATGAAATATATTTCATTAGTATTAGCAAGAAACTAAATACCTATATAAACTTTGCGTTAATTCCTGGTAGCGAAAACTCTAGTTCACTATCTATGACATTCTCTGAGTACTTACAACATTAAAATGTATGAGTCTGTCTATCCGTTGTATTTTGTTCAGTATGAGTTCTGACACCTAACCAAACGGTAGTCAGAGCCATATTAATTTTAATATTGTTGTTTATTAATATTTGACTAAAAATATTTGTAATCAATTTCAAGTAAGATTATTTCAGAATTATTTTGTATTTGTCTTAGTTGGAAATATACTTATTCAGAATTGATATCAATAATTTTTGTTACGAGTGATTTGGATATTAGTTTAAACACAGTCTACGTCTAAATGAAAGCGTTTTCTTTTTTTTTCAATATTTTTTTGCTGGTTCGCACAGGTCATAGCTGCAGGCAAGCCGTTCCAGGGAAATCAACTGACTCCTCATATGCTGACGACCCAGGGAAAGCAAGTCCTACAAGGGCAAGCTGGTAAGTTACTCGAAAATCTAAATGTATACCTACTAAAACTTCTAATACTTATAGCGGTTCTAGACAGCTCATTATAGGGCGCATGAATTATATTTAGTTTTACAGCCAAAAATAACTGTCCAATATCTAAGTACCTATATTTGCCTTTAATAAATATTATTATGTACCTCTGTCTATATAGTTTAGGTATATGCATAATGTGTTCTTATTTTCTTATTAATTCTTGTAAATATAATGTACGCAGTACTAACGCACTGGGCCATTTTTGAGCTAAAAACTATATTTGGAAAATCTTAACACAACACAACTTGACACTTGACAAATGGTTTAAACAAAATAATTAAAACTTTCTTACTAAAATCAAAGATCTGTTACACACAACGCCTAAAACTTTGATCCTCTGATATCACTACAAACGAAGTCAGATTAAACCTGAATATGAACCTAAATACAGTGATAACGTAACAACAGCTTTGCACATTATTTCCTGGTATTGGCATGATATGCATCCAGCATCCGATAAAGTCAGCATATCCATGCAAACCGATGAGCAGGCGTCGCTGCGTCATTGTAAATCAACACTACCGCGATAAGCCGGAAGAAAGGGCTGAATATTTTAACACTGCTCGCCTTGAGTATGCATCAGACTGGCCTCCGGCGAAGCCGCTTCGGTGCCGCCCGAACGTAAGTCATCGCAAACTAGTGTCCATCATTCATACACACGATCTAGTCCACTTAAAACTCAAGCCGTAAAATACATACCGGTTTTTGTAGGTGTACTCAATAACTTACAAAAAACATTGGATTTTTCTGGTAATAGCAGCAATAATGCTAAAATAACTTACCGCTATGTACACACACCTACAGCTCGGCTCGTAGCTCACCACCATCGCCAGTAACGTTACGTATTAGCGCACATTTGTACTTATCCCAAACACATTAAGTCCCAGTCAAATATGTTTACGCCAGTCGCAACGTCCGCGCCGTACAGAACTTCAACACTATTTAGTTTTTCAGTAAATTTTGCAGGTCTAACTACGTATCAGGAACAAGGTTTATACAATTTTCAAAGTGTTTATTATGAGTCTCGTGATTGAAGATGTTAATGTCCATTTATTTCATGAGGGAGTTTTATTTCATTGATTTGGTTTGTTTCAGCAATATATTTTAATTGGCAATTCTACTTGAATTTGTTTAATGCTTCACTCAATTTATAGCAACATTTATTTCTATGTTCAGTGCAGACATAGGCTTTTTAATTGTTCACATTGCAAGTTGAGCTTTTTATTAGCTTCCCACACGTTTTATTGTATCTTGAGTCGTTACGTGTTAGTATTGGATTGTATAGTGTAAGGATTTATTATATTTTTTAATATTGTCTTTAATTTTTTCTTGTAATTTGTAAAGTTTTCAATGATTGTATCGTGTTGTCGTTTAGTAGTGATTTTAGTTGATGGTGGATTGTTGCGCGGGTGAATTGATTCGTGTTATGTATCGTCAGCTCCGTTCCCGGGCTACACAACTATCCCGGCGATCCCGACGACGCAGAACCAGACATTTGTGTTCAGCCCACTGGGCGTGATTAACTCGCAGCCCAGCATCCTCCCTGCACACTCTCAGTCCACCGTCTCCGCCATCGGCCAACAGCAAAAACAAAGCGACATGCATAAGGTAAGATCTATACTTTACATATCATTTTGATACAGTAAAATGTCCTATAAAATTTAATTACTTATCATATATTGTAACACATCTATCTCATTGGTTGTTGCACATTCACGCACTAAGACAAGAAAGCTCATCTAAGTGCATTTTTATGTTAATAGCTCTCGATGCCATTAAGTGGGTTCTAAAGAGCCTTCCCTAGTTTTCCGCTGGAGTCAATAAATTAAACTCATTTAGTAGGTGTTACATGGTTTAGTATATGTTAAGTGTCGTGGTGGCCCGGACGTTTAGGACGTCCACTTCCATGCATGAGGGTACGGGTTTGAAACCTAGCAAGTATACCAACGTGATATTTCCGAGTAAAATTATGTAGACACCAGTGACATAGGATAAAAGAAAAAATCATAAGGAAACCTGGACTTATAATTTCTAATTGTAAGTTTGAAATCGTCAACCCGTATTAAGCGAGCATGGTGCTTAATGATCACCTTCTCCGTGTTAAAAGAGACCTTTGCTCAGCTGTGGCCACTTAGGTATAAGTGGTACATGATGGACATGGTTAATTGAAGTTACTACATGCTTAAGCATAGTACTTAGTAGACTTGGTCAGTCTTTAACTTAGAAAGTCGCAATAAAGATGAGCTTGTGTTTTTATACACATAGTTTAAGTCCTTTTTCTTTTTTCAATAGTGTGGGGCTAAGGGGACTGCCAGTAAGGCCGGTGGTAGTGGTGTCACCCAAACCGTGCCTGTCCAAGCTCAGTGCGTGCAGGTCTCTCAGCCAGTACTGGGCACTCAGCAGCCGACCCAGGCGCAGATCATTAGCCCCCTGCAGGTATAATATACTCTATAGTATTAATGATAAAGGTCTACAAATTGGTCTTATTATTATTCTCTATACTGCTCCTGATTGGGTAGGCCAAGACTATCTATTATTTTCATCAGATCCTATATTTGTATTGATAGCTGTTTTTTTTCAAGTTTTTTATGCTTTTGTAGACCTTTATCTGAAAGTTTAAAATCATTTCGCTTATTTTCCAAGGTATTAAATTGTTAGTGTATCAGTTTATTGAAGTTTACTTGGAAAATTTTCGAATATGTACTATTTATTAATTATGTTAAGATTATTATTTAAGATTATAGTAAGATTTTTTTCTCGTGTACTTGTTTGCAATAGCGATCTATTTTTTAAATGCATTGCAATCATAAGCGATTTTTGTTTATTTGTGTTTTCAGCATTATTTTACTAAAATGTCATAATAATGCTAATATTGTAACTCAACACATTACTTGGCACAGCTTTAGTTATGTTTAGCACTTATTACTAGGGAAAGACATACACTTATGTCTGTAAAAATTTCAGGACAAAAAGATTATTTGATATTGATTATAATTAAACTTAATATTTCTATTCGAATAACAAATTTATCTCGTTTTTCCATTTTTTTAAATATCATTAATCAAAAAGTGTATTAAAGTGTTTGCCTACAATAATACCTACAAACAATACAGGTATGTATCGAATACGTTCAATGTAGACAAAGAAAACAATATTCACATTAACCTAATATTTTAATTCCTGAATTACAAAGTTATTTAGTCGTAGTAACTAACGTTTACCTAATTTTATTGAAAATTCCAATATTCTGACAAAGCATTTCATATCTTTTTTCAATGGAATAAGCCGGTAAACGAGCAGACAGATCACCTGAGGGTAAGCAATCGGCGCCGCCAATGGACACCCGAAACACAACGCAAGCGTTGTTTCACGTCGGTTTTCTGTGAGGCCGTAGTATCGTGCCGAAGCATGGCTAAAATTTTATAACGCTATTGTTGCTGTAACCTGCTCTTGCTAATTTAATTTTTTACATGTTTTGTAAAACATATAATAATATGTAATTATCTATGTTACCGAGTATGATATTTGTATGCACCTCCTGAAACATTGTGCAAACTGGCAACTGCAATGATGAAAATATGTGTAAATTACAAAAGTAAGAACATTGAGGAAATATTAAATGTAATAGTTTACTGAAGCCATTATTTTGTAAAACGAAAGCAAATGCAGATCGATGGAACCCCTATATTTGTGTCCCAAAGTTTTAAGGGACTTAACCAGACGCAAGCTCCATTCTAATAACGATTCCCTATGTTGATCAAACATCTATTTTAATCGGTTTTCTAGTTTTCAATCATAATACTAAACAATAGTAAATCACAAAAAAAAAACATACTGAAATCGGTCCAGCGCGTGAAGGCGTGACATTTTGTTAGTTATTGAAAAAAATTAGATTGGACACGTGCTTTTCAGATTTCATAATGCTGACAACTTGCAAAACCTTATCAATTTGCTGTTCTCTTGAAGCACGGAAATTACAATTTACTTCTCGAAGCGATTGGTTCTTGTTATGCATACAATCGGAGTATGACAATGAATGGTTGAGTCGCAGTAACACATGACGTCACATTTAATCAATTTTAAATATACTGAGCTCAATCTCCCCCTTTGTAACTTAAATGCGATTTGTCTAGATGTATTTAAATTAACTTGATAAACCTAAAAGTCTAGTCTACATAGACTACCTATAGTAGTAAAAAGTATGTTTGTAAGACGACAAATAATATTTATGGAATGTATTCTATCCCACCTTGTCGTCTTCGTTTTTTGTTCAACAAAAAAGTGTTTCACGAAGCGAAGTGTTCTATTGAGTACCGAAGTGGGCGCTTACTAATCTCAATGTCAATTCAATTTCAATCCAATAAAATCTCAATTATTATACAACAGCAACACTATACAACCCCAATCAGAAAGTACGCAACCAAAGTATGGAGTATAAAGCCAAATACAATACCATTTAATTCATTCAATATCCACGCAATACGGATACAATGGGCGGCACTGTTGCAAGTCAAGAGTACGAAATTCCACAATATCAATGTCGATCGATATTCCTTTTGTAATATGATATACATATATCTTTCTTCCTGCTGTATCCCAATATTATAAGTATTTTATTTAACCTCACTTGTGACTCTTCTGTTGTTGCGGGTGTCCGTGGGCGGCGCTTTTCGCTTACCATCAGGTGATCCGTTTGCTCTTTGCCTTCTATTTCATAAAAAAACTCTTTATCTTGATATGAGAAGTTTCATTAAAATCGGATATGTTGTTTCCATGAAGTTGACTTTGAAAGTTTCTATGAAAACCAACGCCGCTTAAATACTTTTAAAGTGCTCAGAGGTCTGGGAGCTAGGTAAAGGACGTTTTGTAATTAGACGCAATTTTATAATTATTAATTAACAATGCTAAAAGTTATTCAACAATATCAAGTCAATGTCTAATTATCTGATACAATTTGCGACTAATTCATAGACGCTTCTTTATTACCTCTATTTATATTAGTAGTAAGTTGTATTTACTATAGATGTAGTTTATAGATTGTAGTGTTAACAAAGTGGTCTGTTCTACAGACGGGTGGTCAGACGATGCAGTTTGCGCCATGGCAGATATCCGGCGCGTTGCCCCAGGTGTGGACAGGTGGTCTCCAGGCAGGGACGTTGCCGGCCGGAGGGTTGCTCGCCCCTAACCCAATCTTCATCCGAGGAACCCAACCCGACGCACCACCTTCTATGTTCATACAACACTCACCGCAAAACAACGTTCAGCATACCAGTTAGTATTCTATCTATTTATTTATACAATTAACTGACGATTTTCGTATTGTAAGTATTTGTCTTGTGCTTAAATTGCTGTTTGTCTTGTGTCCACTAATGCGAATGCTGACTCGTTTAAGCGATTGCTGTGTATGTGTTTGTGACGCTCGCGTAATGTTATACTGCCTTCTTAGAAGTAACATAAATATATAGACCATTAGCTTTTTGCACTTGACTAATTTATAATGCGATAACTTATTCCAGGCGTGAGTGTAGCATGTGCTACTTCGACGACGTCAAAGCCCCGCGCCTCTTCCGATGGGTTGGCGAAAGCTCCACGGCCTCTCTCCAACATTTTGCCTTCCAGCGGCATCAGACCTGGAGCTGGCTCCTCCGTGTCCACACAAACCAACCCCAATCAGCCGCAAAATCAGGTCCGTTGACTTTAAATTTATTTTTATGTACGTAACATAGTGTAGCATAATATAAAATTATGCAATTCGCAACTCATTCTATTCTTGTACTAGGCAAAGCAACGCGGTAAGCCTGGCGTGCGCTCTCCAGCTCCAACCGCCAAACAAGATGCGGCGAACCAAACCAACAAACTTCAGCATCAGATCCAACAGCCGAAGCAGCAGTGAGTTTCCATAATAATTTGACTAGTAGCTGATCAAGCCCCACACTCGCCCACCCTGCTTTTGTGTCTAATTATAACTAACCATACCAATGACCAAGCCAGAACCCACCGCACTACATCCTCCAACCCAGTGATACTGACTCGGTCACTGGCCGCTGGTTCGGTTACAAACTTGAGGGCCCTACCATTCACAATGTTTAATCATTCATTCTAAGCATACATTGATATTTTTAATTTATTAACGCAGAGTTTTTTGTAAACTTACAATGCAGATAATAGGGAAGATCCCACGGTCGTTCAACATCAAAATTTGTTTTTGTTCGAACACTTTTTGCAAATGCATCAATAGGGTCCTAGACGACAACCAAGTAGGACGTCGCTACAATGTACCCTCGGACTAGAAACACGATTGGCATTTCATTGACAGTACTTGACTAGTTGTCATCATCCCTATTAATCTTCTCTCTTAAATATAAACTTATAAAAGTCCAAGTAAAATTTAGTTGTTAGTCTTTTGAAATTAAATACTTAAATTGAACATTTCTCTGCCCCAAATAAAGTAAAATACTCCCGTAATGAATGCATTTATTGAAAAACAGAAGTGCCTGGGTATAAATATTTTATGAGTTAGTGAAAGAGTATCAAACAGGTTACATTATCATGAACTATCTTCCTAGCTGTAGTCATTTAAAGAGCAACAAGATGTATTACGATAAATATCAAAATTGCAAACTACTTTTGATCTAGCTTATAAAATATTTTAAACCCGCATCTTGTTAATCTCTCAATAATAATATAAATAGTTTTCACAAAAAAACCTGTGTTAATAAACGCTATATGTAAGTGTCGAGCGATGTTTTACCCAGCATGAGCGCTTATACATACACCCATATATTAACATTTATCGAAACCCTCGACTTTATGCCTTATTTCATACATGCTATCAGGCATCGGGTAATTGAACCCGGCACTATTAAACGGACATCATCTGTGAGGTGATGCCTATATTCCTTGAATATTTAATTCTCACCCGTTGGGCACGTACTAATCGTTCGAGACGTTTTTTGCAGGTTACTCCTGATGAATACGGGCCAGATGACCCAGATTACAAGTGTTGATAAAGCTAAAAACATACAGCAACAGGCGCTTCTGCAGCAACAAGCTTTACAGGTGCCTATAAAATTATCTTAATAGTCATTTCGTGCTGCTGCGTACATACAATAACACATAAAGTACAATAAGTGACACATTCACAGTAAATTCAAACGAAAAAAATGGACTTATATTATAACTCTCGTAAGACATACTAAATTAATTATTGTATTTTCGGTTTACTCACGTAACTGTTTAACGAGGAACTCGACTAGTTGCAAGCCATACTAGAGGCTCGAATTCATGAGCAGTATTCAATTTAAAAGAAATGGAATGTGTAAAATCTAGAGGAGCAAGTCGTTAGTGTAGTTAAATAACAGAAATAAGTTAGTAACCCCTCGCCTGTCTTTGTCTACAGCAACAACAGCAACAGCAGCAGCAATTATTGCACCAACAGCAACAAACTCAACAGATGGTGCATTATCAACAGCAAGGTAAAGGAATGGGTTCTTACTGTACTCGGTAGGTCAGACTATACTGTGGATGGACTGTGTAAGCTCTCACTAATGAGTGTTCATTCATAAGGAACTGTTAGTTCGATTGGAGTTACAGGTTATACAACTGCGCGAGGCAAAGCCATGTAACACCTCATGTGGTATACAAAATATTGCAAACTATTTTTCAACTGTCTCTCCTTTCCTGGCTTGCGTTGACGCGCATAATTTTGCTCGTTGCATGCCAATCTGTGTAGCGACTTTTATTGATTTTTTGTCTCTGATTGTCTTTTGTAATTTGTAAAAAGTTCTTGGGTTAATATGCTAGTGGTTTTGCAGGGATGTCGCTGGGTATGCAACAAGGTACTGTAGGATCAGTCGCACAGTCGCTCCCTATGGCAGGTATACCACAGACCATATCTATGGTCCAGCCTATTCACCCTGTGAGTATTGTTATGGTAATAACTACTGCTAATACGTGTTGTGTCGCTTTGCACGAGTTTTTCATGACGTTGAATCCTTAAGAATGTACTTACGTATATTATGTAATTATAGAATTTTCACAAATATTTTATAAACGTCATGGAGTTCTGGTTTGATGGTGGCTTTTAATTCATTTTTTTAAAATTGGAGCATGTTTTGACTTTGTATTCTGTTGCAGTTAAGTGGCATGGGCCAACCTGGGACTCTGGTCAGTCAGCTGAGCACGTCCCAGCCGCAAAGCGTACAAGCTTTGCAGCAGCCACAGGTACTATTGGTTTGATTTCTTACAAGAAACTGCTGGACAGTAAAATTAGGCCACTACTTATTTTGACAAGTTTATTATTGAACTGCATCAGTTACAACTGTACTATATACATGTACTAACTGCATACAGTGGAACTGCATTATTGTTTTGTAATTTTATTACAATCGTACTTACTGCAAATAAACTTAGAATTACAGTCCGTCTGTCTAGAACCTTGTAGAGGTTATTTTAAAACATTTTGTTCGTAATTATATTTCAAACTGTAAGTAGGTTACCTATTTCTCTGTCCACAAGTAATACTAAAACTTATTTGTTATGAAGGATTCAGTATGAACAACTGTAGTAATAAAATTACTGTTATATGTTTACAGACCCTGGTAGGGGGTGGGTTGGTCCAGACATCCGTTGGCATGACCGTTCAACAACAAGCGGCTTTAAATCACTCGGCGTCCATGCAGACGGTGAGTACAAGTCACTGTGACATATTTCATAAATCATAAATAGTTATTCACCAAAAAGAGCTGTTTTCGAGACATTTTTATGAAATACCTAACGTTTTAGTAATAGAGCAGTTTCTAAAACGTTACAATGAAGAGATTTTAGCTATGGTTTTGACCATGCGAATTAGCCTATTCTCCATACTGCAAAGTATTTATGTAAATATTGGTTGATTAGATAAAACGTCTAAGGCTAACAAATAAACAGACATACATTGAGGATGCACACTTATTGACTAAGATTATAAATGAGAAAACATCATACGAAAGGAATTATATGTGTGTAATTAATTGATCAACAAGATCGATAGTACACTGAATAAATGAATGAGTTGAAAGATCAATAAATCAATTGACTACGATCGATCAATGTAGTGATAGCAATTGTAAAATACGAAACTCCAATTATTTGTTAACAGTATCTGTAAATGTTCAGGATGGTCACAAACGACTACATTTAACAGCTAGGAATATTGTCTACATTCCATTATGATGTCGAAATATACCAATAAACTTGGAATAGGATGATCAATCAAACAATAATATTATTATTAAAATGAATACTTAAATACCGTATTCTACACTTGTACATGTCAACAATTTAATATAAACGTATACACTTTTTGGTTATCGTTTGACGCTACATGATAGTGTTAGAAATCTTGACTAAACCATAAGTCCACGTATCTCACCTCTTAACAAATGTAATGTAGAACACTAACCAATTAATTACTATTAGCATACGAAAAAACCGCTGATATATATAACCACTGTAAAGCTATATATTGACATAGCTCGAAAATATAGCGTTATTGAGAAGCATGCATCCCATAGACCAATTTATAATGCGATGTATAATAATATGGTTAACAAACCTTTTAGTGTATGTCCTCCCTTACCAATGTATATTACTATATCTATGTAATAAATTATTAATACAATCGAAAATTGTGATGTTTCCTCAGTCAAAAATAAGTGATTCCCCCTAATGTTACTTTCAAATACTTTTAAATCAACATTCCTTCATTATTATTTAATTTAATTAATTTTTTCTGAGTTATCTATGATAAACAAAATATAATTTTTTTGTTTTCTTATGTTCAATCCTGCATTGTTCCTGATACTAAATGTTTTTTATTATTTCATCCAAGATAATTCCTAATATTTCTTACATAATTCTTTGTTAATTACTTATTATCGACATTTCGCAAACATATTATATTTGACTTGCTGGAAACATCTCAATAACCTGGTAATGTAGTGTACTTATGTATAATATGTATGATATATGTAATATGTATATTTGGGTGGTAAAACGTTGGCAGCCGGGGATCGCGATCGATGGCGCGTCACTGCTGACCGCGCCCCTGGTCCAAGTCTCCCCGGCGTTATTGCACCATGAGGTAGCCCTACCAACCTCGCAATGTTATCAATTTCAACTTCTTCATCGTATTTTTTATTTATTCATCAACATTCATGTTCTATACTTTAGTCCTGGATTTACAGATTATATGACAATATTATATTATGTTTAAATCATCTTAATTTGTTGTTATTAGTTCTTGCTGATTGGTCATATATGATTCTCCAATGCAGTTATTTCATCTGTTACTATTCTATAGTTTCTTGTAAACTTGAATGCGTTTGCCATAATCAGTGGCATGTCCTACGAAACTGCAGCTTTGCATTGTTTATGAACAAAGTCGTCTTATGAGGTCGCCTCATTATTATACAAGCAATACGCCCTTATTTTTATTTCTCACCATTGTATATTTTTTATTGGATCTTGCATTTAGTTATTCATCCGTCTTGTGATATTTTCGTTAAATATTCAATTATTTCAGTAGAATTCTAAACAAATGTTGCTTTTGACGCATGGTTCTTGTGCATGGACATTGAATGGCGATCATATTGAATAGGTATAGTGTTTTCAAAGGTATATATATAATCCGATAATGTTTGGAAGTATTTCAAACGCGAATTGTTTTCAAGGAAAACGAGCTTGCAGCGAAAGGTGTCGTTGTGAGACAAGAGACAATTGTATTTAAAATAAAATAACATAAGCTTGTTTTACGACCTTTTTTAAAGAAAGTTTTATTAAACTCATTTAGGATACTTTGATAATTGTTACAAACAAATTTTTGTTAATATCCCGTTGTCAAAACGAATGAAATATAGGTACTATTATATAATATAAAAAGAATTATTAATAATGTATCTATATATTGCATGTTCCTCTCCATACCATTAAGAGTTAGATATTAATTTTGAAGTTCCATTAATCATAAGGCATGTTTCTAGTCAAACGTCTCTCTTTCGACTGTACAAAATATAAGCATGAGACCTATTTAGTAACATAAATATTGTAAGTATTGCTTAACTAATATAACTGTTTACTTTTTAGTAAATTAAAATTGTTGCTAACAGATGCTGTATGATCAGTTACTAAATCTTCTAACCTATTGTTATTTGGAAGATATTTTTATTGTTTAGACGCCTACACATCAAACAAATTATATCAGTTAACTTTGTTGAAAAAACCGTACATTGCAATCTACTTTAATGTGTTCGCGTCTGTATAAGAAAATGGTAAACTCAAGTCTCAAGAAATGTGATTGTTCAACAGCTAACACTCCAGGCGGCTCAAGGCACGGTGGGTCTGATCGCAGCCCCAGTGCCAGGATCCGTGCTCCCACTACAGACTCCGGCGACTCTTGTCACCCACGTCAAGACCGAGGATGAGAAACCACAGATATCATCCACTCCGGTAATACAAGACACGTTTATAGATATTATAAAATGATTATTTTGTTCTGTATGTATGTACTATGTGCAATTAAATGTAGCGTCGTCGCGTACAGGCGCCCGTATTGCAGATCCAGCCGACTCAACAGGTTGTTGCTGAGACGTCTGATGCTACGTCCACCACGTTCAGCTCCTCGGTCACCACTACGGCTGACGCTTCTGTTTCTACCAGCACCGCTACTATTGGTAAGTAACTTACTTATTTTGTTTTTGAAGCACCTTTTAACTGATTAAAGTACTAAGTATTTAATTATTTCTCAATCTCTCAGTGACATTCCCCGCAAAATAGTCAATTTTTTAAATTAACTGACACCCGGTTTAGTAGCAAGCAGCCCTATCGTGCCAAAACTACAAATAAATCAAGACAAAAATATTTACTTTGACGTCGAAGTCAGATGTACCTTTCTTATGTCCAAATACTCAAAATTCATTGAATTTTAAGTCGCGGTTAAGTATACTCACTTAAGTCACTACAAATTCATTGTAAAATGACAGAGACGGCACGATATTTAAGAGTACAAGTTTTGTTATTCGGTTATATATATAATAACAAACTATATTTAAGGATAAGGATTACTATTATTAAAAATTGTTATTTTGTCTTGACAATAAAGGTGCGGTAACCCCAATGGAGACTACGCCTACAAATAAATCTACGCCTACGAAGGCAGAGAGCCACAGCACCACAGCTGAACCGTCGTCTGCTTCTACCTCGGTAGCGTCCAGCTCTGCACCGGTACCCAGTAGCGCTCAGCAAACTACTCCTGTAGCACCCCAGGTACTTACGTCATACAACTTACGATTTACTTTGTTCTACACGTGAATAGATTGTGGCGAATTCCTCATAGTTCGACTTTAAACTAACAGATGGCGCGTCTGCAATGTGAAATAAATATACATCGCGCAAGTATAGATTGCACTACACAAAATAGTAATGTCGTATAACCATTGCGGATTAAGCCATCATACATTATCACTTCTTCTGGCTGGAGGCTTCTCTCTTCTCCAGAATAAAAGCACATAACACCATATTCCCTAAATATACCCAAAAGATGAACTAGTACAAAATAGCAATATTCAACATTAAACTTGGAAGTCCAAGAAAATACTGTATCTCAATTCTCTTATAGGTGGTAACTACAGTAGCTTCTTCGACGTCGTCGTCTTCAACGATGACCGCCGCCATTACCGCTCCGGTCACCTCAGGCGGGACCAGCTCGGCTTTGTTCAAGAGTACGCAGTGCACTCCACGCCACATGAGCCAGCAGGCCTCACACGGTCAGTATTGTATGAACACTTTTATGATTTCAAAAATATTACATTACACCATCAATTTTACACTTGAAATGTATGGGAACATAAAAAAAACAAGAATTCGAAATAAGAAACAAGCTAGTAGACCTTATTCACTGCTCATAAATTCGATCTAGTTTGTGATAATGGCACTTAGTGGCCAGTTTATAAACCTATACAACATTGAAGTATAATTAATGTGTACGACTGGACATCCGACTGAGTTCCCGCTTAGTAATATAATTTTGTTTCGTTACAGACAAAGGCCTGCCAAAAGCTATGGTGAAACCGAACATTTTGACACATGTCATCGAAGGATACGTCATTCAGGAGGCCGGAGAACCGTTCGCTGTAAGTTTCATGTTTCTTGTCTTACAGATAAGGCACCGCGAACTAAACTTTAAAAAAGATTCATCTTTGATAAAAAATTTCATTTCAAATTCATTGAAATTCGTACAGTACCATTGTCTCATAGATTCCATTAGAGTTTCGAAATTCATCCGACATTCAATTGGAATATTTCGATTGGCATGATTAAATAAGAATTCTAAAACAACGCGCATCGTTGCGTAAGAATGTAACTAAAATTGGTGCATTGTCTGTTTACATTCTACGGCATCAGGACTTTTACTATAAGGTATATTCTATTTCATTATGTTCATTGATGTCGTGAGTAATTTAAGATCTGAAGGAAATCTCAAGAGGTTGCCACTGCGCATGATCTGTGTGCAAATACATCTAACCATCACATTTATAAACCATGCATTCATACATCATACATATAAGTCATAACATTCAATAATAATAATAATTAATACAGTTTAAAATCTGTAATACTCATATTTAAATAAGCTATGTGTAGTATAAGTTTTATTATTATAATTTATGCACGTCTATTTAGTGTTATGATTGTCGCCAATCTATGTCGTTTTAATGTCTTCAATGGTTTTTATTACTTTGAATGTTCTATACTTTTTTCACTTCTGTACTATGGACCGAAATTGCATTTAAGCGATAGTCTGCCGAGAGAAAAGAAAATATGCTTTTGATATAATAACCATGTCAGTGTCAATACAATATTGACAGCACGATAGCCGGGTAATTGTCTGCTGTGTAACGTGTCGATGTTACGATTCCAGCGCAGCACAAATTAATCTTTATGTAACTCATAAGTTGTTGTTCCGGGACTGAATGAGATGTGTATGTGAACGTTAGTTAATGTTAGAACATATATCTAAAAATGTTTTCTATTCTGTTGGTAACCTATGTCTTAAATATCTTTGGTTTATAGTAATGTTGTTAAATAACTGTGTCGGCGAGTGAGCTCGGTGGATGATTGATAAGTAGAGCAATTTGGTGCAGGTTAACCGACCACTGCGCGACTGGGTTGATAAGGAACAGGACAAGGAAAACAAATTGCCGACGGACGAAGGTCCGCCCCGTAAGTTACGTTAGTATTCCTTTCTAACACTCTATTAATTTAGATTAGTTACTAATTTAGTTTAATGTAGATATAAATTCTTTGTTGACTGCTGTTTAGAGCAGTTGTATCGATGACTGGTGGGTTCTTGGAGAGAGCAATATATTATCGATGTTTTTATGTACGAGATAAGGTCGGCAAACTAACAGACGGATCACCTGATAGTAAGCAATCGGTGCCATCCAGTGCTTTGCCACCCAACGCAAGTATTGTTCCTGTGAGGTTAATATGGTATCATTCAGAAGCACATTCGTGCTGAAGATTTGTGTCCCAAAGCTTGAGTTTTTCGACTTTCGAACAATTATTCTGAATTGATTTCGGGGCTATAGAATGCTCTCTATTTTAACAAAGATATCACATTTAACATGTTTATTCTCGTCTATCCCTTCAGGATATAAAATGCTATGTTGTTATCAAACCATCGTCTCCTGTTACATTTAATTGACAAGTAAAAAAGACGTTCATTTTCCTTTTCACATTTTCCTTTAGTAGACCAAAAGGCGTCATTTTATGCCATGAACGAATATATTTATAGGCAAGAAGCACATTGGGGAACACCATGCTTCGAGCGTTGCTCGTATCAGCTCGAGCAACGAGACTGCTTCCCATAGCTCCGCTCCGGCTCACTCCAACACGAAGACTAGACATGAAGAGGCTGCTGCCAGTAGCACGGCTGAGACCGCCAGTGCCAGTTCGGACACCACTCAGGCACCCAAGATACCTAATGCTAATAAATGGACGGTATGTATACAACATTCGATTTGTTTCAATTTCGTCATGGTATTCTATCATCTAAGGACTGGGTGATATAATTGAAATCCCCATGCAATGGCTAATACAAAAAGTCTTAGTTTATTTTTTTTCCATTTATGAGAAAAGATAGAGAGAACCTACAAGTTCCATATATCATTCCATTAAATTTCGACTGTTAGCTTAGTTCAAAACATGTTAATGAGTAAAATATTGGATGTAAGTTAATTATTTTTATTATAAATCAGTTTGTGTTAGGATGCATCAAAAGTTTTATTCATATCATTTTTTTTAAATCAAACAATGTTCCACAGGTATCAGAGGTGTGCGACTTCATCCGCAATATCCCGGGTTGCGCTGGCTACGCAGACGAGTTCCTCATGCAAGAGGTGGATGGCGAAGCTTTACTCCTGATTAGACCAGAGCACCTTGTGATGGCTCTATCCATGAAGCTGGGCCCGGCCCTCAAGATTGTAGCTTGCATCGACTCACTCCGCCCGGAGAGCGAGCAATCCTCTCATGATCATGACTGAGGTAAATTTTAACTTACTAAACTAATACCCACTAGAGGAAGTTCATTAATTTGTATAATGTTTTGGCTTGTGCTGTAAAGTTATACATGTGCTTATAAATAAATTAACGTTAGCCCGCCCAATCACAGCACGTTAAAACAGTCACTATTCATAAATTTTAGACTAATGGATTGACATTAGCAAATAGTTTTGGACCAAAAGACCTTGTGCTACATTAGCGATTGTAGTTGCAAACTCAGGCGCAAATCTCATTAATCTGAATTTAATATAATATATTGTTGACTACATTATTTTAATACCAATACACTTGCTTTTAGCTTTATATTATTTATTTTGATTTTGAGATTTTGATCATTGTACTCATTGAATATGTTTTTTATTTTTAGATTTGCTGTCCGTGTTCTTCGCGAACAACTTGTAAGGCAGATACAAGTGAAGCCGGAGAACACATGCAAAGGAATGCATTCAAATTTCGATCGCGTATGAATGATCATTAACCACTGTAGACAATTGTAGAGCTTGTTATTATGGTTGTTAGTTCTATATTAGCTTGATAGTGACGTCGTTACATTAAACCTACACCTTAGAAAATTTGTCGTGTTACATCCTGTTGTTAATTCATACAGCCTTAAGCTGAAATAATAATTTGAGGCGTGTTTTTAATCTAATTAATGAGTATTCCTATTAATACACACATCATAGAGTTAGATATAACTTCACACAGTAACAAACTTTTTTGCATATTGTCCATTTAACCTCCATGTAGAATTAACTCGTTGTTTTTATAAACAATGCTAACTTTATGCATATTTTGGAACTTTTCGAATGGAAATGTTGAATAATCCAGCATTAAATGAACACTTAGATGTAAGCTTTTTAATAGAATCACAAACTTTTTAAATAGACTATGTATCGATACAGTGTATGTATGTGGAATATGTCAACACTATTTTATCCTAGAAAATGATATAACAGTAAAACTTGATGTCTTTGCAGTGTTTTAGTGGATTATTAATGTGTCGATAATAACATTTCACATTTTTAAAGTCATTCGCCTTTTATAATAATACAGTCGTCACGACATTTTTGTCCTTTTTCCTAAGCTGAAATAATGATAATACTAAGTGTGTTTTCAAGTTTTTATCAATAATACTGTTACATGCGTGTAGGTCTCATAAGGATGTACCGATATTAAATGTGTTAGTAGGAAACGTTTCGCCGCGTATGGCTCGCTCTTCGCTAAAGCTAGCCTCGGCATGAAACGATTTATCTAACTTCTACTTCCTGCTGAGACTGTTTGTGTTCATTGTTGCAAGTTTGTATTTGTAGACTCCGTTTACTTTGCCCCCGTCCATAGTCAGTAGACGTCATTTAACCATAGAGCTGTCAATTATATTACGCTATTAGATATGAGAATTCAAGATTGATTTTAAATGTCTATATTATACGTAATAAATATATTATAAAACAAGCCAACCGTTGTTCAACATCTAAATTCTTGTCCTGTCACACGCTGTCACCCACGGCAGTTTCTATATCTGTCAACTTATACCCGTCGCCCATTGTAACATTACGTATAATTGGCCAGAAACATTAACGCGTTTCAAAACAAATTCGGATAATGTTATGGTGCACTTAGGACAAATGTCGAAAGTTCCGCCTATTTAGTATTAAGTTACTTATTTAAACCTGTACTTAGTTGACATTGGTTTCGTCTCTCTTTCGCTCTATCTCGCTTTTATTCCCCATTTTTATAACTTTAAATGTAATTTGTTTGATATGTGTTACTATTAACGTGACCTGCGTTTTAATTTACTTATATTTCACAGTTATAAGTAACTATCTTATGATTTAAAGTAAATTCTCTCGTAAATAGTCCAACGGGTAGACGTCGAACACTTCACTTTAGTGAGCATTTGTTCGATGCCTTCGCCGTTAACTATTGAAAGTTTTTTAAAGTTGCTTTTCTACACATTTATTATTTGAACAATTTGACATTGAATTGTAAATGGGTATAAATTAATCGGCTGATGTGTGAACAGAAAAGTTGTTTTACAGCATTCGGCCTTCCGAACAACATGTTAGGGGAGTAGATGTATGTATACACTTTATATCCTAGCTAATTAGTGGTCTTCGGCAGGCGATCGATACTTTATCTCGATCGACGCTTATTTGCATGACTTGATAGTAACGTTTAATTGACACCAAAAAGTATAATAAGGGCACAGCAGGCTTTTATCATCGATCAAGTTATCGGATGATAGTTCCAGTACATGGTATACGACTACACCTCGATCGCCTGCCCTAGCGTTGTGGACAAATGTTGATATCTAATGTAATAACTGTTGCGACGCTGATGCAACGTACATTTGTAGGCTAGTTCACGGTTTATAGTAAATAATGTTAACGTAATATTAAGTCGATATATCTAAATATTTCTGAATTATTAACATTAAAACTTAGTCGTTGTAATAACAAAAAAGATATTTCGCTTTTCGATTGAATTCGATACGATACTGGTGTACTTTGCAACGATTCTCTTTAGTCTGTGTATGTCTATGTATATTTTCGCGAATTTAATGTCTGTGGGAACACTTCTGTCGAGCAAACAGCTTTTTACACCCGTGGTGCTACTTAGTTGTATTTATGTCGCTTTATTATTACACGATTTGTTTAGGATTCATTATTGTTAGTAGATAGGTACTTTATATTATAATATATTATATGAGTCGAGACAGCGATTTTTAGCAACTTTAATTAATATAGTATTATAATTATTATTGAAAGTATAATCACCTACCTAAAAGGTGACTTTTAAATTTTAGAATTATTATAATCGTTTATCGCGTAACACGTTTCATTTTGTCACGTAAAATGTATGTAAATATATATTTAGCTTGTTGGATTTTAGTTTTGCTGGTGTTACATTATCAAATCGGTGTCGTTTTTTCATGTGTACATATTGGAATTCTAGGTAGGCACTAACCAAATTCAGGTCAGTAAAATATACACCATAATATATTATGATACTTAGTTTAGTGATTTTAAACTGGGATTTACGATTAGTATACTATATATGTAGTGATCTAGGCACTGGTCTAGTAGATATTTTCACAATTATTTTAAATCATATTTTAACGAGATACATTATTTTTTCTTATTTTAAATGTTTGTCGCCATGTGTTGGCGTATATTATACTTTTATTAATTTTAATGTCGATTGATATTTTAGTGGCTACGTTGTATTATAATAGCATATTAGTTAATGTTATGTCATTGAAATAATTATTTACACCAAGAATACACCGTGTCTCGATGTTTGTTTACATTATTAGATTTGTGTAGTGATGGTAGGCCCGTGTTGTACATCTATCGTAATATGTCTTTGTTTATATATGTCCTTGTTACTATGTAAGTGTATATGTATAACGAACAGTCGGCTTGAGCACTGCCATGATGTAATATGTACATTTGTGTAGTCATGTTTACGAATACTCTTACGGTTCTTAGAATATGCTGTATTAGATTTTAGTAGATGTATAAACGTTTTAATATAATAAAATCTTATTACCTTTCAATGTTGTTGGTATTGATGATGTGACTACATGATTCTGCAAGATATTCGTAAGTAATTAAATGGAAATTGTAATGTACAGAACACTGCTCAATACCGTGCAGTAGCTAATTTCATGGTACATTAAGGAAAATAAAGCAAATGAGACTGATATTATATGTTTTTTATTTATTGCATACTTTACAATATAAAGTTCAATAAAATCTCGATAAAACAATACAAAATAAAACTAGTTATTCGATTTATATAGCAGTTTGTTAATATACTGAAGTTACTACCAATTTTAGTCTCCAGATGAACTTGCGACAGGAATGTAATGATTATAACTAAAACCGCTATAAAACCTATATAGAAAATACCCTAGTTCCATTTCAATGTAAAATAATAGCGTGAACTTCGACGACTTCGTGTACAAGAATATTGGTAAACAGCTGTACAATATACAAACGGACAAACACAGCTAAGCTTACATATAACCACCTTAAACATACTGCACCAAAATACCAACGATCAAGTGTTATCTGATTCCTGCTAACAAAAGAATTAAGTTAGTTTTCCATCGAACTCTGCACAAAGTTACTCCTTCGAGTATATCATAGCAAATATCCTTTGTACATGAATATTCGGATCTCATACAGGACAGACTGCAACGAACTAAGTTACTAAAAAACTCCATTCATCAAAAAGCAAACAATTTTCATGAAAATGTATAAATATTAAATACTAAGCATATAAGTAAAAATTTGCATTTCAAATGGCTAATGACGCCTATTTTGGACATCAAAGTATGTTGCTACACTAGGACACAGCACTACGTCACAGCGTCACACGTCTCGGTGACTCGCATCTTCAACGTAACCCACTTGACTGAACCAGGAGTCGGGGCTGTGTGTGAGAACTGAGAGACAGAGTGCAATAATACGGCTGCAAGTACAAACAAAGCTACGAAGTCCTCACAAATATATACTACACTAACACTACGCTAGCATACGGTGCATTACAATAATAATAGTAGTCCCCGTGCGGATCACGCGTAGTTGGGGAAGAAAGCGTCTGCTGAGGGCTCGTCGTATCTGTACTGACTCTGGCTGGGGATTACGCCGTACATTCCCTTTACATTCTGCGTTCGTAGTCCCGACTTTATGGGTATTACTCTAATTTTTTCGGGCACCGGTCTCAGTTGCGGACCTTCTATAGTTTTCTGAAAATAACATTAGCGGTTCGTTCTTGGGCTAAATATTTCCCCCCGAGTGTGCGTTTACGCTGCAGTCCGTGTGTGAGTGGTATATAGATGTGCAAAAAACCAAGCGAAGCAAGCACAGTGTTTTTCCAAAGCAGCTGTATGTGCATATACTTAGAGACCCCAAGCCTTTCTGGATATATAGGGCATCTGGTGACTGGAGCCGCCAAGCACACGCTTTTGGTGACCTACTAATCCGCCACTCATTCCAAGGGCCTATTAAAAATATATAAACAAATGTACACATATATTGGTATAATACACATTCATAATAAAAATACTTTAAAATTATAAAAATAAGGAATGCGTAATAATAAAACAATAAAGAGATAATATTGTGGCTATATGACTAGTTTAGATGTTAACTTTGGGAAAAGAAAATAGTTTTCAAAATAATTAGATACTTAAATAAAACACACTACCCAGGATAGCAGACTATTTAAGTAGAATTTTAGACGATTATATATGAGGAGCCTCAGAAATTATGTTTGCATTATATCTGAGAGTGAGATCAGTTGGAACATTATGTTGATATTATATTTGTAAATAGCTTTAGAAAGAAATTCACTCTGTGTACTACAATATGATACAATATTGATAGTGTCTTGTTTTCTATAAAATTACCCATTATACAGCAAATAATGTGCGCATAAGTACTTGGGAAGTGCATAGGTGTTGTTGCATCAAAATGCCTAAAGCTTAAGGTAAATTATATTTAAAGGACTAAATTGACTTGTAAACAAAATGTGTTAAGGTTTACATTACCCTGCTTGTGTCCATGTAGTCTATCGGTTTACTGGCAGGCAGCGGCCTGATCATCATCTTTGTCTTCGAAAGTGGGAAGTTCGGTCCTTTGAACGAAATCCAATACATTGATTGCCCTCTGTTTTCTTCTGTAGTCATCGAGTATTTTCCGTTGAGGTTACTGTAATGTTATAAAGGAATGCTTTTACATGGTACCCAACCCATGGATTGTACGAAAATGACTCTACATTCGTACGTATGTGCTTGGATTCTTCAAGGGAACTAACGGTCCAATAAAGACTCCTTGTTTTCAGGTTCGCATATTGTACGTTGAGCCACCAGTTCAGTGCAAATCTCTCCTTTTTACCATGTGACCCATTAGGTAAATATTGTATGCAGACGAGAGCTTCGATATAATAGTGATTAATTTAGGTAACCCCGAGGTTACCTAAATTAATCACTATTGGCTTTGCCAAAGTCCTTACATCATTTAGAGGATGTCTTTATGAGGGATGTTACAGGACTACGAAAATACCGTTAGGTACTCTTAGGGCAATCAGACTTTGAGATACCTGTAAGTGTGTCGCGCAAGAATATTATTCCATTTTTTCATGATCTATCAAGCTAAGAATAAACACAAATATAAGATACCTCTTATCGCATTCCTTATACCACCACGCGCCACCGTGCTCCGTTGCGCAAGCGCCGTCCTTCCACTCATCGTTATCCACATCGTAAGTCGAGAACTTCTGACCAGCGTGGTACGAGAGAGAGTCGCCTGACATCCAAAAAAATATATGTAAAAGATCATGAAATTTTATCTTTAACCTAAACTCTCGGAGTCTCACTCCCGGATTACAATCAGTAGCCTCCAACTTGCATTGGAACTCTGCATCATTGACTTGAAATTGTGCATCATGCTCATCATTTCCAGTTGGAACTGATGTTTTTGGTACTGACCTGCCGTTCCATAGAAGGTGCCGAGCGTGCTGATTCTGTACCCTTCATGTTCAGGTCCCACCGTGAACACGGAATAGCCTGCGTACGCGTCCTGGTCGTGCTGCGTTTCCATTTCAATCCTCAATTCATACAGCTTCTGATTCGTCAGATAATTGAGCTTTTCCAATCCCAACCAGAACTCCCCAGCAAGGTTACCGAAACCGTACTCATAATCATTCCAGCCTTTGTAAAAGTCTTGAGAACCGTCGAAACGATTTTGGAATACCTGAAGGTGTTGAATAGAAGGTATTAAAACATTCTGCCTAACTAGATTTTTGCCATTAATCTCTCAACCTGCAAATGCTTGACATTTGTCATGGACTACCCTGCGCAAGGCGTACCTGATAGATACTGATAAACCAACTTTAATGTAAAAACGTTTACACTGATTGGCGCTGGTACCACTAGACAGGTATAACATCCACTGCACTGCCACAGAGAAAGATCTTCATCATTCAAATCAAACACTTTATCAGCAATTATTGAAACGCAACAGCTTCGTTTCATTGTATTGTGAAGATCTAGAGAAAGTGTGTATATATTAAAATAATCGGCGCTCACCGTCCAGCCTCCTCCTGCGGTCGTGAGGTCACACAGCACGTAGAACGGCTCCATATCATCAGGCCTGATCTTGTAGATACCTGACACGTTGAACCCTTGCACTTGGATCTCGTGACAGTCTGTCGGATACCGCTCAGATCGATCAACCCTCCCACTCCTGCAAATACGATAACTGATTAATCCACAACGTAGTTAAAAGTATACATACATATTTCTTCAAGGCACATGCCAATATCGTGATGTCTTCAGCTGTAACTGTAACCGCCTGTAAACAACACATCGTTTATAATAGTGGACGTGCATAACAACGTTGTTTACATTACAATGTAGATTATTTAAACTTTTATTACTGAAAACATTCGTCAATCTGATCAATTTACAGCGCATTTCATTTCAATTTGAAAAATTGACGATACTTATTTAATTACTAGCGTCTACCAGCGAACGTAATAATTAAGATGATTCTTGTTTTTCCCAGCTACATTCTTTCAGCTTTGAGAGAGGATTTCTCAAAATTGCACTTCGCGAGGAGCCAAGTTTCAGCTTTCTTTTTCTTTCAGTCAATCACTCGGTGACGAAAGAGTTTTGAGGTAGGTTTTAGTATACATAACTAGCTTCTGCCCGCGACTTCGTACGCGTAATCCCATTATTCCCGTCCCCGTTCGTGATTTTCGGTAAAAAGTAAAAAAAAAAAATTTTGGTCAAAAAGTATCCTATATCGGTCTCCTGGCTCTAAGCTACCTCCCTACCAATTTTCAGCCAAATCTATTCTGCCGTTCTTGAGTTATAAGTGGTGTAACTAACACGACTTTCTTTTATATATATAGATTAAGTAAGTACAAGATTCCCACGAAATACATCGATCTCCGAACTAAAGATCGGAGACGAGAGCATTATAATTACTCACATAATATAAAAATACCATAAGAAAGATTCAAATATTTACACTTGCTAGACACAACAATGGCACGCGCGGTTTTGTATGGCGGTTACGTTTACCAAACACTTACTTGCACTCGCATTTCTTGGTTTTCTGTTCACGAAGCGTCTTTCTGAACTCGTTGATGATAGACATGGTGTCTGACGATGTTGCAACCTCCGATCTAGGGAACAATACAAATAGTTTACTACACTACACCAGTAGGAACACCCACATTATGGTTTAAAACCAATAATAACATCATAAACGTTGAAGTTTACAATTATGAATTCCTCTTCTGAATATAGGCCTCCCCAATGGCTTCCAGATAGTCTGGTTGGAAGCGAGCTGATGAATTAAGTAATTAATTAAATTTGTCTTTGGGAAAAATATTAAAACGTCGATATTATATAGATACGAAAAAGTGTTCGTTCCTACTTTTACGCCAATTCCATTAAAGGATTGTTATCAATCATACCGTAAGTCACTCATTCTCAACACTCATGTCGAGGTAGGTACGTACCTAAATGAGAGCCAATAGTTAAATCCCAGACACGTAGCGAAATAAATCAAAAGTTGTGACTTATAATGAAGCAAAATGACGTTTATTATGGGACTCTAAAGTCGTGAACACGATGCACAAATATTAATCTCATGTGTATTGGACACCCGTGTTAAATATCTCACGGAAATAAAAATAATGTAGCCTAAAACACAAACATACAAACGGAAGTATTCTTATATATTATGAGAACTAGTGGCTCATCGGGGTCTTGTCCAAGATCAATATAAGGAGAATTAGGAAATATGGCAGAGTACTACGTTTTTCCCGCGTGTTTGAATTTGAAAAGATATTATTTAATTAGTCATTCTGAGACTGGGAACAAGAACCTCGGGTTGTCGGAACACACAAAACTCGCCCTTACGACGTTGAACAAACCAGTCAATCTGTTTAATCAGAAGCTCCTTCACCAATTTGCACAGAATGCAGTAATGGCACACACAAGAGGCATAATTACAAGTATGAGAAAATACATTAAACTCAATGATGAAAAGAAAAACCGTATCGAACTAATTACTTCACGATATTTCCGTCTTAACTAACACGCTCGCCAGTTACAGCGACGGCATCCGTCAGTCTTCCAGCTGAGGAAATTAATCAGTTATCGTGAGCGCTTTACAAATTCACGAATCGGAAATAGAAACCTTTCACATGAAACGAATTCTATTTTCACAGCTAAGAAGCTTAAAATCGTACGTTAGTATTTACAATCTAATCACACAATGTTTTGATAATAAAACGAATCATATTTCTACAACGTAAATTCATTAAGCGAATAGTAAAAGCCTCACTAACGAAACTGTATGGATAAAACGGGATGTGAGTGATTTGAGAGCAATAGTTTTCTGTGAACAGGAAATTTAATCTTGTTCCCAACGAAATTGCATGAATAAAACTTTGCCATAAGCTGCTCAATCCGGTCAAGCGGTCACCGCACTCCACTCACTCTAGTATATACCTGATTGACCTGATCCAATGTTTAGAGACTACTTTTGTATGAATAAATTTTGGGGATTTTCGGTGCGATGTATACAACGTAAGATGCTAATATATTCAATCAACGTCCAATTATATAGAACTAAGGTAAGCATAAGTAGTTAAGTCAACCTAATTGGAATGATTGCACAACTTCAATGCACGTAAACAATCTACAAGATACAAAAATAACACAACCAGCCAATCATCTGTAAGTTGAAAGAAGGAATCTCAGAAACACAATTTAATATAAATATACGAAGGGTTGCAAATAAACTGTATAGTGGAACAGAGAAGTAGTGACGTCAAATGAAAATACCTGGAAGGACGATTACCGAGGACGAGTACTGACGCGTAGAAAATGGATGACAAACTAGGTCGATGGAATTATTAAACTCGACGGGAAATCAGGACTCGGATAAAAGCAGCAGATAATTGCATTTCCTATAAAATTGTTGATGTAGAACGGTGGAAAAGTCCTTCATTATAATGTGATCTGATTGCAGTATTCATGGTAAGAGAAATATTTTCTATTTGCAGATACTTATTAGCTACCTACCTAGTTATGATGGAAAATTTATGAATTTTTAAATAATTCCAGTCATATTCTCAGGCTAGCATCATACATACACATCACGCCTTTTATCCTCGAAGGGGTAGGCAGAGGTGCACATTATACCACTGTACAATGTAACTCCCACTTTTCACTATTTATGTTATGAGTCCCATGTAATAGGGGGTGAGCCTATTGCCATATACCGGGCACAGTTCCAGACTTCGTGGTACTACTGAGATTTTTTTAAAAACCCAGTAATACTTTGCTCGACCCGGAAATCGAACCCGAGACCCCTTACCCGGCAGTCGCAATTGCGACCACTCGGCCAACGAGACAGGCTTGCATCATTACTAACATTATAGATATTCGACAAGTTAGTAAATAACTTACATTCTTTGAATTACTCGAAGTACCTTCGCGAGTGACAAAATTCAGAACGCAATCTGGACAATTAAGTATAGTTTACCAAGGTCAGTATGCCATTTATGTACTACTTTTGAAATGAAGATTCTTTTCAATAAGATAAAAGTAGCTCGCCAATTAACTTTGAAGCCTTTAGTCTACCAAAATGGTCATCCTGTTGTTAAAATATTAGGAAAAAGCACTTACTTGATGGGAAAGTTTCTCGAATACTGCCGGTTTTTGACCTCGGATATGGTGGACACAATGGATTCTACTCCAGCCTGTATAGTCTTCACGTGAGTCTCTAGGAACGTGAGACGGGAATCCAGGTTAGAATCTAAGCGGTACTCGCCCCCTTCTACTGAAAATAATAAGTATTAGGATGAGCAGTTAAAGCCTCAAGCTACGGTGGAACTGTGGAAGGAATATTCCACCTTGTGTACACTTGTACAGCTTGCAACACAAAGCATACTGTGCTACATCCTACTCAGGATAAATCGTATTGAACTATATACACTCCAGCACATGGTACGTGTGTAAGCCTCAAAGCATGTGATTTTCAAATAAATATTTAAACGTCGCAAGCTTCAATAAACGCAGTTTGAAAAAAATTTTGTAGTAAGATTATTGCAAGACAGATTAGTTACAGGATTTACAAACTACGATAAAACAAAGGCAAGGTAACTGGGATACTTCTTACAATATCTTTGTATTTACTAAAGAATCAACAAAAATGTCTACATGGGCCATTATTTCCCAGACATAGAGCAACACACATTTGCTAACAGCCTGGCTCACACTTGCAATACCGAGGCCTTAGTACGAATTTGTTTTACGTTTAAAGTAATCGAAACGCGTACGCGTTCAGCGTGCTGATTGGCCGGCTCCAATGAACCAACCAATCAGCGCCGAACGTGTACTCGTACTACGGCCTCAGACAGTGGTACAATCAAACGAATTGCGTGAACATAAAAGGTAGGTACAGTCTATAACCCAAAACATAAGATTAATAAGAAACAAGATAATTCTTGAAACAAATAAATACATAGGTAAGTTTGTTTTCGATCAGTTTCTCCGCGAACTGAAACTTTCTTTAATCTTATGTATCCACAACTACATCAAGCTGGTAAATCTATCTGAACGTCCTAAACGAACTGAGAATTCTTGTACTTACTTGAGTTCGAGTACAGCTTCAGTTCTGTGAAATTAAAAGTTTACCTAATAAGCAGGTAACTATAAAGTCATAAATGTGTATTTTTGGATGGTTCTTATATTACATCGCGTAGATATACCTACCTACTGTCCATCAGATTTTTACTATCTATATGGAACCTTTTGTGCTTTTGTTTCTAAGTGTAGTAAATACTTATGTATGTACTCTAGCCAACAAGATCAAATATAATTTAATACGTGTTGCAAAGAGTAAAGTAATCACATATTAAGGTCACGCGCTAATTCACTATCATTGTATATGAATGAAATTACCAATCCCTACTTATCAATCTTATCATAAAGATGGTGGTACATATTTTGTGTCTATAAGTCACTTATCGGGGTAAACAGTCTGACACTATTAATTATGTTCTACTAAAAAAAAAATATATATTTTTGTAGGTACTCTCATTTTGCTTGTATTCCTGTCTCTACTTATAAAATAAGCTTGGCTGACGTGGCTACATAGTCTAAAAGCACTTTGCTATTGTAAATAGACGTTCAAAGTATTGACACATGCCCCACTAAAAACATTACATCGACAGGCGGTGACAAAATTTTATGTGTAAAATGCACATTTTCTTCCTATTAAACTGTTCGTACGAGTACTTGACAGTTACTTTTTAACCTATTTTCCAGTAAAAGCTTTTAAACACTATGTACTTACCATCTGATCAAAATTGCTTCTGAAAGATATTCAATAAAAGTAATAAAATTATTTCCATAAAACGTATTTGAATGCCATCGAGGATTAAATAATTTGTTTACTTATAAAATATTTTAATACAAGGCCTTAATCGTAGGTCAACTGAATTAGGATTGCCTTAGGTAGTCAGTGAACTAACAACGACAGATAATCTAGATGCACTAAGGAATCCTACTGCTATAATTTGTTTTGATTTCTCCTATTGATAAAGCCACTGAAGCAATTTATCTGTATCACAGTTTGACTTGGAAATTAATGCAATTTACTGCACGATTGGAGATCTATTCCTTTACAAGGTTTCAGAATTTTCCATCGGTTTCAAGGCTTATTTCTCAGAGTTGTATTCGCTACCTACCTCACATAATGTGCATTAAGTAAAATGAAATAGTTCAAGAACAAGAAATCTAATCAAATCTAGCATCAATAAAATTCCGCTGGTCGGTCATTGATAATGTATTTCGATAACAGTCTAAATAATTTAGGTCGTGATAGATAGTACTAGCCTCTAACTAAACTAAGAAACAAAATACTAAACACTAAAAAATGTACTTTTGGGAATTAAAGACACAAATATGGAATGTACAATAATACAACAGATCACAAACATTACTATTATCAACGTATATATTAAGTACATACATACATTGTTAAATTTTCGACAAAATGGGTTAAGTAAAAGAAATTTTCTACTTCAAGAATTAATGGATTTTAAATGATCAAGTCAAAAAGTAATCTACCTAACAAATTAATCGACCTCACTCACATAGATACGAATTATCATTGTCAATGTAAAAACAAATAACAATACCTGTAGGCAAATTGGTGCGTTGCATTGGAGTCTTCTCTACATAGAACTTTATCGAGTTCACGTCGTTCTTCAAGCTAACCAAGGCGGTTTCCATTTTCTGAGCGCAAGTGTCACTGCGAAGAGCTTTTGAAATTTCATTCAGCAGCTTGAGTATGGCATTAGTCTTCTCATGCACTTCAATGTCCAGTCTATTCAATCTGAATTCTATGCTGTCTACTTTCTTTAAATATTTCTCACTGGAAGTTATGCTTTCCATCAGTTTCTCAATGACAACATCATTCTCGTTGGAGGGAGCTCCTTGTGCTGCCCGGGTGTGGTTCTCCCGCTTCCTGGTAGCCAGCATAGCATCTGTCAGTTCCGTCTCGTACTCCTTCTTCCACAAAGATTTGTCTGGTTCGTCGTTCTTCCGACGCCCTCTCTTGTCTCTCGTCACTTCACAGGATATTGTAGTAAGTGCTACGAGTGCAATCTGTAGAACCGTGAGACTTGGGAACATAATGCGGTGTGTATTCCAAGTGTGATGTGAAGCGACTGGCGTTAAACTTCATCGTCAGTCCGATACCCACAAGAGTTTACAAAACTGCGTGAGAACTAAATAAAAACATCGCAAAGTTGAATGCTTCAGTGGTGAATCCCCGAACGTGGTGATTCGCACAGATTTCTCTTACTAATGTTTATACTGTTTGTCACAATGTTATGACAATATTTATTAAACATGAGTGCACGGCAATACAATTTATACAATTTTAGTGCCACGAACGAGCTATCTAGCCGTGGTAAACGTAAACGTTGTGGTCAGCTCCGAAGAAATATACACTGATTTTATTGCCAGCGAAAAATTTAAGTCAAATTACACTGTTGTTACTTAATAACTTTTTTACAGGGCTATGATTAGAAATGATTGTTGATGAATGACAATTAACGAAACATATAGAGATACAACATTAAATTATTAATACACATCATATCGATGTACCGTCCTAGTGCTATAACTATAATGAATTACTAAGTAAGGGTAAAACACAAGACGCGATATCGTTACTTCATACAAGACAGGATATCGAAACATAAGCAAGAAACTGAGTAATCTGAGTGGAGTATGTGACTGATTTACCTGCGGATCATTCAATTTTATAATTGGCGTCTAACAAGAACTGCTCTACTGGAGACTCCATTGATGTGTGATGCCCTAAGTGCATTGCATCGCAGTGTTAATTAGTAGCCGGACGACGTTGTTATAAAACCTATTGTTATTGTTGTCTAAAGAAAGGTGTTCTACGAATATCTGTCCACTCTTGTGATTGTTATCATGTCAAACAAACCTTTCACGAATTTGATTCGATTGCCACGAATTGTTTACTTTACTACAGTGAGAACACTATAGTAAAGTAAACAATTCGTGGAAATCTAACAACAAAACGTCGGTACGAAATGTAGGTACGAAATGATACTTTTCTGACTAAACTCTATGCTTCTTCCAATATCCAATTTAAGGTTTTTTGCCCACACTGCCCACTGGACCCACAACAATACCCCTGGCCCCTGACATGGACTGGTGGACCAAAGATAAACTGAAACGATTATTCTAAGTGGTCAATTGTTCCAACCGAGATTGTAGCTGGAGAGCCAGTGAACCCTGGGAGTAACGGTCTCCCTGTAAGATTAGAAATTTGTATACTTATGATTTATGGTATTCTAAGAGCAATAGCCATGACCTGGCAGGCGTCAGCCCTGCACGTCATCAGCCCCTTTATTTTTTGAACTGTTAAGTAAATTGGGTTTCAAAACTTGTTTCTGTAAATTTGAAAATTTAATAGGATAAAGTTTATTTATTGTACATCTTAAAAAAAAATTGACAGGTGATTACAATAAGCAGAAATATATGGCAGATCAATTAGAAAACGCACAGTTGATGAGGTAATTAATAAACTTTATCCTGTATACTTGAAATTTTTATATGTCTTCAAATAAACGTCTAAGAGTAAATATGTACAATGCCAGGCGGTTTTGAACAGCATAAGACATTGACAGGCGAGGGTAAATATGTACAATGCCAGGCGGTTTTGAACAGCATAAGACATTGACAGGCGAGGGGACAGCTGCTAAGAGCGTGCGAGAAGTGTCATGAAGATGGTACAATACATAAAACTCAGAAATCAGCAATGGTTGAAATTTTAAAGGCAAATTTTAAAGGCCTCTTCATGGTTTTGGCACGATAAATCATCATTTATATCGACAACCACAGAATATTATGGACACTATAAGTATGGCATTGTTTGTAATTTAAGTTCACTATGGTATTCCCGATAAACTCTATCATTTCATTTGTGCACCAATGTGTAATTAAAAAATCTACGAAAGCTTCTTTAAATTGTATGTTACGAAGTTCTTTCATAAAATCAACTGGTCGAATTTGTTCTTGTCCGGTAATGAAATAATTTTTGTTTCGTACTTCTTGTCGTTTGGCTCGTTCATAATCTTTAATTGACGGCGAAAAGTATTGTCGGTCGAAAATGATATCTACTCGTGAGGCATGTGTAGCTGTTAGTAGCGACATAATATTTTTGGAAATACCACTAAATGTTTTGGGGATATTTTTTAATGTATGCAGTAAGAAGAATCCATCAAAAATGACAACATCAAAACGTCTTGGTACGTCTTCACAGTTGCCTTTAAAATTTCAACCATTGCTGATTTCTGAGTTTTATGTATTGTACCATCTTCATGACAGTTCTCGCACGCTCTTAGCAGCTGTCCCCTCGCCTGTCAATGTCTTATGCTGTTCAAAATCGCCTGGCATTGTACATATTTACCCTCGCCTGTCAATGTCTTATGCTGTTCAAAACCGCCTGGCATTGTAAAAATTTACTCTGAGACGTTTATTTGAAGACATATAAAAATTTCAAGTATACAGGATAAAGTTTATTAATTACCTCATCAACTGTGCGTTTTCTAATTGATCTGTCATATACTTCTGCTTATTGTAATCACCTGTCAATTTTTTTTTAAGATGTACAATAAATAAACTTTATCCTATTAAATTTTCAAATTTACAGAAACAAGTTTTGAAACCCAATTTACTTAACAGTTCAAAAAATAAAGGGGCTGATGACGTGCAGGGCTGACGCCTGCCAGGTCATGGCTATTGCTCTTAGAATACCATAAATCGTAAGTATACAAATTTCTAACCTTACAGGGAGACCGTTACTCCCAGGGTTCACTGGCTCTTGGACTATTGGGAATTCAGGATGATATTAATCTTTTCACTAACTTGGGAATCGAATTTTTTAGCTAGCGCATTAACTGTCTGTTATTTTTATTCGTATTTTTCGAAATAAATAAAGGTTTGTATGGATTATTTGAGATGAAAGGATCTGCTTAAGTATCTCATACTCGTTTATACCCTACTCTTCTAAATTTAAAGAAACCCCTAAGCTAAGATAGATGACACTCAACGTCCTTTTTGTATCCACCATCCCATACCTAAGTGAACCTTATCAGTAAAGGACCAGTTTACGTCACGCTAAGTCACATTTAGTTAAGTGATAGACTAGGGGTGATTGGTGAAAACAGCCATAAGATACTTAAGCTATACTTACTCTCTCTTTCTTTCATTCTTTCTTTCTTTTAGATATTTATGCGGATCCTTTTCCTATCCGGACGAAGGGCACATTCTGACTGTCTGACTAAAAACCACTAACCTAAACCACCTGGTTCTTAAACACACCCAAACGTACGAGATGTGAACATTTCAATTGTCAAGCAGGAGCTGATGAACTTAATATACTATTTATTATGGCGCATGCCCAATAGAAAACAATCATACTACAAAGAAGTGAAACAATATCTATTGTACTAGTTGAAGTAGTTGAATGTCGTTTTGTATTGAAAAGAGTTTTTATAAGTTATTTGTACCTAAGTATTCATTAAATTGGGAGAACCATGCTTCAGCACGAAAGGGCCGGCTCGACCAGAGTGATACCACGGCCTTACAGAAACCCGACGTGAAACAACGCTTGTGTTGTGCTTCGTCGTGTGAGTGAGGTTACCGGTGGCCCAATTACATCCTAATCTCCCCAATCCCTGAATCCCCAAAATTCCTCAAACTCCAAATCGCTCCAAATGATGTACAGTAAAACCCGCTTAAGACGATTTCTCAGGGACCTTACCAAAAACGCGTCTTAAGCGAGAAAGCGTATTATGCGGGATAGGGAAAATAAAAAAAGTACTACTTATTATAATGTAATATGTTCTAATTTTTGTAATTATACATTTATAAATTACGTTAAATACGTAGTGTAATTAAAATTACATTATTTAAATAATCACTTATTTTGGTTTGACAAAAAGATTTTGATGCATTAGCAATTAAAAGATTTTCAACATAATTCAACTTTTGCAGTGCGTCTTCGCTTTGATCCATAGAAGCTACATAGCGTCTTAAATCATAAACAGCTGATAATGCCTGGGCGTTTGACAAAACCGGAGTTGACTCATCTTCGTCTTCATCATTATCACTTAGGGCTTCGTTTTGTGTGTTGTTCACATTCTCAATAAGATCTTCAATTGATTGAATTTTGTACGGTGCTACATTTTCATCAATAGAAGAGTATCCAGGAAAACCCTGCAGTATCTCGGGTTCTTCTTCTTCCAACACGACGTCTGGAGCGCTGACCTCTCTCGCTGCTCGGCGTGTATTAAACGGGATGACGAATCGTATTAAGCGTTAAGAAATGTATGAAAATATATTTTAAGTTGCAGGGACCGACGTAAAATGGCGTATTATGCGAGAAATCGTATTAAGCGTGATCGTCTTAAACGGGTTCTACTGTATCTTCCATCATCAACTCATTGACATGAAATGAAGACCATCAGACGCAATTGGTTGAATAACTTGATGATATTGACAGAATAAACGTAATATTATGTGCTTATAATTTGAGGGTTGTCCTCGATTTCCCTACGATCTCATCATCAGATGCTAACCACAGATGACAACAGTTTTTGTACATTTGTACATTAGGGTAGGATATACCCTAATACCCTATCGAACAAACACAAAAGCGCAAATCGGATCAGAATACCTACTTGAGTTAATGACGTACAAATATAATTATGAAGTATCGTGAAAATGACATCATTGAAGTAGGTACCTAATTATAACGCGTAATATGAAAACTACTGCACAAACCACGTCATAAAAAAATACCAGTCGAATTGAGAACCTCCTCTTTTGGGAAGTGGGGTAAAAAATATAGCAACCTAATTAAGCTCGACAAGCCATCGTTTCTGTGGAATTTAGGTAGGTAATAATAATTTTAACAATGCTACGTTTAAGAAACCTACTTTAACTTCCTTTTTTGAAATTCGTCGAACCGCTTCAGTTGGAAAGATTTAAAAATAAGTGGAAAAAGATGAAAAGAAGAAGGTTACACGTGTTGCCGATGCACGCGCTGACGTGCCGAGAATAGAAAGTAAAAATTAAGTGGAAGGTTGCTGGTAATCCTGCTGTGAGGGGCAAGACAACCTTTGTATACTTTTCGTAAAAGATTTAACTTTCTTTAAAACATGGGAAATACATTCAACTCTATGATAGCATAAATTAAATCAAGAATCACTCGACTCAACGAAGGTACTGAAAGGAATTTACCAGAATTGGAAGAAAAATTCATTTGGTAGTTTCAATTTTACAAACACTTACGGACTGTTTCATGGCCCGACTAAAACTTAGAATATTCCTTTAAAAGTATTTTAAGTGAAGAAAACATCGCACTATGCGATACAGCTGCCCTCCATACAATGTTGAAATTCGAATTACTTATTTTTAAAGCAAATTTATGAACCTGATAATAACAGTCATAACGTAGCCTATAATAATACAATTCACCCTAAATTAGAGTAGGTAATTAATATTTTGTAACCAAACCGACTGGCATTTGGTCCTTTTAATTTCTAGTTCTAGTTGACCATGATACCGCGAAGAACTCAAAGTCAAAGCAATTAAATATCTGTAAAGGGGCACATTTGAAATGTTGTAACAGTTTTATCTGTTCCGTCGGTAGATTTGTGACTAATTGCTCGTTTTGAACCGTACCGAAGTTTAAGTAAATTTTAAACTTAAGTAAAATGACTGAAGTAACATATTCAAAACAATAAACCACTGTTTACATGATCAAATATTGATAAGACACTAGAACCAAAAGAAGAAATAATTAAAAAAATCAGAGCTGTATGGATGATAATAATTTTAACGAGTCTTTAATAACAGAAGCCTGATCGTGCGAAAGTATTTTAATGAGATGGCGATGAATTTTAATAAATTCTCGACACCATATTAAAAAATGTAGATTCTTATTTTTACCAATATTTCCTCGTAGCTGTATATTCGAATATTCGTTTACCGTTTTATCACATTTTTCTAGCAACGTGGGTAGGTAATGCGTTTATTGAAAATCAGATTTTCATTTTTGGGTTCACGTTGGAAGCAAAATTGCAGCGGATTTTTACGTTATTTTCGCCGAAACCTTTATGATTTAACTACAGAGTTAATATTATCGTAAAAGTAAAAATCAAAATTTGACACTGCTCAAACCTAAAGGTACACATGACTATTTTCGGAAAAAACCCAAAGTATTTCTTGGAAAATCTTATTTTTGGACAGCACGTAGAGTGACGTAGGTACGTAATTGATTTTTAAAAATCGCTCCCGGTTTACTTTCTTATTTGAAGATACTATCTCGTGTATAGGTAGAAGTTACCTATGTTTAATTTCGGTTAAGTTATTACCTATCTATCGGATCTCTATCTTACAGCCATTCGACCAACGGGGTACACCTACTCACTATTTTTTCATCGGGGAATAACGTCGAATGAGTTATCCCTCCTGGGTGAGGCGAGAGCGAGTGTCAGACTCTTACTGACTAATAACCACCCCGTTCCTACTACTGCACTTCGAGGCCTGGCAACCCATAAAGACCCCTGCGACTCCCTAGGAATATAACTTTAGGCAATTTCTCTTATCCTTTGCTTTTTGTTACCTATGTCCCAATCCCCCCCCCCTCCCCGATCCCTGACTCCTCACATTCCTAATCTCCAAAAGGCCGGTAACGCACTTGTAACGCCTCTGGAGTTCCAGATCTCCATGGGCGACGCCAATTGCGAACCACCAGGTGATCTGTCTGCTCGTTTACCGACTTATTCTATAAAAAAACATACCAAATTGTTGCTAGGTACAGCTGGCCGTCTATGTATAACACACGAGGAAAAAGTGCTGGTAACTGAATGATTCTGAACTATTTATCAACAGTTACAATGAGGTACAGCTGGGTACCTAAATCCCCAACACCTTTACTACTTATCTTTTCGATTCATTACTTATCATTTCTTTACATTACGATGCAAGTAATTTAGACACTCATAGCTTGTTATTAAAAAATCAAGATAATGTACCTACATGGTTATACATGGATTATTTTGCAATTTGAATTTCGGAGTACCTACCTACGATGCTACACACGAATCACATTTACCATCAACGGTTTTATGTCGGCAGTGAAAATCCTTATAAAACTGTAGGACGGGGTACGTACGACGTCCCTATTAATTTTAAAACAAAACAAGTACTTACTTAAAAAAAAATTTATGTTAAACGATTTTAATGAACTCTATTCTACGAATGCAATCCCAATTGCTTGACCTACACAAACAAACGGATCAAGGAAATAAAATACTTAAATGTTAAAGTCAAAGTTCATAAAGTCAACTATGATATGTACCGGAATTTCTTAATTTCAGTTAGATGCCTAACTATAATTCAATAATTCGAGATCTCTGCTTAGACCTAACAAAGATTCAGATACGTAGTTAACTACAAATAATAATTATATTTAGTGTTTACAAGAAAAAAATGAACGCAAAGTTTCCAATTCCATGTAATTTTAGTCGCTACCTAAATAGAAAACAAAATAATAATTTCCCAGATTATGTGCAGTTTGTTTTGTGAATTTTTTGTGATATTAATGTACCAAATGTTGTGGGAGACGACTGTTGAAAACAGCAGAGTCTCGCCTTACACAGAAGCATATACATACTTAGGTACATTTGACACTTAATTCGATAGCAGCGTGGAACCCCCAGATGGATTGATGGCCCGTGGCCACTACAATATTAAAGGCCACGGGGACTGCTATATATCTTCTAGCCTTTTCTTAACTAGGTTGTGGGATTTGTAGGTCAGTACAAGGTAAGTAGATGTACCTAGTTTAATGAGCGTTATCTTACAGGGTACAACTGCCTTAAGATACCTATTAACACACTGGGGATAATCAGACATTGTTGGTCTTTCGTATTTAATTTACACTTGTCTACCTTTGTCGTCCTTGTATTAAAAATTTTCTATTACATGTTTCCTTACGATGTAAACTCTACAAACGAGGAAATAAAACAATATTTCGTTCCTTTGATTTGAACGAGATCGTTTTTAGAGGCTACCTACATTATCCTGCTGCGAGACTTTGTCATTACATTTCATTACACACTCTCGCAGTAAAATTAGGAACGGAGTAGGTAGTTCATAGTCAGTAAGAGTTTGACGCTCTCCCGCCTTATGTAAGGAGAAAATCTTTTCTCCTCTCAAAAACCCGGTACCACAAAAAGATACCTCTGACGTTATGCTGATGATGTCCAACCTTCTCTAGTCTGTCTTTAATGTCTTTAATGTAATTTGCTATTACATAATAATAACACATTTGCTGCATTCTGGTGGAGGGGATTTGTATCCTTCCAGTCTTCTTTTTTCTTATCCTTTAGTTATTAAGTATACGTATAGCCTACAATCACTTTTAACTATTGTGATTAAAATAAGAGTTTTCAGTATGTATGCACGTTTAAGATCGCTAGGGTAATATTATCTACCTATCAAAACTGAAATATACTCTTAGATAAATCCTACATCTTCTTGAAACCTATATCTATGAAACAACAGCCTCAAATACTAGACATGTATTACTTTTACACTACTAACGACTTTATTTCGCATTAAAACATCATTTTTAAAGTGATTACGAGCGTACGAAGCCTAATCAAATAGATTGAATACCTCATACATTTACCACTTCGGGGTTTTTTGCTACATAAAGTGACTTTCCACTTCATGATCAGTTATTACTGTGTCATTTATCAATTATGATTAGTAACTGTTGTGATTGCTTGTTATTATTTAAACAAAATTTATTAAATAACGCCCTAAAGGCTATAAATTATTGGAGGGCAGTAAAATAAACATTTGTTTAGAAAATTACATATTAACAACGTTACGGCTTACACTGTTAGTGTTGTTATTTACAACCTACGTTTGTTTTATTTGTCTAACTAACGCTTTTTAGGGGAAAAAATCATCAGATGAGAAGTCATTCAGTCAAGTCAGACATTACTCGTAATGACTAAATACCATCCCGTTCCTACTTCTTACCTACCACAGCTACCTAGTCTTATATGGTAGGTAGATTAATATAAGCATGGTTCATACCACAGAAATATTAAAAAAGAAATATTAAACAGAAATATTAAAAATATTAAAAATTCTTTATAATATCTGTGGTTCATACTATGAAATCTTACTTATTTAACGTTTAAGCCATTCGATGTGTTATGGTGGCTCGGGGGTTTAAGACTCATGCATGAGAGTGCGGACGGCGCAGATTCGAAATCTACCAACGGCAAATACCAATGTGACTTCTTCCAAGTTATACTTATGTACAATTCTTTTAGACACCACTGACAAACGGTGAAGGAAAATTTCTCATTGAAGTCACCAAGCCACATTGAGCAAGCGTGGTGATTAAATGCTGTATCTAACGTTCTCCGTAAGAAGTTTCCTTTAGTCAGCAGTGGCCACTTATAGGCTGTTGATCTGATGTTTTTGTTTTCTAGATTCGATTATGTCAAGTGCCATAACCATAGGCAAACCTTCAATTTTCTATCGTTTAAAGTAGGTAATACCTATCATTTAAAGTAGGTGATACCTAACTTTACTGCAGCTGAACTACTCTAATATTAGTTTACAAAACTAGGTCGGCCGTCATTTTAAAACTATGTCTAGGGACCACGAAACTTTAACGATATTAAACTGTGAAATATTGTATTGATAGCCATTTTGGGATTCCGTTCTATTTTCATGAAAACCACGAAGTTATCTAATAATAAACATAATACATAGAATGTAGGCTTGTACAGTTGTACGTGGTAGGTTGTGATTTTAAGACAGTTTCGGTTTTAGAGAAAGATCAATAACCTTTTCTGGAAAAAATATAGGTAAGGTAATTTACCTAGGTATGTTTCTGTGAGAGTGAGACAGACCACAAAATTACTAACTTTACCTACATCTACATATTTGATTAAATAGAAAAACTACGTACCTTCACGTAACAGCAGTTTCGGCAGTTCACTTAAATATTTGTGACCTTCCTTTGAATCACAAAATATTAAAAAATCATACCTAAATGTCTATCGATATGTTTTACTTATATTTCCTTTCCCATCAATCTTCTTATTTGTATTTTTTAAATTAAATGGGTACCTAACCTGCCTACCTATTAATAAAGTTGAATGACATTAGTTTAACATCTTAGTTGAGAAACAAAACTGCTTAATCAATTTCTATTTTTAAATAGAAAACAACGTAAAACGGTGTCATTTCTCTAATTGAGCTTCTTTCTTTGGGGGGAAAATCATGTAATGGCTTCTCCCGCCTAGGTGAGGAGGGAGGGAGTATCAGACTCTTACTGACTAAAAACCACCCCGTTCCTAATCCTGCCCTTCGAGCCGGAGTTCCGGCAACCCGTTAAGTCCTCCGCGGATCCGTATCGGCTCTAATTGGGCTAAAACTAAAACTAAAATCTGAGGACATATGTAGATCGAATTTTGACATTAGTTGTATCGTGTTCCTGTCAAAAGTCGATCGTAATTCACAGATTTTGAATTCAAATCGGTCATTAAAATCTTTAATTTTATTGATTGCACTTGGTATTTAACACTGTAATTATTTATTTTTTCATGTCACATTTAAATTTCTGCAGGATTTTATGAATCAAGTAGCCATTAAATGTTGCTACACACAGTGTGCCTAGCTTACACTGAGTGGGTAAGTGGTAACCCATTTATCTTGGGCATGTTGTCGGCATGTTTCTTTTTTGCTGTTTTAGTTTTTATTTTACCTATACACTGTATTTTTTATTGTAATGTTTCTTTATTTTATTTATGCTGCATCGTTCCTTGTGCTGAATAAATGTTTTTTATTTCTTTCGAATACTACCTACTTACCTATTTCGTAACAATGATATGAATGTAACTTACCTCGCATGTTAGGGTGTTCGTCCACTCGCTCTGACATCGTATGCTTCAGCTTGTCCAAATCGGTTTTGACGTTTCTTAAAGCCTTTTCAAGCATTTCAGACGAAGAAGCCTTGATCATTCGTAGCATTTCGGACAAGTATTTAAGAATACTGTTTGTTCTTTCATGGAACGTCGTATCCAAGTGGTTCATTTTTCGTTCCACAGACTCTATCATTTTCAAATATCTTTCGCTGGACATCAAGGTTTCGACAAATTTTTCGACGACTGCATCCCCAACAGTAGATCTGCCTGTGGTAGTCGCCAAACGGTTACCATCGACTCTTTTCTTTGTATGAAATAAGTTATCTTCTGCTCCGTCATGACTTCTTCCCCGTGAAAAATCCGCTCTAGCCGAAACTATAATGAACAAGAATATAGGTACAATTATAACCAAATTCGACCACATGATACGGAACCTGCGACGCGCTCTACGATTCAAATTGTAATGATCAGTTTGGGTGTTACGCTTGTTTAACTTAAAGTCGACTTATTATAAAACATGCAGCATCCATTGTGAAGATAACAATATCACGATGTACTGTGACTATTTTGACTTGCAAGTACCTACTTGCTTAGTGTGTTGTGAATTCAAGTTTCTAGTGCAGCCACAGGTGCAGGCGGTCCGGAGTTGGACAATATTTGAGTACTTTCGTACCCACAGATATAATAAAGAATATACAACCCACAGATATATTAATATTTCTGTGTTCGTACCTAAATTTACTAAAAATAAAGGTTTACTGACGTAACTATATATACTGAGGAGAAAAGGCGAGTCACAGAGGAAATCTTTCTCTTGAGCAGCGTGCGCGGTCGCGGTGACCTAAGTACCTACCTCCAAAAAGCTAGGTTTATTTATTCTTATTGGTTTTCGTTGCATTGCAACTCGAAGCTAACTTCTAAATGTAAATATATTACGATCATTTTTAAACAATTTCTAATAGTACCGATTGTAGTCGGGTGAGAGTTAATCCATTGTTACTTTCTTTGTTGACAGTGGGGTCTCATGATAGCCTTCAGACTTCAGAGCAAGATACCTTGTTTTGTTTTCCAAACCAAATAGCGTATTGAAAATATTTTTTGTCGGACTGCTGTCTCCCATTTACACATGAAAATGTTCCCAGCTTATATAATGTCATCTATGGTAAGATGTTGATTGAGGAGTTAATTTGCAAATTTTGTTGATACCTATTGTTGATCAAACCTATTCTTGCTTTTATTTTATAGAATGTGGCTCACCTAATTTTAGCAAAGAGCGCCACCTACAGGTACGCGAAGCACGAGAAGAGTTACAAATACGTTGTAGGAAGTTAGGGATCTCTTTGGATCCCCTATTCGAATCTTTATTCGGGACTAGAAGGGGGAGAATTGAATTGGGCCTCCCGATAATCCTTTCACACGGTGAAATAAAAGACAAGTTGTTTCACGCAGCTTTTCTGTAAACCCGTGGTATCTAATCTCCGTCCAATCGAGACGGCCTATTCGTTTCGAAGCATGGCTCTGCTACACCTAAATTAACCAAAAGACAGCCGCAACATACTTGGTTACCGTTGTCTGATATTCTGCATTTAGATAACGCCAGGAACCACAAATGAGATTTTGACGTCATGTGCTGACTTTCCACTTTAAGTGCCTATCTAGAAAGACAGCTGGTAGCCACTTATAAGATCTCTAGTACAAAAAGTCGTACAATAATCATCGCCAGTCGGAGTCATCGCTATTAACAGCAACAGTACCTACATCAGTTTTACTGTAAATTGCATAAAAATGTCTTATTGGTTTCCGCGACACACGCTTATAGCAATCACACGCACTGGTGTGTTTACGAAAAACTAGGCACTAAGTAAATGATTAAAGTGACAAAGTCCATTGATAAAAAGGGCATTTTAACAAAATTATAAGGTAGGCAGTAGGTAGATACTAGATCCTACTCCTGCATTTAGAGCCAGAACCCTGGCAACCCGTTAAGTCCTCCGCGGCTCCGTATCGGCATCAACCTTATAGGGCCCCAATCTGTGGAGTTCTGATGGCTTTTAGAGGCGCATACGGAACGCCTTCGCTCTGATTGGCCGGCTCCAATTAACCAACCAATCGGAGCGCCGAACTCGGTCTCATTTCGATTACTTTAATCATAAAACAAACTCGTACTAAGGTCTGTTATCGGGCAGCGAGCTACTTTTGCTCGCCGTCCGCAGGCCCTTACCTACGGTAACCGGAGACCGTCTCACGACCTACCTACACACTGATAGACTTTTTTCGGAATTGTAGTTAGTAATTCCGTAATTAGTCAATCCAAAGTGTAGTGCTAAATGTTTTGCTGTTAAAGAATCAATTTCGTCATCATCATCATCAGCAGGACCGTCTTAAGGACATCCCACATTTAAAAAGCACGGCTCCAACCCAGCCTTTAAGTTGCCATTTAAATATGAACTTTAAATCGTATGTCGTAACTCGTATGATACATTTCGTAACGTCAATACAAAAAGCCGACGGCGGGTGGTCAGCGCGCGGTCCACTCAAGGTGTAGTCTACACTAGGATTGTCTCCTGTATCGTGGGAGCACTTACAAACGTACAAGTCCACATACACATGACACCCAGACCCGAAAGAACAGTTTGTAGATCGCACAAAAATTTGCTTCATGTGGGAATGGTACCTGCTATACGTTGCAGAGTAGCCTGTTGCCACGCAACGTGTAGTAGGTGTATGTCCGTCGAAGAAATTGTCGAAATATCGTACCGTAAATTTGTTCATACAAAAGTAGTCTCTAAACATGGGAAATAAGGTCTATAATGTAGTTAGTGGAGAGCGGTCACCGGTGACCGCTTAGGGATTAAAGGGGTCGGTTCTTTGGGGCCCCCTGAGAGTAGGGATCCTGGGCACGGACCCCGAGTGCCCTTATGGTAAAAATAATACGATCTCCGGCCACCGTAAGCGCGGGACTGCGGACGGCAAGCATGGGTGGCTCCCCGTCCGATCAGAACCAGACCCGAGCGTACGGCGCGTCGCGTTCCGCGCGCGCCTCAAAGAACCTTCGGAGACTACTTCTTCCTAGACCACCACAGATGGGGCCCAATAGGGCTGTTGCCAATTCGGAGTCGCGGAGAACCTAACGGGTAACCGGGGCTCCGGCTCAACGTGCAGGAGAAGGAACGGGGTGGTTTGTAGTCAGTAAGAGTCTGACACTCCCTTCCGCCTCACCCAGGCGGGAGCAGTCATTCGATGATATTCCCACCTAAAAAAAAAAAAAATGGTAAAAAGAATACTGATACTGAGGACAGACTGATGTCTGTAATTGTACCACTGCAGAGAGCCTCTGGTCTGTGCAGTGGGAGACTGAAGAGGTCTTTTCTCTAAAGGCCTCTTCTCACACATAGAAGTAAAGATCATGCTCATGGTCTAGCTTTGCCTAGTTACGATGGTGTCCATGACAGTATGTCAATAATTTGGAAAAAGTAACATCGGTATTTCGGTACAGGTTTCGAACCCGCACCCGGCAGCTTCAAGCTTAAAAAGTGATTTAGATCAGATATAGTATTGTAGTCTTTGATTTAGATCAATTCAGCTGTTACAGGTAATTAATTTCAAGTACCTTCCTATTATCTATTATATTATCTCTGTCTAATCGTGGAAACCAGTAATTGGCTTTTTGTTGCATGTCACATTCTTTTTTAATCAAATTGTATAGCTGTTAGTTTACCAAGTGCTAAATAAATAAATAAATAATTTTATATTATCTTCTGGCAAAATAACGAAACCGGAACATATTACAAAAAATCGAGATAGACGCACGCACACACACACACACCCATGTAAATCATAGGTGTGTGTGACACATAATGCATTATTTTGTATCCTAATAAAAATATTTGGTTTTGTCAGGTTTAGTAGCTATGACTAAACTGTGCATTAGAATTTTACATTGTAACCCAGAGTTACTTTCAATATTCACCAAGTGATATACAAATCAAACTTTTCGATAATATAACAGCGAAAATCTATTTAAAATTAATTTCACATTATCTATTAAATTTAATAAATGAGAAAAATGTAATCGTGATTACCTTTAAAAAATAAATAAAACAAAAAACAGCGTCCTACCTACGTAAAAGACCAATATTCAAAATGCAAAGCCCCTAATAAATATTTGTTATCTGTATTCGTGTCACTCCGCGTTATGTATAAATATACGTTCTGTGTCACATACGTCGACTCGGCGCAGGAGTTTGTTTGTCTTCGTGTTAACGAATAACAAGGGCACAGTACAATTTCTGCAGATCAAAGTCTAACTAAAAATAATTCTAAAAATTTATTAAATTTTAGTGCCACTACTTTGAAAGAACAACCTTGCAATGAATCCCATAACTCAAGTAAGTGATTTTCTAATTACAACGTGTATTTAAAAGTTTAATTTATATTTAATGTACAATTTATATGTTTTATTTCAAAATATAGGCGTAATTGATCATTCTTGTAGATTATAATGCCATTTTTTGGTTAAATGTGTGCCGTCCTTATTTAGTTTGCCAGTCCAAAGTCCAAAGATCATTGAACAGTACCATGTAACATTACGTACTCTAGATATCGGTATTTTTAACTTTCTACACTATCTTTAGAAACATGTTGTTATTTAATAAAACTTACTTACATACTCATTGCACACTCTACAAATACACATAAATGGAAAGGTTAAAATTAAGTGGAAATTAATGAGATGTATCTTCTAATCTAATGAATGTGGCAGAAATTTTACCTGTAATGTAATAACAAAACAATAATGGCCATTTTAAATTCTAAATTCAAACTTCATTCTAAATTCAAACAAATACAAAATAGCATTTGAAATACAAATATACATGAGGTAGGTATTATGAGTTTTGACACATTTGGTAGTGGACACAAACCTATGCTGGGCGATTAAAAAAAAATTTCAAAACCTTATTAGTATTTTCTTTACACATTATTATTGATTTGTTTACAATAGTCCAAATAAGAATCTTAATTCATTCTCATTCTATGTTAATAGGATATCATTAAGATTATTTGATAATGGTAATAGACGGTGAATACAATTTTAAATATTGGCTTAGATTATCTAATTTAAAGTCCTTAATGTAATGTGAGTTCTGAGAGGGGTATAAAATGCATTATTTTGGAATAATATCAAATGAGTTTCAATGTTATTTACATATTTTTGTATAGCAATCCTATGAATTCATTTGCTTTTTTGCCCAATAAAAATGTTTAACCTCTGGTCTATGGAATGCATATTTAAGCAAGACAGTATGTTCCTTTCTGTGTCTCATACAGAAGCAGTTGAGAGGTAAAACTTGTTACATAGCAGTATAAGTTCTATATTGTATAGTATAATCGCCATTTTGTTACAAACACTAAAGCATTCCAAAATAAAAATATAAGTATGTATATGATTTTTTATCTATTACTTCATACTATCTCTTGATGTTAATACCGTTCAGTGATAAAATTATAAGCTTCGTACTTACTGATAAACATTTACGACCACCCCTTAATTTGAGTATAATTTATCAAGACATAGTATGGCTATTATAGCCAATGGCGATACATTAGTATTTTCATAAAACATGTTATGTGTTTACGAATTAATATGCGTATTGTGTCAAATCAGAAAATAAGTATTTAAGAATAGATATTGTGACATGTATAATATTTAAGAAGTAATCCCTTATATTTATATTTATCTTATAATCATATTTAATACCTTTACTTGACTTTATGATCTTTCTAGTGTTATAAAAACATTGTAATCAATTTAAGAATTTTAGTTAGTTCTTTATCATACTTTTGTGTTTAAGAAGTGATAAATGTCATTAATAACCACTTCAGTTCTACTCAGTATCTATTCCACTAGTACGTAAATACAATAAAACAAGCTGTGCGCTCAACCACCGTCTGAAACCGGTATCCACACAGAAAAGTAATATATTAATGAAAATAAGAATAAAAACAAATACCTGCCTAATATTTATATACTTACTGTTTGTAAAATTAGTTCCTTGAGATTGATTATGCAGGAAGAATAAAAAATCTTAATTGAAAAATAATTAATTTGATCCTTGAATTGCTGTGCTCATACCAGAAGTACTTTACGCTAATACTACAGAGTAACTATAGACAGTCAGCCAAGTCATTTAGTATACAGGTAAGAAAATAATAGCTACAAGACTTATTATCCTTGTGTACTTTTTATCAAGACTATATTTTTGGTCGACTCAGCAGCCAACTAATGCTTAAACAACTCGGTACTTAATCTTATTTTTCTTATCTATATACTTAATACTTGGCTGACTGTGTATTATACTGATATTGCCTAGAAAGTGATGATTGGAGGGTTCGATTCCCTTTTGTTTTTAATTAAAATACAAAAATTTCAAGTTCAACTTTATGTTGAAATCGGATTACCTGGTATAGTTTGAAAACCACCTGACACTAATCTACCTATCTTCTGGGTAAGATTTGAATTGGCGAATGTCCATTTATTCATTAGCTAAAGCTGTGCCAATAAGAATAGCGAAAGGAATACTTAACTTGCTCCTGCGGCGCTTCTAAAAACTACGTTTTTATATTTACGAATTTACATAACTTATTTGATATTTTTTGTCATATACCTATAAAATATAAAAGTTAAAATACAAAATGTAGGTACCTATTATCATTTATGTCCTTGTACAATGTTTTATTAGTTTTTTGAATGGAGCTAGTAATAAATACGAATAAAGTCTGTACACATAATAACGAAAATCAAAAGACCATTGACAAATTGCCAACAGAAGCGCATTATTAGCAGAATAATATTAAAAGAACGACGTAACTTGATAACTTGATTGCATGCAAAATAAATTTGTCGCCAAAGTGATTTTCCCTAAAATGAAAAATGCCTTTTAATCAAGTGGCTGTAAGCGTGATTATGAGTTAGGTACATCCAATGAGTTCAATCCTTAGATTAATAATCAAACCTTTTCAATGTGAGAAACAGCCTTTACTCAGCAGTGGGCACTTTTATGCTGTTATTACTTATTAATGATTATGATGATAATACACTAATCAGAACTGGAAAAAACCATCTGCCTTATTTCCGAACCAATACGCCTTTCAAAACAGTACTCTTTTTCGAAAGGCTGGCAATGCACTTGGTCTTCTTCTGGTCTAGCGTGCGTCCCTAAAGACTACCTAAAAAGCTTATTCGTCATCTTCATCAGCCGGAGGACATCAACTGCCGTACAAAGGCCGAATTATATCAGGCTAATGCCACACTCGTCTTAACTGTTAAACAGCATTAAATTTTAGTATTTCCTGTGTGACTTTTCAAACTTGGACTTTGTATTGCGAATGTGTAAACATTGTAATAAGGACAATCAAAGTCCACGAACACCGGTTATTGCGCGGACTTTGAACTGGCAGTTGATATCAAGACGAGACGTCTTGACGAAATTGATATTAACATAATGATTGTTAAATAAATATGAAACCACAACAATTTCGTCACGTTATGTAACTTTTTGGGACTAAGGCAACATATGCTACGACGAGCAAACAGGTCTATAACACTATAACGAAGGAAATGTTTAATTAGGTACCTACTAGATAATCTTTTTTCAGAAATCCTAATTGCTAGTATCTATGTCAGCTACTTTTATTGATATTAGCTCCAATGAACGACTGCATCAGCGTTTTTGCATGGTAATTACTCGAATGCTATTTGAATGCAGTTTCAATGAATATGCATAGACTGATAACTAATTTGTGAATGTTCATATCACATTGTAATTCAAAACAAGTTCTGATAAGTAAATTGTAGTAATTATCAGTAATTCAGTGAATGATCCAGCTTTTAATGATCTTGTTAATGATAGTCAATGAGTTTCGTGAACTTTGGTATAGAGGGTACTTATACAATAACTGTTGCAGAATCAGGTTAAACTCATGAAAATTGCAACTCGTAGACTAGTTTTCAATTACGAATTTCAAGTTGTTAAACCTAATTTCTTTATTATTTGAATGCTGCATTTTGTATCCCCAACAATTATGGTTTATATGTGACCTATTTATGAAGACAAAGTGTGTCAATACCACGAAACTGTCCTTCGTTTATATAGACCATTAATGAACATGGCACGTGGCCTCATGTGTCACTAAAGTTAGTTGCAATACAGTTATTAGTGTCAGAGTGCGATCGATTTCAATATTGCCCCTTCATCGTACCCTGGTATCAATAACCCATTTACATTCGTTAAAAAAGTTGTCTTATTTTATGAGTTATCTACGTATTTCATTCTAATCTTAGTTTACATCGATGTTTAAAAGAAAATCTCAATTATTTCTCGCTCAATGTGTTCAGAGATAATTTTCAAAATTACAAAAGTAAAAAATTTGATTTTGATAAGAAAAAATATGCGTAAATCTCTAAAATATCTCCGTAACATCCGGAAAATCTTATCATTATCATTAGAATGACAAAAACTGTTGTTATTTTCGTTTATGAGAAATACTACGGCAAAGTATTCATGAATGTTAATTTTATGCTCATTTGAAAGCGTAGTAGCTAAGTACAGTTATGCCTTTGGTCACAATTAAGTAAAAACACAATACTGCATCATGATAGTAAAAAGGTTACTGGAAAGCCGGTCACTAATTACCATTATTTCTTGAATGAATTAACCTTTGCAGTTTGCGAAGCAATATGTTTTGCACTTACACTGTCGATGTTAAACTAATTTAAGTAAGATACCAACGAAAGAGTCGTAATCAAAAACACTTTCAACTACCGTCTAATAGTACAGAATTGTACCTCTTAATTATGCAAATGCATGATTAGGTTTTTAATGATTGAAAATCTCAATCAATGTATTGATACAATATTCAAGATGCTAGAGTATTTTATCTGTTCGTATAGCAAATTTAGAAAACAAGGTGTTTATTTATTGCTGACGCTTCAATTTAAAAATCGAGGCTCTGCGTGGGTTAAGAAGTCAAAATATATACCTACTTTATTAATCCCTATATTTTGCTATGTTCCAGGTGATACGTGCCACCAGGCCGATTTACAGAAAGCTGTCGACAACAGCACCGGTCGCAGCTGCCAAGCCTATGCCTACAACTGGAATGTGCTTTGGTAAGATATAACTTCAAACATATGAAGAACATGTATTACCTCTTTACAACTAAGTTTCGAACGCGATTTCCATGAGGTACGTGGTGGTTGCATACTTAAGTCTGAAAAGATAATATCCTTACACGTGCTCATTCTTGGCAGCGTTTATTTATTAATAGCGAAATGTTGTTTTGAATGTTTTGAAGCAATTCTATTATCATAAGAAAAATATTACGTCCTTTCTGCCCTTCATCAACAAACCATATCTAACAAATGTTATCACTTTTTATTACATTTTATTTTAGAGTCGCAGTGTTATCCGGATTTAGAACCACACTTGAAGCCGCTTGGCTTAGTCTCCACCCTGTTATCGACAAATTATTATCAGATATTTCAATGTTATTTTATATGACAAGAATTTCAAAGTTCAATAGATAAATAACTGGAGTACATCACGCTAATGCACGCGACTTGTATCTAAATTATATAAAGGTATAATAGTTAAGAGAATACGTGTGTGCTGTTGCGTAAGACCTTTTTCCGGTCCTTTCTTATTGTCAACTTGTTAATGAGATTAAGGAAGTACAGTGCACCTCTAACTCCATGCTTTTTCTATGAAAACACTCCTTGTCTATGTATTGGTTGGTCCGGCAAATAAACAACACTAGCTATTATCATCGAAATACTTCACATTATCGAAGACATAAGAAGAACTTAGCAATTAAGTACTTTATTATGTTACTTTGCTCATTGAGACATACCATACCAGTATCACCTTAATTTAACAATAAACATATTATAACTTAATGTCAACCAAGTGCAGCTAGATAGACTAAATAAATGAACCTAAGGTCCGTTACACCTGTTCTTAAACTAGCTTGTCGATACCGATGGCTGACAGCGACCCAAATCGCAGATTAGAAATAGCTTTGGTTAAGTAACAATGCTGAATACTATTCTTGAGTACAGGTACAAGGTATCTTGTATTCAGTCCTGCCCGCCTCGGTTTTCCGGTTCAGCCTCGGTGTAAAGTCATCCATTTTCATTGCAGTAACCAAACAACATCTGTCAGGTGCCAAGAAGCCTCGATCTCATATTTTATTTAGCCGCCTCGTGCTCGCTTAGGCCCGGGCAAGTAATGGGAAATCGATGGAGTGCAGCCTTTACGTAAACTTTCTAATGTAGCTGTTGTTTATATACGACAAGTTATTACAGCAGTTAGTAAACACTCTAATTTCTACAAATTACAAAGTAAAGGGTAAACGTTCAATGAAATGTGTTTTTGATAAATGCCCCAGCCTTGTAGCGTACTTGATAACTTTTCTGTTTTGTTAAAGTTTACATTTTATGAATTGTTACCTTACTACATCGTTGATTAAGTGGTTGCATATGCAAGTGCTTAGCAAGGCATATTGACTTAAATCATGAGTTATTTACGTTAATATACTGAGAAAAGCTCTACTAGTTTCGAACTACAGAGGGGTTCTTCCTCGTGAATAGCGTGCGCGGTCGCGGCGATGTCGCGGAGCCTACTAAGTAATCCGCGATTTTTAGTTAAGGGACTTTTTTCTTTTTTTCTTAAATACAAATGATACGGAGTCTGGCACCATATGGTGGCATTTGGCAATAGGCTCGCAACCTATTATACCACCTTCAACTGATGAAAAGTGCCTGTAGGTACTCCTTTAGGAAATAAAAACTAAAAAGCGTGCCGTTATTTGTCTATAAATTAATAAATATTTCATTTTCAAGTATATTAAGTTTCAAAAGTATCAATAAATATATTTCTTTCTTTACAGAGCTGAGCGAGGAGCAGAAGGCCTTACAAGATTTAGCTCGCAAGTTCACCAGAGAAGAAATCGTGCCAGTAGCTGCCCAGTACGACAAGACTGGGGAGTACCCATGGCCCATCGTGAAGAAGGCATGGGAAATCGGTCTAATGAACGGACACATCCCGGAACACTGCGGTAATGATATCGTGTATACTAACTATAAATTAAACAAAATTCATAGGTAGAGTGAAATATACATCAGGTCTCTCAGCTGAAATTCTGATCTTAATTTAGAATATCTGGATCGGAATAAGCTTTTGATTATTTTTCAGAAGAACTTAATGTCTAAAATCAACAATGACGTGTAATAATTTCAGCTGTAATTTAGCAGCTATTTAACATAGTTTATGCCAAAAGTTTTAAGTAGTATACAATAGGTATATTTTAGGATCGTAAGTACCTACTTTACAGCCTTTGTAATTCCTCTACAGATAAACACCCTATAGAATAAATCCCATAACTCTGTTTAAGAACAGTCTTAAAAATATTATAGTCTCGAATATATTCAAAGACTAGGTACATCAAAGGGACAATGTGAAAATATGACTATCAACAGTATTAATACCTAATATATCTATCTATGCAAAAAGGTGTTTTTCAATCGAACTTATATCTTTTGTTCAGACCTCAAAAGAAATAATCCGATTTCTTATACATAGAATCACTATGATCCGTTTATTGAAAGACGAGTATATTGAGAGACAAATATATTGGAAAACTACACTATTCATAGTTTAATCCTTGTAGGCGGCATCGTGACGATAGTTTGTGATACATACTTTATGACCCGTCTTGATGCAATAATTTAGTTGTCATTATGTAGATGTTTTTATTTACTAGATTACTGGCCAAATGTAAATAACAACGTCGATCTAAAATCAATTGAGATAGAACTAGTGTCCGGAATCAAGCTCAGTCTTAGTTTATTTATGGCCATTACTGTCAAAGAGTCTGATTCAAAGTCAAATATTCATACATGGTTGTGTCCAGCAGTTAGAATTTACGTTTTCTGGAAATTAATAAAATAGCTCCATCTGTATCACTCGATCGAACCTTCACTTATTTCCTTAAAATGAAGTAAAAGGTCCTTTTTTTAATGATTGAAGTTATAGTTTGAAGATAATAGTGTCCCGTGTCCTCTGTATATGTAGGTACTCAATAGTCATGTGGTTTAATTCGCCATTTTGATTTTATGATTAGCGCGTTAATTGATCGACTACATTTAATTCTGTCCCACGAAAAATAACGAGCTAAAATCCATAGTTACTCTTTTTCAATCAGTTTGATGATCAAGGATCGAGGTTACCTAGTCACTTTGTTGGACTTTTAGTTAAAGACATATAAGAGATACGCTTGTAAATCTTGTATTTGTTGTTATTGAGTTATTATAAAGGTACTACAGTAGTAAATTGTCTGTCGTTCTAATGAATAGCGTAATAAATCGCGCATGATACTAATAGCTAATTGGTAGTTCAGTTGATTAAAAAGTCGTTAACACCTAACACAATAGTAACTGTGAACCCCTGTGAAGTCGTAACGTGCAGTCACGATAGTCTAGAAAAGAAAGATCAAAGATAATGGAAATCTATCTAGCATTGTAATGTTATTGATCGGTACCTAAGCAAATAGTCATCAGCTTAGTTATATATGTGATGGAATATGTTAGGCTTGTCCCTTTAGTTATCGAACTCGTAAATAATTGACGAAAAACGGGTATTACCTACTTATTTAATAAGCTCATCTCAAAAGCCTCTTTCGAGGCAACGGTTTGATTAATTAACACTGCAGATTACGCTAACGTTACTTCTAAAATAATGAAACCTTCTAGGAGGTATGGGACTAGGAGCTATCGACAGTTGTCTTATAGCCGAGGAGCTGGCGTTCGGCTGCGCTGGCATCAAAGCCGCCATTGCTACCAGTTCTATAGGTGTAAGTCAAGAACCCTGCAAAATATTTGCACTGACTAGCTTTAGGGCAGGAAGTTTTCATGGAATATTGCTTTCATTCCAACTACTTATGAACTATCTTTATTATTAACTGCTTCTAACATGCGTGTCCTTATAAGATTCTGGTACGAGGAATTAATACGTCATCGATGACGTTTTGCAGGGGGTTTAGGTTTAGGAGTTTTTGAAGCAAGTCTCGTTTGCGAAGAGTTCGCGTTTGGTTGCTCAGGCATAATGGCGGCGTTGACTATCACTGATGTCGGAGTAAGCAAGCAATTACTGTAATGTGTGAATCATTTACTGAGACGGTGATAGCATGGGAACGTCACAGTCCTTTTTAATGGTTTGGGCTAAATTGTCATTGATCAAAACTTTAGAGTAGTCATTTCGATCATTATTTCATGTACGTAGTTTACCATTATTGTGCAGAGTGAAGCTGGGAAGCTCCCCGATTTACCTACCTAAGATTTAATGAAAAGAATTAGCAAATGTTGGTCTTACTGTGTAATCTGTTCAATATTTGTGATGCGTGCATTGAACAATAATTGTAAACGTCCACGAGAATTTAATTACGAAGATAAAATCTTAACACACTTACACTTACTTTTTTATCTTATACTTGTATGTATGTATAATATATTCCACCCAAACCAGCCCAAAGTGAGTTAACTTTGGAAATAAGAGCAATATCATCAAGGGAGGTCTAACTGTACCTCCCGGCCTTCGACAACAGCCTACAAATTGGGATTGAACGCATACCTGTAACAGTTAGATTAATTCCTAATGGCTATAAAGCCATGGAACATAAAATACCAGTCTTAAGTTTCTAGAAAAATTTCAGGGGGCGTTGGAAACTTTGGGGTACTGGATGAGTGTATCGTAGGCGAGGAGATGGCATTCGGATGCACAGGAATTACCACCGCTGTTGGAGGCACTAATTTAGGAGTGAGTCTCGTTTAAACAGATCTAGTTTCAATCTACCTGAGGTGCCATCAACGTTATTTTAAAATAAAGCTATTAAAAATGCATGAAAATATAACAATAATAATGATACTGCTGATACTAGGGATTCGGTGTATCTCTGTACATTAAATGTAACAAGAAAGGGAAGGGATTTAAAAGTATAATTATGTTCTGTATGTCAGTCTATTCGTTTTATCTGTTTTTTGTCCAACTCACATTATCCGAATCTACCTAACGGATTTTCATATTATATATAAGTATAACATGTAGGTACCTAATTGGGAACATTATACACGATTGAATGACAATTCCTCGAATCATTGGCGCTCAAGAAAATATTACTGAACATTATCTGACAATAACATCATTAAGAATATTAATATTATGGATTCTAGTTACATTTAACTTGCCTACAAATTACACATTTTATTACAAACATTATACAGTTGAAACCTATTGACAAAATGCCGGTTCAGAGTAGCTTAGATATATAGGTACAATGTGCAAAAAGGAATACCCCAAAAAATTTAAAATATAAAAAATATACCGAACCGTTAAATTATCATGGCCGTCACATTGATGATCTAAAACTTATCTCCTTGATGCAGTAAAACGAGACAACTTTACCATGATCAAAATTGAAGATTGTTTTTCGTTCAAATCTAGACTGCTATATTATATCCCAACATGTCATATAGGTGCAATATAGTAATTTCAAATTTGAATAAATTTGCAATACACATTTTTGGCACTCTGTACCAACTTCTAGAGACATTTCAGGGGGCGTTGGCAACTTTGGGGTTATGGATGAATGTATCATAACCGAAGAGATGGCCTTCGGATGCACTGGAATTAACACCGCTCTTGACAGCACCAACTTAGGAGTGAGTTTCGTTTAAAACTATCTGAGGTGCCATCAACGTTGCTTCGAGTTATTCAACTTTAAATTAACGACATTAAAATTAAAATATTTTTTGTCGTGTATCGATTATTATGAAACTTATTTTTAACATTTAACAAAAAGTATCGATTCTATAATGTCTCTTAAATTAGTTTTAGAATGCTCGACATTATTTAAATGAGCCAGGATTTCAAATTCAGTTCGCAATGCTTATGTGTGCATGAAAATAATTCGTTTTAAATGGGCTTGTTGTTATTGTTATAGGACATTAATTGGGATGTACAATTAGCATAGCAATTCAAACTAGGTATAAATCTAATAAAATATTCAAGAAATACTCAAGGATCGCAGTTTGTCTTAGGACATTATAATTAAAGTTCATTCTCATGAGATAAAGAGAATGTTAGTATGTAAAAATCAACATCAGGGTATTTTAAAATACTACTCATATACAAATTACACAACACAATGAAAGTAGCAAGTATAGAAATTATTCACAACACCGCGTCAGTACCCCAGCACCTAAATCTCAAAGTAAAATAAATTTGCTTCGGTTTTTTGTAAAGACCAAGTTCGTTATACTCGACCCTTGTATCGTATTATTAAATGAATAAACTTTTGTGCAAGTTAATGAAAGGGACATTTTTACACATGAATGTATGAAGGTCAAAAGAATGGCTACTTAGTAAATAAAGTTCGGGTAAAAGTTCTCACCATGCAATTCGATACCAACTCATATAAAGTACTTAAATATTCGCGTAACAGTTCTAAAAGAAAGTACCTACATTGTTGCTGCTTTTCGAAGCATTGTATCAAATGTGTCGTGCTGTGGCCAGTATACAATCTTAAATTATAGGTTTTATATAATACTAGCTTTTACCCGCGGCTTCGCTCGCGTCACAAAAGAATAAAAAGTAGCCTATGTGACATATACCAATACACACAGCGCCATCTATACCAATACTTTTGATTTTCCTCAGGAATATCAATTTTTCCGGGTTAAAAAGTACCCTATTATTTAATCCGGACTTCTAACTTTACGTCTGCAAAAATTCAAAGCAATCGGTTGAGTAGTTACGGCGTGATAGTGGAACAAACAAACAAACTCACTTTCAGATTTATAATATTAGTAAGGATTTTAAAATATGAGTTTAAGTTTGTACAGAACAAATAAACAGACCCTTTGTATATTGTTGTTTATAATTATGTATTTTTCTCAGGTTTATGGAAAAAATTTCAAGTGTCGCCTAAGTGTGCTTATTGTTTGTTAAAAATTAAATGTCTAACATGTTGTACGCTTAGTCAATGTTATTCTCTATTTATATATTACATCTGTGTTTCTCAGGCCGCAACAGGCGAAGGTAACCTGAACCTTCCAGTGTCATGAGATAACACTTAATAAAGTGTCTAATGTGTCTATTTCTTTATCTATGTAACTTATAAATGTCCTTCACCGTCACCGTACGACGTGTCACCATCTCGACTCCATAACTCATTAAGCTTACAAGCAGTGTTGTTCCCTCCAGGTGGAATGAATATGGATGTGTTTGATGGGTGTATGGTAGCCGAAGAGCTGGCGTTCGGATGTACTGGCATTATGACAGCAATGGAAGCCAGTGGTCTTGGAGTGAGTGGCTCATGCGGCCTGCTTAGCTTGCATAATGCACGACTTATTGTACCATAACAATGTCGCTCTCGTATATGTATATTCATGTAGCTAACAGCATGTGTGTGATTGTAGCTTCGTATCTTATATATCCCATGTAATCAGCATTCCAATTAATATCTATTCCATGAAAACTCGAAAGTAGTGGCTATACCATTTAAAAACAAAGCTAACAGCTTTTCGAATTGAATCACAATTCATTGTCAATCAAGGTACCACTACGCTTTCAAAGTTAATCAATTTTTTGAGTTTATTTTTAATTACTAACACATTAACGGGTGTAATGTAATGGTAACTGGTATGGTAATTTATAAAGTTAAACTGTAATTTATGTTTCAACAATAATATTTTGTAAAGAACATTCATATTTATGTTGTTATTAACTTTGTGTAAACATTAGCTTAACTTTATCGCCCTAGTTCTCCATGAAATACTCCTAACTATACGTTATGGCATCTCATTTATGTAGAATAGTGTTTGTAAATTTTTTTTTATGTGTTTTATTAGTTAGTAGTATAATGCAAGGAAGTTATATTAGTTTGGTATATCGATGGGCTAATGTTTCAGCAAATGCCTGTTATTATCGCGGGTAACAAGGAACAACAGAAGAAATACCTGGGCAGACTCGTCGAGGAACCCATTGTGGCTGTAAGTAGGCACTGAATATACAATCTTATAATAATGTGTAAACAATCGCATTCCAATAATGACAGCTATCGGTCTAGTCACTGCTTTGTAGCCGTTTATGCACAAATATCTTTAAAAAAATGACTCTTCGATATCAAAGCACCCGATGGGAAAATACACTTAAACAAAATGTGCGAAACACTTGCAATAACAAATCAGTATTCAAGTTCGAGTTGGGGACTGGACAGTCGGAGACATTCATGTGTACAGACTAAGAACTGCGTTTTGTTAAGATAGAGGGTTGATGATTGTTTCATTATTCAGGCGTATTGTGTCACCGAACCGGGCGCAGGATCTGATGTGGCCGGTGTCAAAACCAGGGCCGAGAAGAAAGGAGACGAATGGATCATCAATGGACAGAAAATGTGGATCACTAACGGAGGGGTAGCCAACTGGTATGTCTAGCTCTCAAGATTTTGTTAATCTTTCACAGCGACTTATTATACAATGCAAAAGACGTTATTGAGAAACAGTACGAGGTCAGGTTATGCAGATTTGATGCATAAAAAATAAAGTTTTTCTATTGCCAGTATTTAAAATGAAGCACGTTACGAATTCAGGTATTTCGTGCTAGCACGAACCAACCCCGACCCCAAGTGCCCTGCTAGCAAGGCGTTCACCGGATTCATCGTGGAGAGGGATTGGCCCGGAGTCACCCCCGGACGCAAGGTTTCAATTCTAGACTTTTATTTCAATTCTAACATCAATAACACCATAATTAAAGAAACTCTCTATTTTAGGATCGCCTTCGAATAATGATATGTTATTTTTGGCTTCCATCCATGGATAACATTTCCATAGAATTTAAAAGTTAATTAATTAATATCAATTTAGAATTTGCAAACGAACATGTACATTACATAATAAAAGAAAATACTGCAATATTTTTTGTAAAATCACTGTAAATGAAAGTTATTGAAAAATGTTTAAACATACACGACTCATGGGAAACCATTCTTAATGACAATGATTTGCTATTCGCCCAAAGAGTAGCTTCACTGGTTGTGTGAAATGTCGGACGGTATGTCGTAGGTAGCATCTAATGTACATATGTCGAAATTGCTGCCCTACGCGGTTTAGCAATAGTTCCAATAGGTCACTGGGTTTGCTTGCTCGAAGGTCTACGCTGCCGCAGTGACAGCACCTGACCTAGTTGCCAGATGGGATGGCGCAAGGTTGCCCACATGGGTCTCACACCACACTCCACCGTTTCACACCATCTCTAATTATCGCCCACACTTACACACTTACTTGCCACTGTAAACGTTGCCCTGGGGTGGTCAATAACCCACCCCAGGCGACGACACCATCTGGTCTCTTCCCATCATCATGTACCAACCTTTGCTATTTTTATTTGTAACAGTTACTTATTAGGTTTACTTATTATAAGTATTAATAACTGCAAAAATTATATTTTTATGTATGTAACATAAATACTACTTTAAAAATTTAATATGATTTAACTTTTTCTGATACTTATTAACTATGATTTTCTAACAGTTCAATAACTGTTTTAATCATCAACTTTGATTACAATAACGTTACAGAATACAGAAGTTGCAAAAACAGTATCAGCAAGAACAGTAGGCTTGACAAAGCAAGCTAAGCATTTATCAGGAAAATAAGTTTTTTGCCAAAGTGACTGTGTCCCTAAACCGAGAAACAACATATTGACGTTGATTTTGGTATATTCAGGAACAAAACATGGGTCAGCGTGCTTCGGACACCCGTGGCATCACGTTTGAAGACGTTCGCGTACCCAAGGAAAACGTTCTCATTGAGGAAGGCGCTGGCTTCAAGATTGCCATGGGAGCTTTCGACAAGACTCGCCCACCGGTAACTATCCTTTAATACACCTACTGTGTAACAACTTCACTGTAGTGAATAAATAATTTTCCTAGAAATAAAGGATCGATCGTGGCACTGAAGTTAATAACAGACGCTCGGCAAGTGTTCCAATTACGGAATGTCAGTGGTGTGTCATTCCGGTAATTACATGTTGATTGTTGATACCTATTGATTTAGTTTACTGCATTCATTCGAAAAATATAATGCATACATTGAAGTCGTATTTAATTGCAATTTATTGTAGGGTTTGTTAATTGGCTTCATTTTACTTTCGCTCCCTCGCTTTAATATTGTACTTACCAGTTGTATCTATTAATCCTAAAGGTTTAAGTAAAACTATATACAAACAAAGCCTATTAGTAGTCTATAGGGCAGAAAATACAACAAAAGAAGGCTATAGACAGGAACATTTTTACAAAACATTTTATGCGTTGCCATACAGGTAGCAGCTGGTGCGACAGGTTTGGCCCAGCGAGCTCTGACTGAGGCCACGAAATATGCGTTGGAGCGCAAGACATTCGGCGTGCCCATTGCCCGGCACCAGGCCGTCGCCTTCATGTTGGCTGATATGGCCATCGGTGTGGAGACCGCGCGTCTGGCCTGGATGAAGGCCGCTTGGATGGCCGACCATGGTAACGTGTTTTAGATACCTACTTCTGTTATGGCATATCCATTAAATGCCCATCAATTCCTTTCTAATACTATGACCAAAATCTATATTTATCCATCGTATCAGTAAAGATTACCCTCAAAGTTCCCTGAAATCCATTCAGCCTACTTAAAGTTCAATTGACGAAGCTCACAGTGCAACAGTTAACCCAGATCCGCTACTATTTTTATTCTGTGTCGAGTCGAGTCGATATTTGATCAATAGCGGTTATTTGCAACTGCGACAAAGTGTTTCCACCTTTAAGTCCAGTAGCAATAAGTAGGTTAAGGTATTTATAAGCCATATTCAGATACGGGCGTCGTCGCCACAACCGAAATGTGTAAATACGGTGATGTTGAATTATGTATTTGGATTTTTATTTCGATCATAAGATATCATGTTCCTCACTCCTTTGTTCTGTATGATCTGAAAAGTTGTGCAAGCATACATTATAGCTCAATGCTCTTTGTGTTTTTTAAGGCAACACAAAGCGATTTACAAATCAGATGTCAAGAAAATCTTTGTCCATGATACTAATTCATGTAAACTTTATTTAAAATACGTGTAGGAAAAGAGGTTTGAATAATGTTTTTTGATGCAGGTGTGAGGAACACAGTGCTCGCTTCGGTGGCAAAATGCCACGCTTCCGAGATCGCCAATAAGGCCGCCGCTGACGCTGTCCAAATCTTTGGAGGCAACGGTTTCAACACCGAGTACCCTGTAGAAAAGCTGATGAGGGACGCCAAGATTTACCAGATCTACGAAGGCACGTCACAAATCCAGAGGCTCATCATCTCCAGGGAGATCATTACAAACGCCATGCAGTCCAACTAAATTAATGCGTTAACGTTATGTCGCGTATAAAGGATTTCCATTATGTTTTCTATTTTTAAGTTATGTAATCAATCGATATTATTTCAATAAATTCATATTTATTCTACGTAAAAGCATGTGAATTGTACAATTGTGATTGCAGAAACAAGAAACTGTTTTATATTTATTTATTACCTATACACAAAAAGAGGTTTTGATATTATAATTTTTGAAATTTGTAAATGGAATCATAGTCAAGTACATAACTCAAGTGATTGTTTACAAAATCAACAAAATCAAAGTAGTAAATAAAGTGTGAATGTTTGTAAATTGTAAAACAGAAAAGGAACTGTTCTCAATGAAAGACTATACATATAATAAATATATAGATTCTCCAAAAATTCATAAAATGTTTTATTTACCTAGCTACACCCGAGTTTTTATTGTTTTATTTTCTTTATAATTAGTAGCATAGGTTACATATTTGCTTTTCATTTGAAAAGAGGTATCTACCACTTCAGATGGACTACTTGCTATAGAACTATTTTACAATGTAATTTGTTGAATTTAACCGAGTTAAAAGTCTTTACTTGACAAAACATCAAAGTTTCTTTGGTAATAATTACATAGCAATACAAACTAATAATCCTTTTGGGAAACTATTTGAGAAACGTCTGATTTAAGTTTCTGTTAGATTAATTAAAGGATAATTTGACGTATCTGCCGAAATGTGGCAATCACCAGAGTCAATGTGAAACAGGCAAGTTTTGCAAAACATAACCTCTAACTATTTGTTATGTTTTCCGACAATTAGGTCCACAATTATGTTAAGAAATATATTTTATCAAATGAATTATTAAAATACATACACTATCAACAATAATTAATACAGATTTAACTAATTTATAAAAATATGAAGGCACCCAAATTATCGTAATACTTGTGAACCACGACATCTATCGATTATTATAGTAACTAATATAAAATTCTGGAGATAATCTTAATGTCCATGCAGATGGCGTTACAGAGCGCCGGAAGCAGTTTTTAATTTTGTTACGCTTTTAATTATTCAGAACAACTAAATATTAACTAATCGCAAAATAAATAAATTAAAATATATAATTACGATTTCTATATAAAACTCTTTAAATTTAGGGACTTTTATTTATAAAGTTATAACATTGCAATCATACTCATAAAGATTGACCTACATTCGGAGCCCTTGTGAAAGGATTGTGCAATAGAAACGGTCATTTATTACACAACACGGCATGTTCATAAGCAAACATAGTCATTTTGCATCAATTATATGCTTTTTTGAAGTTTGCAAAAGTCACATAAAATTGAGGAGCGAAAAGTACTATCAACGTTTTTTCGTCAACTGTGAACGAATATTACACTTTCATAAACCAAATAAATATATTTAAGGATCAAACAACTCTTTTTTAATTATTTTTTGATAAAATAGGTCATGACACAGTTTTTTTCTAATTGGGTTATTTTCTCGCTGCCCTTTACCGACTTAGTTCAATGTCAGTCATGAGTACGGTAGCTCCATTGAACCTGAGTTATGTCGGTCGGAATATCAAAGTGTAAGTGAAGTGGCCTAGAGACCTACATTTTGACACACGTATTATCGCTTTTATGCGTAATTTTTGAGATAAAGCATATCCTTATACGGCGTAGGTGAAATACTTAAAGTTCTCTGGGCGACATTATTCTGTCGCCCTGTTCAATTATTTGTGTATAATGCACGAAGACGCTCCAAAAATGAGTGTAGCACAAAGTCTACCCGCCTCCACGAGTCAGGCGAAGAGTGAGATCGTGACTGATGTCCCCCCCGTGGACTATGAATTGAACACTGTTGAACTAAAACCCTCACAAACTATTGAAATGGAGTTAAAGCTTGCTTATGTGAATCCTTCCAGCGGTAAGTGGACCATGCTATGTTGTAATAACACATCATAGATGTTATATTATTTGATGCTCGTCATGGAAATGTCTTACAGAGCAATCGAGCATGTTAAACACTCTAATTTGAGTAATAAAGAGCCAGCATGACTAAACCGCTTCTATTTTAATGTTTAAATATCGAATAACAACTTGTTTCGGTTGTTTCCACTTGATGTTTTGTTACAAGTGTCAATATTATTATTCAAATTGGAGTCTTATATGATTAATTGGGGGACATGAGGTCTACAAAAGAAATATATCTGTAAGTAGTGAATATCATTAGTTATTCAAAAAAGACAAGTGTTGTATAATAATACGCACATAGATTAGATAGCTACATTATGTATATGCATTGTAAAGTCTACCTGCTCGTACGCTCGGCTGCACGGTGTGGCAACGCCGCATTGGTTTTTTCGCGCTATCCTGCGACAGAGTTGGCTCAGGCTGTGTGAAATAGTGTTTTAAGACTTACTGAATAATAGTGGCTCATAGAACGTGTTTCGAGAATAGTTTGATTGTATAATAAACTACATCACTGTGACTAAATGTACATAAGTACACTGTCAAACGGTTGTGTGGTTTTGTATTCAATGGGTGGCGCGGCGACGCACTTTGATTTCATTTGGTGTCAGTAGGACACGTTTACTCGGCAGCGTGCTGCAGTAGCTCGAGCATGGCACTCCGGTTGTTACACCATATGAAATAACAGTCTCGACGTGAGACACTTGGCTAACTGCACACTATGAGCCACTAATCTTATTTGGTTCATACCAATACAAATTCACATTGATATTGTACAGATCAGACCGACCTGTCGAGATGATGCGCTGTTGCAAATGTTTAAGAAGGTATCTACCTACCTATTTATTTTTGGAAATAGGTTGACTGAAGTCTGTTTGGTATCTGACAAATGAGAGACGGAATATGCGACGACGCCCGCCTGCTGTATTCAGGCACCCGAAAATAATTAATGAGTCGGAAATATAAGCAGTAGCTATACCTAACAGTAGATAAACGTACGTACATAAACGCAGTCAGGATCGACGTTACAATTATTCACATGGAAACACATCCGTAATAGTTAAGTTAGTATGGTTTTCCCGACATTATTTACTTTGAACAAGTACATCTACTTTTCGGCAGTGACGTTATGCAAGCTCTTTCGACAGCCGAAATACTCGTAACAAGGCGGTCCAAGTAACATAAATTCATTAGGTAGGTACTACCTACTTACTACTACCTCTACCACCGAGTTTCACAAGCGTGCTCCATGATTCTTAAATGTCGCAGTCGCAGTGTTGTGTGTCGTTTTTTTTTTAATTCGTTGGTTGTATGATAGAGAAAATACTTATAGGCATTATTTTGCTGGTGTCATGAAACTAATTAACGTTCACACAGATTTAATTACTAGGCATATAACTTTGACACTTTTTTCAGCCTATGTTAAAATTGGCTGTTAGAGGATAAGCAAACTAGTTAATTGACTATAGTAGGCACATTACGCAAATGTATCACAAGTAACAATTACGTGCTTGCCAAAACCGCCATTTGACAGGCAATCATAGTTAGTCATGTATTAAAATTATACATTCTTATCAATAGGAGATCTTAATTTGCACACATGTAAGTAAATAGTACAGATTTTAATCGTACGTAAATTATTTGAGCATGATTTATATTATAAGAGACTTTCGTATATGTATCAACATGTTGTATGTGTTCGTAGTAAAAACTGCTTCACGACCCCTCTGCATAGCAACCCTTGCTAAGCCAATGGGTTTTGCAAGCAACCCCATGATATGCAAAGTTTTAATTCAACTGCCCTCAATCTATATTTCCCAGCAGCGCCCTATGTACAATTCTGCATATTCGTAATCCATGAAAGGCAAAGGGGTGCCGTTTAATATACACAAGTGACCCCAAATGCAATATTTTAATGTCCCTAATATCTCCACGTGTATAGTCTTAATAACACAGCTTTATAATGAAAAAAAAAATACATGGAACTACGATGTGTTAGGCTTCCGATTTCCGATATTTAGTTCACTCCCCTTATACAACATGACGGTATAACGCTGCACAGAAGGGTCGCACTCGTACTCGTACTTACATATGGAATCACTTGAAAGATTGATTTCTTGAACGCCTGTATTAAAACTGACTTTTTAATTTGCAGTAAAAAACCAAAGTTTTACTATCGTTAAAACGTAAACGAGAGTACTTGAAAAGAGTTTTAAAACGCAACACTATTACTTTTCCACGTCATAATATAAACACTGTCTAAAGAAATCCTTTTTAGGTGCCGTCCTCGCAAAAGATTAGGATCTACTTTCAGTAACAGACTAAGATAAACAATCGTAGCCAAAAACCTACAACTACCTTCAAGTTTGAACCGAGTACAATAAAAATAATGAATTGAGAAATTTAAACAACCAATTAATGTTAGTATGTAGGTATGTATATAGTCTTGCACTTGTCTCAAGTATTTGGGTTCAGGGAACTAGTTTTATGCTGTTGTTTTATCATTGTTCTCCCTATTTTTACATACATACTCATAAAAAAGTCAAAAGTCTTCAAATTGTCTGAGAGGGTGCAATTAGTGAAATAAAACATAACATCTTCTCTATTTGAAGTAGTCTATAACTTTTAAAATTTCTAATAAGCGGCTTATAAACTCCAATAATAACAAATACTTGATAAATAAATGTTTTGGAACTGAAGTATGTACATTTGTTTTTAATAATTTTCAAGTATTTTTTTAAGAACTCGTTAGACTAATTCAGACAACTAATGATATACGATGAAGTACCACTTCAGAACAGAAAAGAAACGCTTAAAGAATCTTGGAAGTAATATTGTCAGCTAGACACGCATATAGATCTAGTTCGCGTGAACCGGATATTTTAGACACAAGGCACGTGCAAATGTCCCCCTCCGTCAATTGGACGGGTGCATTATAAAACTGATGCATGATGGGCTATCCGCTTCGTATTGCTGAGAAGGACTATGATAAGTGGCTAAATCCTGTACCCCTGTCCTAGATTAACTCTAAAGATAAAAAGGTATGCAGGTGGTTAATTTAGAACAGCTGAATTGTTGGTTAACGTGTGCCATCATAGTTTATAACTTTATATTACTGGAACTGTCGAAAAGACTGACAGTACAATTCAGAATTCAAGAAATGAGTCGCCATAATCAATCACTTAATGTTATTAAAGCCTCCTGGAGGAAAAGGAGTTAATACGAATCGAAAGACGGTTGATACCATATGTAGCAGAAAGGGAGCAAACGTTTTCCTCTTTTTATAAAAATATCGCCGAAATATTAAAAATATGACATACAAAGATGGCAATTCTGTTAGATTTGAAGTTATATTTCAACAAAAAGTTAACGTTGACAAATTCTGGTTTTAAAAAAACCGCGTGTCCACCAACAACTGGGTCCCTCCGTATAATCTATTCTCATAAAATAACATATCCTGATTTACTGATTCAGGAGCGCAAACTATCAATGCTACAAACGCGAAATTGGACAGACTGTAACTATTTACACCTTACTATTCTCATGAATTGCAAGTGCCGAAGTAATTATTGAAAGGAACCAAACTACGCCACGTACAGACGTACACTCAAATTGCAATAACTTTCTTAAAGCCTTAGCTATGGAACGTGCTTAAAATTACCCATCCGATGACAAAACAGTGACAGTTTTGATTTCAAGAATAAATGAGTGTTGAAACAACATACGTGACTGCGATTCGCCCTAAATGTTGCTAAGTAGGAACGTGTCGATCGATACACTTCGCTGAAAAAAGCATGTCTCGTGCTGCTTTGTCTAATGGTTTGCGTCCTAATTAGATAATGCTATTATTATTTGACGTGCTTCAATGGTGAAAAAAGACATGTGAAAATGTATTCGTAAACAAACTAAAAATGTTTTCGAAGTCGTCGAACTGAAAGTCGAAGAAAGAGAGTCTATACACGACTGCCAAATCAGTAAAACAAGACCCAAAAAAATAGAATATGAGATAAGCGATAATAAAGAGATAAGTAAGATCCATTTAATCTCAGTAGTAGCACGGAGTCTGGAATTGTGCCCGGTATATGGCAATAGACTCACCCCCTATTACATGGGACTCATAACATATACATATGTAGGTATAGTGAAAAGTGGGTGTTACATTGTACAGTGGCATTAAGTGCCGTAATGTGCACCTCTGTCTACCCCTTCCGGGATAAAAGGCGTGATGTTATGTTACTTCCAATTTAGACATTGTTGACAGGCACAAGCTCGGAATCTTGAAGTATTCTCCTTGCAGAGTTGTACGAAGAACTATTTATTATAAGGAAAGACAAAAGTAACACAAGAGAAGAAAACCCTAATATTATGTTACACGTTACACGTGATGAAAACCATAAAAGACTTGATAAGACCGCAAATCGATAGTTGCATGTACCTGGTGGAAATCAATAACAAAAACGAAAACTTACAACAAAGTTTACAGGTATAAATGATTGACGATGAATATAATTGCATGCTCGAGTGGAATACTTGCGCTAAAACCGTACATAAATTCACTTGACGAGGTTTTGTTGTCTATTTATTCTAGGAATAGAGTCTGCTAAATTCTTAGTTAAACATAAAATACTAGACGAATTTACCTCCAGCACGTTAAATGAAATATCTCATTCGTTAAGTTATAAGCAATGAGTAATCATTACAGATAAATCGGTTTCTATAACCGCAAACAAAAACCCACGCATGTAACCACACTTTGCAAGATCCGGTTTTTACACATTATTGTGAAGTTTACTATAGACTACCAACTATCCTGAAAAACATGCACTTATCTGTGGAATTTTACAAAGTAGAGCAATTTCATGAACTTGCTAATTTTCTAATGATTCTCTACGGCACTAAAAGAAGTAACAATAAATGTTATTATATGAGTACAAATAACATTTTAAAGTTATTTTTATTAATGGCATTATTTTTTATGTAATAAAATTAATAGGAAATTAATAGCTTAGTTAATAGTTAAGGTTTTTGTGAAAAATAATAGAATTTAAAACTTCTTTAGATTTGATCTTACTGTCTAACTGCCATAAATCGGGAACTGTATAATATTCTATAGAATAAAAACGTGCGTCCAAAACAGTTTGCCGATTAAATCAAATTGAAATAAGAGGTTTAAAAGTATAAAAGAGGGCAAACAATACAAAACCCCAGTTTGAAATAACAATGCGATCATAGAGTGACCTTTTCACAAACAATTGTGACGTTATAGTTGTGAAACTGACTAGTTACGTCACGCAATGTAAGATAATTATGCACAGTATTCACTGGCATACGAGTGTAACTGTTAGGGCAGTTGGTGTTTGTACCAACACCTATAATCCGTCCATGTATAACAATTTCCAATAGAAAAATTTTACTGTAAAATATTTTACAGGAATTTTTGATGGTTCTAATAAATCTAGTAGGTATATTATATTCAATAATGAGCGGTTTTCGAATAAATACTGATTTTAGTAACTAAATAACAAAGCTATTAATTTAATCCACCTTTTCATTAGAACCGTCAAATTTTGCTGGTCCTTGGACATGTATTGTAAAAGAACGCATAACAATGTGAGTTGCACAACTAGCGACTATCACGTTGCCTAATATTCTTAAGTGGTTATTTCAAAGCACTGCTCGCCGAGGCAATATCACATTATCACCACCAATTTGTTTTTCTTGTAAAAAGTTTCTAATCGGAATACGAGAAAATGTTTGTGTGTTGCCAAATAAATTATACGTAGCTGGCAGGTACATCTTTTCCATTATATTTATTTTTAATGGATGGTGGACGGTTTGAGTGACATCTGACGGTCTTCAGTGAAGCAATGTGGTTATTTGTATTGGTACTAAAATGTCATTAAATTGCTAGATCCTATGGCAAAGTTGCCAGGAAATAGTGGATCTACATGTCGGTATTTTGTCGTACATGCAAATTATACTCATAAGTAAATGATAGGTGGTAGTGTCCCTTCGGCCGCCAGCGGCTACTGAGGCAGTGTTGATGTACTGGCCAGACGAAGTAGAAGCCAATGATAATATCAAGGAATTACCGACGACATGACACTGACAAATACTGTCACTAGGTTATGTAGATCGTTAAATTGAAAATGTAAGTCTCTCTAGATTTCAAAACTGTGTTGGTAACTAACGAATCTTAAGGAAAACAATAAAAAAGTATTTGAAATTAGCCCTGTAACGTCTTGTAAGCAGAATTTGTTAAAGCGTTGTCATAAAACTATGCGAAATGTATATAAAAATAGTATAATTGCAAGAAATGCGGTTCACACTTAGCTGTTTTTTATTTAATTGTAATCTTGAATGTGGAGCAAGGTTGGTGCGTTCGACTAACATTAAAATAGAACAAATAAGTTACGGCACGCACACTTCAATGTACACAGCGCTCGAGCTAACTACTCCACTGTTTAATTAATTTATTTATTTATCTCATTTTCATTTACTGTCAATAAATTATATTATACCGTGGAGGTCTCGCACCTACTTTGTTGTTTCTATGAAAATATTAAATATTTCTTTAGGCGTAAGTATGCATCGTAAGACAATTTCCAAAAAAATTCTCTCCGTTGTTATTTTAAATTAGGAATGGATGAATTGCCAAATGATTAAATAAACATAAAATGTAATCTATCTATACACCTATATATAAATTAAACCTAAATTAACCTAATCTAAATTCGTAATGAAGTAATGATGCTACAACAGCTAATGAGAGCGATTTGGTTTTTCTAAAGTATTTATGGCAGCTAACTGACGGTGTCCTTACTGGCAGTATTTATTTCCTTTGATTGTATAAAACTGTAAGTAGTTTGGGAAACAACAGCTCGGTACTATCAGTGGACCTCGTCTGTGACCTAGTGACCTAGTTACGCGTCAGAGTAGCAATCGTTTGTATCGTCCACAAACGAACATCCACTAGTCTGTACACGAACACACACAAGCACACGAGCAATGAAATACGCAATACAAACATACATGTACCTACAATCATATTGAATTTAACTACAATTATCTTGTAGGTAGTTGGGCTTGCTACATAAACCACGCACATTCAAATCAAATATTTTTCGTAGGTTATTACAAAATTTGATAATATTACATTTAATTTAAATTGAAATTAATTCACGTTTGTAATAATAACGAATAATTAGGTCATGTTTTGCAACGACGCGTCGTCTGGGAAAACAATTTTATTAAACCATGCAGTGTTTGTTTAAATATAGGCGAGTTGTACGTAAAACCGA